TCCTGTTCCGTGTTTTGTAGAAGAGAATATACTATAAAAACGTAAAGACTATTGTAGCAAGGTGCACCGCCATATATAAAAGGTCCGTTTGGAGCACAGGAATTCTAAGAAAAATGAATAAATGATTCTCATGTTACAAGCAAATGAGAGTACTCACTTCCTCCTAAAATAAGTGTATATTTCGTATTTCGAGAAGTAACCCACTTTAAATTTTGATCAAGTGTATAGAAGAAAATATTAAGTCTATGGTGCTCCCTCCGTTTCAAATTATAAGTCGCTTTGACTTTTTTTTGTACATCCATTTTGTTATGCATCTAGATATAATAATATGTCTAGATACGTAGCAAAATGGATGAACCAAAAAAGTCAAAGCGACTTGTAATTTAGAACAGAGGGAGTATCAAATAGACTTCATTAAGTTAATTATGCCATGTATTCTAATAATATAAGCCTATTTATTTAGAGATATAAATATTAAACTTATTCTCTATAAAGCTAGTCAAACTTGAGAATGCTTGAGAATGCTTGACTACTCGAAACATGAGACGTGCATTTATTTTAGGACAGAGAAAAGGTGTGTGGTACAGCTTCTCTTCTAGTTTTACAAAGTTGTTTTCAGCTTCTATCAAACAATCCGAAAACAGCTTCTTCTTCCGGCTCCTCTTGCATGCACAGTTCTCTAGGCGAAGCTGGGTGAAGCCAAAAATATTAGTTTTTTCCAGCTTCATCTATGCTATCTTCCCTAGAAACTGTTTTACCAAACGTCTATGAAAGCAACTTTAGCTTCACTCGTTAAGTCAATTAACGGAATCTAAGAAAAAAAAATACCTCAAAAGGTGACGGTGCAACTTGACAAGCTGGTGGATTCCTCGAGACTTTTTAATACTCCAGATCTGCCTGTTCTTGCAGCTGCTAAAGATGATCTTTCCAGCTCTGCAAATCCATGATGTATTTTTCCATCCAAAGTCCAAAGGGCACCATGGCAGTGCTGTCATTTCATTTTAATTTACTCCTGATCACTCGCCGGCATTACTAACAAACTTCTGAAACAGTAGTAGGTTATAATCTTAATTGCATAATAGTACACTAGCACGATAGGCGCGCTCCGCTGCGCCCGTTCGTTGAGCGCACACATATTTATATTTGTTTAATTAGATAACCTTAGGCACTAAGCTGCATAGTGTGAGCATATAAGACAACAATAGACAATTTCAATTTGCATTCTATGAACATAAAACTGGCAGTCCTTTCTCATATATGAGAGGTATGCTTATGTACTTGTGCTAACTCATATTAAAAGGAAAACATACTACAAATGGTTGTTTCCTCATACATTAGTAGTTCCATTTCAAGTAAAAATGTATCCGGTACAGACCATCTCGATGCGGAAACCTGATGCCTCGTTAAGAACCAATGAACTGTTGACTAAAATATGTAACAAGTGAGCGTAAAACTTTGAAACATCCTGGAAAATTATCTGACAATCTAAAGACAGCGGCATGAGTTTATCCAAATCCAAATGGAGACCTGTGGTTTACCTTAGTTACCTTGGTTAAACTGGTAACAATCCACATACAACATAAAGGTGATGATCAAAAGCATCTGGACTGATATTGTCCTGCATTATCAGTTTATGCATAACACACGTCATCATGCTGTAGGTATAATGTACAAATCAATCATTAGAAAATAGAAAATACAAAAAAGGTTGGTGAACATAGTAAACCGAAGAAATATTTGGAATGGAGCATACATGGATATTGTAAAATTTCTTTGGATCAGGGCCTACAGCCAATAAACTGATGGCTAAAAACTGAAGGAGTGTGTAGATTTTTCATGTCCAAAGAAGCAGAATGAAACCAAATCAAGCTTATTTTGTTAGAACTTTTTCGCACATACATGGTAGTGTGGAAAACAGTGACATCGTTGTGGCTTGAAAAGGAACGTTGAGGCAGACCAGAGCATGTAACTACAATCATATCCAACTCAGTACCTCACTTGTGTTGGAGATATGACCACTTGTTTCTGAACATTTCAGCTAAAGCAAGGTAAGACACTTGCTGGTGTGATCAATGCACAAGAACAGAAACCAATTTTAGCTTTGTGTATGCATCCATGCAGACATGTTTGCCAATCAATGAAAGAGGAAAAACATGATGAGATTTTACTTCATGCGAGTAAAGCAAGATGCATGAGATGTTATCAATGATAAATACAGGAAGGTGCATGAGATGTCTAAGAGGCACAGAATAATCATGTTGCATGTTATCAATGATCTTAGAGCATGGATTTGTCATTCCTCTCTAGTTGTAACTAAATATTACCATTTTTTGAAAGAGATATTTACTATTACCAATTTGCTATGACACTAAAATATGGGAAAGAATAAAGCTATAACATCTGATCAGTAGAAGCCAAGATTACTATTGATTCTACCTGTCCTTGTAATTGACCAAGACCACACTGACCAAGAGCCAGGGATGCGCCTTGGACAAAATAGCGTTCAGTTTGGAAGGGCTCAGCATCCTAGTTCAATAAAGGTAATTACATCTGCTTTTCTGCAGGGTATTGGATTGGGTAGTCATCTTACGAAATGAGCAATTGGAAAAAAATGTGTAAGGCAAATCAGATGTTTTTCTTCATTTTTAGACCTTGTGCCAGCTTGGTAGACATATGCAGTTGCCTAGTGCTTGCCCTGGCAATCTGTATCTTGATATGGCACTATGGCAGCATCCTCTGAAGATCCTGATGCCACTTGCATGAAAGTGAAACTCAGTAAAGAAATGAAAGACCTTTCTAAATATGTTTTTTTTGTACATCTATATATCATTATAACATTATTTCATAACGGGATAACGTGATACAATAAGTCGTGCTGCAGTTTTTTAGACATGTACATAGGATGATGTCTCATTGTTCATTGTTGTTTTCATTTGTCTAAAGTCCAATAGGTTGCACAGTTTGATTGTTGCTGAAGCACGTAGGCCAATGGTGCATTGTGTGACTATGATTTGTGTCCAAATAACTCCAGTACGAAATAGTTAAAATATAATCCATGAACTTTGATGCATCACTCCGATGCCTTGTTTGAACCAACAATCAAATGCTACATGCAGAAAGAGAAAGAGGCTTGATGTATTTGAACCTAATGGATTACGTTTTTTTCGATTCTTCTAAATCAGGTACATATGAGATTTGATCAACAATCAAGGTTGAGTAAACACAGAAAGCTGGAAGCATATTTGTCTGAATAGTGCTGACACAGGTACAGTAACTGAAATGTGAAAATGCCAAACGCTATAAGTAATCAATAGTTTCGTTTGTAAGACTGGAAATAAATTTGGTATACCTAGTCATGAGCTGATATGAGTAGAGAAGGTAGAATAGAAAAAAACTAAACTGTTTTTTTGTTGAACCAATCCTAAAAAAGAATCATAGTGTGCCTCTTTAGTTATGTTAGCACAGTAACTGTGACGCCATATATATTTTCAGGCAAATTGAACTCATAAATTGCAAGGTTTAGGAGATTACCAGAAGTCTGGAAGGTCAACCAAGCATTAGAGCCCAAACCCTAGAACATGAATCGAAGTCAATTCGGGGAGGAATCAGAGAGGCAAAACAAAATTACAAAAATGGAGGACACTGGAGTACCTGAGAAACGGTGCTGGCCCTGAGGCCGCTCATCACTGTCCTCGCCGTTCCAACTCAGGCCGTGTTGGGTAGACCTCCTCCAACGGCGGGATCTGAGAGAAGAAAGATCGACATCAGACACCGAATCGAGATCGAGGAGAGGACACAAACCTCAGGGTTAGGGCGACGGCAAGGCACTGGAGGACAGGCCCATGGTTGACGACGGAGATGAGGATGAGGACGGCCTCCTGGCAGCGCTACCGCCCTATGCCCGCCTGCGCCCCAAGCGTCATCGCCGTGACCACCGCACCGGCGCACGCTGCCGCGGGGAAGAGGAACCGGCGGTGGACAGCAGATGTACGGCCGGCGTAGAGAAAGAGTGAAAGAGGGTGAAGAGGAGGAGCCGCGGAGGTGCCGAGGCGAGGCGCTATGGTTGTTTTTTTTTTCGTCGATGATTGACGGGATGACCGGATGAGTCAAGGAGAGTTTTTTTTTCTACGGAGAAGCAGAAGGAGATGACGTGGCTTACCTGAACATCGCAGAGGCCTCCGCTGATCTCCAAATAACTTGTGGTTGAGGGATAATATCTTATTATATGCTTCCTGCTACCCTTATGAACAGCAGTACACTCGCTGTTGTGTTTGTTACAAAGTACTGTGCTCTGGACATCGGTGAAAGTTTGCCTTAAATTCGTACAATGTACCATTGTTTTTTTAAATACTATTATATTAATATTGAATATAAAAAAATTATAGCAGCATAGAGATATTGTGACAAAAAAAATGAGAATTTGCTTGAAGATTTGACAGCTCGCATGCGCTAACGAATCGTGTCCTTGAGACAAGATACGACTGGTCCGCGCTCCTGCTCTGCTCAATCAGAGCGGAGTGCTCCTTTCGCGTTGCCTGCTTCTGCTTCTGCTGCTGCTTCCGCTTCCTCCCTCTCGTTGCCATATAAGATTCCAAGCTTCCCCGGCCCGTCGAACCTACTGCCATTAAAGTCGGCAAGCGGCGGGCCGGCGGCAGCAGCGCAGCCCTCCCACCCTGAAACCAGGGGAAACCGAACCACCACGGTCAACTCTCTATCTGCATCCATCTCCTGGCTACACCCACTGACCAACCACACCACAGCACAGCAGAGGGAGGCTCAGGCTCCCCCGCGTCGAGATGCTTTACATGGTGTAGCCGGCAAGAACCTTCCCTGTTCCCTCCCGGGCGGAAAGGGGCTCTCTTTAAATTCCTTCAAGAGGGGGATTGCCCCCTTTCCCCTGCATTTTCCCTCCGTTTGCAAGCCTTCTCTTGCCTGGCCACCCGGGCTGTCCTTGTTGATTCTTGGCCTCGTTGATTTTTTGCGCTGCTGCGGCCTGCGGAATGGCGGCGGGGCTGCTGCTCAAGATGGTCGGCTTCTGCGTCTGGGCGCTCTTCTGGCTCGCCGGCTCCGCCACCGTGAGCACGAGCACCACCGCCTTCGCCGGCGGCGAGGTGGTGGTCGTGGACGCGCGGTCCGCCATCGCCGTCACCGACGACGACTTCGTCTGCACCACATTGGACTGGTGGCCGCCGGAGAAGTGCGACTACGGCACCTGCAGCTGGGGCCTCGCCTCCCTCCTCAACCTGGTCAGTTCAACTTCACAGCACACACCACACCTGAGTAGCATCTTGCCAGATTATTTCAGTGTTTGTTTCAACTGTGGACTTAATTCTGTGGTACGGACTACGGATTACAACCCGTAGACCTTGGACGGGGATCTCAAGGAAATATCTTTCCTTTTTATTTTTCTTGGTTGGTCGGCGTTGATCCTTCTTTGTTTGGGGGTGGGGGGCTCTGTTGGATAAAAATTTGGAATTTGATAGCCTAGGGAGTTTCATTCCATTCCACAGACCTGTGGTCATGTGGGCCCATCTGCATTTTTATTCCTACCAATCATGTGCAAATGTAAAACCTACCAGCATACATGAACACAATTGGCTACTTGATCATATTCTAATGCCAGTGCCTAGAGAATGGTTAAGAGTTTCATCAAAAGAAGAACATATGACAGTTGGTAGAAATTTTAACTAATTTGGTGCGTGCGTGCTCAACTGTGCGTTTACTACTTTTCAATTCGTTCGCTACTTGCTCTGTAGAAGTTTGTGCAAATCAAACCATGACATGGGCGATTGACGTTGGTCTTTAATATTTTCCTACCTGCAGAATCTCTCTAACAAAATCCTGATGAATGCCGTCAAAGGTAAGCCATCAAATGATCACCATCCCTTTCACTTTCATAAGAAAATTTATCCTACTATCCAATCGAGAAATTAAAGGTCTTCGTTGATGTATACAGTCGTCATCTTTTTCATGTTACGATAACAAACGAACTGTAGCAGCAGCAGTAGTACTTTGAAAGCCATGTCATTTGCTTTTCCTAAGACAAAATCCATGGAAGATTACTTTGTTATTTGCCACATCCTTGCATAATAACCTCATCAAACTTGCAGCATTCTCCCCGTTGAAGCTCCGCCTGGGCGGCACTTTGCAAGATATGTTGATATACGACACCAGTGACTCTCGCCTACCGTGCACTCCATTCGTGAAGAACGCATCTGCGATGTTTGGTTTCTCACAAGGTTGTCTGCCGTTGCGTAGATGGGACGAGCTCAACGCATTCTTCCAAAAAACTGGGTATTCTGATCTACTCATTTACTACCTTCGGCCAGTTTCAGAAACTGCATTCTCTTTGGAAAATGATTGCCTAACTTTCTGTTTGATTTTGCAGGCCAAAAGTTATTTTTGGGCTGAATGCTCTGAATGGCCGGGTCACAATGCCTGATGGTTCTTTAGGGGGTCCATGGAATTACACAAATGCAGCTTCTTTTATTCACTACACCGTGAACAAAGGATATGATATTCATGGATGGGAGCTTGGTATGTTCTGTATAATCTTGTGGATTGTGTTGGTTTTGTCAAAAAAGAACCTCACGTCATCTCCAAATGACAGGTTTTTATGCCACTTTATTTAGAGAGTAATAATAAGTATGTTGAAAAGAAATATTCTGATAAGTACGTAGAAAGGAATCGGACAAGTATGTCAACATCACTTTTGATAATTGGTTAGTTATCAGTTGTAAAGAACTAAGGGGACAGATCATAGATGATGCTTTCCTTGTCTTTTCACACTAATGCACAAAAGGCATACTTTTATTGCACACTGGTTTTGCTTAAGAAGCAATCTAATCTTAGCAATACTTCTGCGTAGTATAGTACTTTGTGACCTTAATACAGTGTTCCTGTAGGAAATGAACTCAGTGGCAGTGGAGTTGGAGCTCGAATTGATGCAGACCAATATGCAGCAGACGTGATCACCCTGAAACACATTATTGACAGCACCTACCAAAGCAACCCATCAAAGCCTCTAGTAATTGCACCAGGAGGCTTCTTTGATGCAGCCTGGTTCACCGAACTCATCAGCAAAACAAAGCCAAATCAAATGGATGCTATCACTCACCATATCTACAATTTAGGCCCTGGTATGCTCGCCTTGGTTTACAGTTCATAGTACACGAGTCGGCAACTTGGAATCTGCATAATAACTGGATAAAATGCTGAATGTATCAGGGGTTGATGATCATCTGGTTCAGAAAATTCTTGATCCTTCTTACCTCAATGGCGAGGCGAGCACATTCAGCAATCTTCAGGGGATACTGAAATCTGCAGGTACATCCACTGTCGCCTGGGTTGGCGAGGCTGGAGGGGCTTACAACAGTGGCCACCACCTTGTAACTGATGCATTTGTGTTCAGCTTCTGGTAAGCCAAAAGTTTCTTTTTTCCTATGTTCAGCAATTGAAGTTACCGTCTGAAGAAGTGTTTATTGACTATCAACTGGTGATGCCTCAGGTATCTCGATCAGCTTGGGATGTCGGCAAAGTATGACACAAAGACTTACTGTAGACAGACCTTGGTTGGAGGGAACTATGGCCTGCTCAACACAACTACATTTGAACCAAATCCTGACTATTACAGGTAGACTAGACATACATAAGTTTTTCCAAAGCTTCAGTGAATGATAGGAGAGAGAAAAAATGTGCAGCAAAACAATGTGTCAATCCCACCATCATAATTTAGCATCTTTCTGCTTTCACTGTAGTGCTTTACTGTGGCATCGCCTCATGGGTACCAAGGTCCTCTCGACGACATTCAACGGCACAAACAAGATCCGTGCTTATGCACATTGTGCGAAAAATTCAGTAAGGGGGCACATACAATGGAAAGTTCCTGTTTCTTTCTGGCAACAGATCATAGTGACTGTCTGAACCATGCATGCTTAATTTATTTCCTTGAAATTTTCAGGAAGGGATCACTCTGCTCCTGATCAACCTTGATGGCAACAACACAAACCACATCTACGTTACGAGCCAAGGCGCACAGACCCAGAGTGCAAGGAAGGAGATGTCTGATCACATTCCTGGGCTCGGGGAAGCAGCCGAGCTCACGAGACAAGAGTACCATCTCACTCCCAAGGACAGGAACTTGCAGAGCCAACAAACGTTGCTGAATGGCATTGTTCTGGCAACTGACGCCAATGGGGACATCCCAAAGCTGGAGCCTGTGCAGGTGGTGGGAACACAGCCCATAACCGTGGGTCCTTACTCCATTGTGTTTGCTCACATCCCCAGCTTCTATGCTCCAGCCTGTAGTTAGAATTTTCATCTGATTTTTTTCCAGCCTTCTCGATGTGAATCATAGATTAGATAATTCTGGGTGAACGGCGAAGCTTGTTCACCTGTCCGTGAAGTAAGCTGCAAGGCTGAAAGGTTTGTGATTTATCATTGTTTGAGAGAGAAGTGTTCAGATAATGTGTGAGCAAAAAGGAAGGAAACTGGAAATGAATTAATAAAAGAAAAAAAAAGGTTTGCAATTGTGGCCCATGTGTCTGTCATTTTGTTTGAAAAAGCAAAAAAGGTGACAAGTTGGCAAGGAATCATATGATCATATCACGGTTGAAAGAGACGGGGGGGGTAATATCGGGAGAAGAGACCATAAACCTTCTCCGGGGAGATTGGCGAATCCCAGAAAGTTGTTTTCGCCCTGCAAACCAAAGCTTAGTTTCATCATCTTCAGATCGGAGAAAAAGTGGGGGGGTAAAAGATTTTGCAGTACGCATAGGTTTCACTTTCATGCTGGCACCACCAATCAATCCTATTTGTCACTGCAACTACAGAAGATCGCTTGACGGCATTGGTGGACAAGAGTTTGGACTCCATGTTGACTGTCTGTCACCGACACCAGCCTCTCGCTCTCCTTGCAAGTTCCACCCACGTTGTACAGTCACCGGAGTCCTCGGTCACTATGCATGGGTCCTGCGGGATTTTAGGTCTGTTTGCCTTGTGCCAAAACTCAAAGATGCCAATTATTGCCGGCAGTCGACATGAACCCACAGCTGCTGGGTTGAGTGGTTCGTTTCGTTGCTGGTTCGTGAAGAAGTACTGCTGGCTGGTTTGTGTGAGAGAAAAATACTGTTTGAAAATTTACGATCGTTTACGATAAGCCACAGCCAAACGAACAGGCTGCCAGTATCCCCCATGATCTGCAAGACTCCAACTCTGACTCTGACCCTTGCTTGTCGGTTGTCTCGCAATGGACGCATCATGGCTCATTCGCCATACAGGCAATTTAGGGCTGCACTTTGCAGCAGTTGTGCCGAGAAGCTTTTTAATTTTAAACGTAAAAGGTTTTCTTTCAGATGCAAGCTTGGATGAATGTGATGAAGAACACAGTCTTCCGCTTCCCAGGTTGTGAGTAGGGGTCCATGTGAGAGAATTAGACCTAGGTCCATGCAATTTTATTCCAGTGGGTGGGCCTTCGTTTCGGGCCCAAGATTTGAATTATTGGATGGGCCAAGACTTATGCGGGCCAAAATAGCAGCATCTATGTCGACGCCGTACATCCACCAACACGGATGGGCTGGGCCTCATCATCTGCTTCCCCTCTGATTTTCCTCCAAAGAAATTCTGCTTTCCTCTGATGCCATTCACTCCAAGTATCAGCATGGAACCAACGAAAATCTCATCACGAGGCAATTTTTTTTTTTTGGATATTTGAAAGGCGAAGACAACAAACATTACTACGATTTAGGCATGTGAACCAGTAGTAACAAAGAAGATAACGAAAGTGGATGCTCATTGCCCTGTTACATGTCACTGTGTATGGACAACCAAGCTCTGCAGACAAAACCGGAGCTTGCTTTCCATATTTCACTAGTCGATTGGCACTTCCACCTCCATCTTAAGGCCAGGATGGTCGATGATCTGAAAGAACAGCACGAAATGGTTTCAGACGTCTAGTAGTAGACCACAAAGACTATGCTGATATAGTGATATTAGAAAAGCTCATTCTGATGAGTGCTAGCGACATATAAGATGGTCACAAGGTTTCTAGATGAATGTGGCAATATGCCATTACAGTAGACATCGGAGAATATGCAAATAACCTGTGATATGGATATAGCCGTGGATTTGGCTTACTAACACATTTGTTTGTGTTTGCTTCCCCTCTTATAGACTTAGGCCTTGTTTGGATGCGTATGTATTCATCTCAATCCACATGTGTTGAAGTGGATTGGAATGGAACGGTTCAATTCCACTCCAATCCACTTCAACACATGTGTGAATTGAAGTGAATACACATGCATCAAACAAGACCTTATAGTGGAAAACATGCTTTTATGTGAATTATTTCCACCTATGAATACAACACGCAATTCTCTTTGCATGTTCAGAAAAAAGAAGGTATGGATACAGAAAAGGATTTCTGTACCTGGATAAAATCTTCCAATGAGAATGCACAATCCCTTGTGTACCCTGCTTCTTCCAGTACCTTAGTTACTACTTGCTGCAAGACATAAATATGATTTGTGTCACACGATCAATTTGTGTGAAAATAAGAACAGAGATAGTGTGCTTGTGTCCAAATTTTGAGGTGGGAAATTGTAAGCATTTCACTAGCTCCAGAAACCAGTAAATCATCTCTGAACACTAGCCACCTTTGAAGAAAAATATAAAAGCTATTAACATATACAACATAATTTCTTGAAACCATGTCATATTAACATAACGAGGCCATTGAAGCTGTATTGCTTCTGAACAGAAATTGGATAACAATGGTGAAATAACTTTGTTTATTTACAAATGGTAGGAGATAATTTCTCTAAAAAAATGGTAGGAGATAACAATTGTTGCAGGCTACGATTAGATTTTGATCTCTTAGATATACAATATGAAAAAGTAATAGATTGTAGAAACCAGAATAAATTTCCTTTTTTCTAAAAAAGAACGAATATATTTTGATTTCTTAGGTGTACAATATGAATTCCTAAACTATTATGTAGATGTATCTCTATCTCAAATTCTTTGCAAATTACATCTTTACACAAAACACAGAAATGGACTGTAGATCATGCTGCTACACACTTTTCTGCCCTGAAGAAACCTACAATCTTGTTTCAGGCCGTTTAAAAAAAAACAATCTTGTTTCAGGTTTCAGAATTTCCCTCCAGTTTAAAACAAATGATGCCCATTTGACAGGTCACTAGTTGAAGGATAACAGTTAGTTGAAGAGAAAAAGAGTAAAATGGTGATGCCACAAATCCAAAAGAAAAAAGAAAAAAGAGTGACACGAAAAAGGAAAACCTTCCCAACGAGATACAAAAATTTATGAAATAATAGATGAGCACCTCTCTTTGTTCCTCAGACATGAATGACCCTGTTAGGTCCCGTAAAACCTCTAGCAGATCCTTGAAGGTTATTTTTCCCTTGTCATCAATGTCATAAACCTTGAATATCACTGCTTCACCAAACACAAAACATAAAAGAAAAAATTGAGAAAGTGAGTGATCCTGGGGACTGAGGACATGATCATTCATCACCTATTTGCTTTTAAGATCAAGTAGGAAGGAAATGAAATACAAAAATGGCAGTTAGGTATTACACTCGATCTTCTGACGAAGACTGGCCTTTGCACTGAAAGTAGAAAGAAAAGCAACAAAATCCTTGAAGTTCAATCCATCAACCATTCGGAGCAACCTCTGAAGAAAAAAAAAAGATACTCAAAATCATCACTTCAATGCAAGGCAGAGCTCTTGCCACTTCCTTTCAAAAAATGATACTCAAAATCATCACTCCAGAGCAATACGTTGGTTGAATCAACTGAAGCAGGACAGTGTTTGCCCTGGCAGACCTTTGTCGTGTAACTTATGATATCCAGAGATACTACTATGATTGAGCTCAAGCTATTGGCTTCTTGTTGGAGGTGACTTCTTTACATGACGCACTACTCGATCTGAGTGTGTGGCTCACGCTGCTACAAAAAAATTGAGTTAAGGTCAGGTCAGGCCGTTAGGGTTTATGCCTAGTGTTCTAGCTGTGTATGTGTATCCTATTGGTCAAGTTGTTCTGGTAAGCACAACTGAGGCTGTTCTTCAGCAAGGCAGCAGATACAGAGGAACCCAACCAAACTTGCCCAGACAGTGCGGTTGATGTGGTCATGTGGATTAGGCCATGTTTGGGAGTGTTTCTAGCAGCTTTTGCTTCCTCAGAAAGCTCAAAAAGCCAGAACCTCCCCAAACAGGGTTGCTTCTTCAAGCGAAAGAGAACCAAAAGCTACACTTCGTACTAAAAGTAGTGAAGCTCACTCAGAGTCGCTTCTCGAGTTTTCCGAGGATGCTTCTCCAAGAGATGCTTTTGGAAAAGCTACAAGTCCCCTAAACATGAACTTAAGCTATAATTAAAGTGACTAGCAGCTGGTTAGATGTCTTCTTTAAGTTCCTTTTTTTTTGTTTCTGATTCACGAGGACTAAATGGCTTATATTCAGTAGTATTAGAGAGTATTGTAAATTGGCAGCTCTCCGAGGGCAGATATGCAAACAAAAACCAAAAGGAGGAAAGTACAATAATCTGTAGCACCAGCACCAATCCAACAACAGTAGTACTGCAAGACCAAGATCAGCATGACTGGCAACGTAGTACAGCACAAGTAAAGAAATTGCCAATGAAATGAAAAGAATGGGACAGAAAAAATCAATATATATCTTCTCAGACTGAAAAAAAAAAAAACCAAGCCACTGGAAACTTATCATGAACCAGAGGAAGTGGGTGGTGGCACCTTGGAGAGCGGGTTGAGGGAGAACTCGGGGATGGAGAGGAACTCGTCCTCGGAGACGAAGCCCTTGGCGCTGCGGTCGAGCTGGCAGAAGCGCTCGTACAGCGACACGATCTCCTGCTGCGAGACTGCTCGAGAATCAAATAAAAAGCACCAATTATTATCACAAAAAACAAACATTGGAGTTGGAACCGTCGTGAGATATGTATGGATATATAGTACGTATCTTTTTTATGAATGGATGATTGAGATACAAGAGAGAAGAAACTAAATTGGGAGGAGAGAGAGAGGGCGAAGGATCGGATCGTGTGGCCCATGGGGCGAGCGCGCCTACAGAGGTAGTTGCAGTGCTCCTGCACCTCCTCGATGTCGTACTGGGTCAGCATGGACGACGCGTTCCCCATGGCTTCCCTTCCTTCCCCTACGATCCACCAGTTGCCGCCGCCGCTGCTGCCTATTGAGTTTGCAAAACCGAAGAGCGCGGCGGTGAAATTGGCGGGCGGTGGCCTCGTGCGGATGGAAGAAGGGAAAGGGACGCGATGGCACGAGACGCCGCCAGCTTGCCAAGTATATCATCGGGCTCCGGCCGGCATATTCTCGTGCCAGAATTCCGGTTGCCGGAGACACCGAGTCTGCCTGCCTGCCACCGCGACCGAGCATTCATTGGCTTACGTGTCGTGGGCCTCGCGGCTGCGTTGGAAAGAAGTAAATACGCGGGCCTGCTGCCCTTTCCGTTTCTTCTTCCTTGGGAAAGGTGTCAGACCTGGGCCAGCCTGGACTGGGCCACACTGATGTTGTATCAGGCATTCAGGCCCAATCCAACTGACGTTGTGTTAGGACCAGGCCATGTCATCCCTGGCCCATGTCAGATTCAGATCAGACAACATCCATCCACAAGGCAAAATATGCACAAGGAGTCAAGGACACAAGCAGGATCTCAGCCTAATCAGTAGTAATCAGGTACATGGTGCACAGAGTCACAGCTCAAAATTACCACAAAATGTTGCACCTCGGCACCAAATGTTTCCAATTATTTTCCCTTTTTAGTAGATGATGAGGTTCAGAAGAGAGCCAGGTCCAGGGCCCAGCGAAAGTAAGTTCCCCCTCACCTTCGATGCTACCAGTGTGGGACAAACATCATCGCCTGGGGGTTTCAGAGTTTCCGGCGCTGTTTTACCACGGTGGTGGAGCGAAAACAGGCTGGCCCAGGTTGCAGCTCAAGAGTCTGTGGATGGTTTGATGGCGTCCGCGCTGGCGCTGTGGCTGGAAGCCTTCTTCATCTGCAGAGCGGTTTTGTAAGGCGGGGCGATGGGAGGCTGGACGGGGTCCAAGCTCCGGTAGGAGCCACCTTCCGTGCTCGGGAGCGGGTATGAGCGATCGGAGTCGTAGCCGCTGAGATCCCCGCAGGCAAGGAACGGGATGTACACCTTGTTTGGTCCCTCGAGCCATCCGCTTCTGCAATCTGCACATGACGAATGGCATTAGAGCTGAGTAGGGCTGTCTATTATGTCATTATGTGGTGTGCCCAGTCGGGGGAGCAGAGTGTTGTACGAGCATTTGTAGCCCTTACCTAAATCGTCACCTCCTGAAGGAGTCCCCACTTTCTCTAGCAGGTGGTATAGATCTTCCTCCTTGAACCCTTCTGGAGGTGAATAGTTCTCGCAAACTGCAAAAGCCTCTGTTTGACAAATGAAAAAGGACAAACAAATGTATAAGACCACATACACATTTTCCAACTGAAAGGAGATGCATCCTTATTACTATATAGGGAATAGGCTGCCTAACAGAAATGACCCAAATATGTTCAACAACTAACAGCAATTTCAGAATTATGACCATAAGTTACACGAACCACTGAAGGTTGATAAAGCATATAAGAAGCACATGTATGAAACTTCTTTTACAAGATATAAAACTTACCAATGCTTGAGTTCCGGCTACTTTTTGGTTTCGCAAATGTAACTTGTGAGAAGAACAGTTTTAGCTGCATAAAGCCACATATAAGAATAAAGTCCCCAATCAGCATCTCGTCAAACATTAACAAAGTTAAGGGGCACAATATGGGAATAATAATAGTCATGAACCATAGCTAGCAAAGCTTTCATATAATGATGATGGAGAACTGTAGAACAGCACAGCCTCATGAAATCTGATGATGCAAAGATCTTAACTTGCCAAACAAAGTGAATGTTACCTGGCAGTACAGGAGACTTGTATCTTTACCCCGAAATATCTTCGCAACAAATTTTCCACCAACTTTGAGTACATGAGTCACGATAGTCAATGCCTGATTGCAAGGTGGTACATAAATTAAATAGAGAACATAAGCTACCATGACAATTCAAACTGAAGATGATAAAGTTATCCCATAATTGACATAAAGAGTTCTCCAGAAATCAAGTAAAGAAAGGTGATTGTTCAACATAGCTGCTACACCCAAACTCAAAATTGAACTTTATCTCTCGAATAATGTGAATCATTAATGACAGAGCATGGTGACCTAAATTGGATGCAGATAGACAAATGAATAAAAACTAACCGCGAGTATAAGCTGGGACTGAACAAATTCGTCCATATCATGAAGGCCAGTAACTGTAGTCACCCAAAGAGCGATAATCATGTTATCATGTAATCCTCACCAGTGACAAAATTTGGAATAGTTAATGGCAGGAGTAGTTCTCTTGCACTGATATGATATCTTACCGTCTGGAGCTCCATCGCAAACAACCAAGTCTGCTTTGCATCCATCAAAATGCCTAATAACCTGACAGCAAATCCACACTAATTAGTCACAGCCAGCAAACTGCAGCAACAAAAACCTACACTTCTACGTCCATCTCACCACTTCCGCTGTCCGAGCATTGGTGATGTCGCCCTGCACTTGTATAACACCTTCTATCGGAGCCATTGGTTGCAAGTCAATTGCAACGATGAGAGGAAGGTCGCCTTCCCTAGTAGCATAACACAACAGAACCAAGAAGAGCAAAACGAGGCCATCAGATATCCACAACAAAAATTACGCAACAGATGGCGGCACACTGGCGCTGACACTTACTTGCAGTCAGGAGACTGTTTTGCTGGTACATACAGGTTCCGGCTCAAAACCTACAGTTACAATAGGGAATCAAGTAATCAGACCAAAAAAACTCTGGTATGGACGGTGTTACTGGGCACGGGCAAGGATACCTGGCTCCAGCTTCCGGGAGCAGCACACAGGTCAACCACACGCTTCACTCCTAGAGGAGAAAAAAGGGGATATGATTCATCAGAATCAGATCGCTATTGTTCGTTCGTGGTCTGCTACAGCTACAACAATCAAGAACGTGAAGGTGAGCAAGAAGGTAAGTCGAGCTGATACCATGGAAGATGTTGAACTCCTGGTCTATCTGGAGGAGCTTGAAGGCGCTGCGAGCTCTCCACCCTTCCTCTTTGGCCTTCCGGTAATAGATGTCCTAAGCAACCGGCGCCGAAGACCGGTGAGAAGCGGGGAAGCGGGGAAAACGCAAGAGCAGAGGAGGATCTGAGCGGAGAGGCGGAGGTAGCGTACCCTCTTGTCCTTGGAGGCCTTGCCCATGACGACGACGAGGCGAACCGAGGGAGGGGGAGGCGGCGGCGGCGGCGGAGGGCGGGGCGCCGGGGCGGAGCGAGCGAGTAGTCGGAGGAGGACGTGGTGGCGCCGCCTAGTGTTTAGAGCCCACTGGCCTTTTGGACGGCCCAATAAAAACCGTGTCGTTCCAATTCAGAATTCAGAAGCGTCAGCGGCGCGGAGTTCAGAAGTTCAGAACCGGCGTGACCGCGTGAAGCCACCGTCGCCGGCAGGCGGTGGCGCGGAGCGGCGTGGCGTCGTGCGTGCTCGCCGCCCTCTTTCTCGCCTTGGATTGGTTAATACTGTCACTGGCCTTCTTTGGTCTGTATGGCTAAAGCTTCCTGTGATCCATGCATGCCTTTTGTCGGCATGAATCTGAAATGTGTCCTCTGGTTTCAGTTAACAAGCTTGATACTAAATTCTCCAAGCACAAGTCGGCGTTCGTGTCGTCTGCTAATCCTCTAGGTTTGAAATTCCAAGCAGCAAATGTGGATTTTTATATCAAAAAGAGTTAAATACACCGACGGTGGACGTGTGCCACTTAAATCGATTAACTTGCAAAATCGAAACATGGGGCCTAACCACTTTTGTACGCTGAGATGTGGATTCTCTGTTGGCTGTTGCCCTTTCCGTTTCTGTAAGCATGAAATGATCAGTGATCACAATTCACACCACATTCACCCAGCAAAATACGCAAAGTTAAACCTCAGGTTTAGTAGAGAGGTGTACACACTGCACGGCGACCTTACAAGTAAGCTACTTACAATGTAGGGGTACAAGGAGAAGGAATCGTGCCGTTCTCTGCAGTGGCATAAATTTATTGACACTACACGCGCCGGAGCAATCTCAGGTCATCCGCAGGTCCCAAGAGTAGCAACGGTAATCTAGAAGAGCTTGAAGAGGATGCCACCGTGGGTGGCGAAGAATGGCGCGAAGACGAGGGACTCGACAGCCATGAGCTTGATGAGGATGTTGAGCGAGGGTCCCGACGTGTCCTTGAGCGGGTCTCCGATGGTGTCCCCGATGACGGCGGCCTTGTGGCAGTCGGATCCCTTAGGCCCCAGCGACCGGGCGTGCTCGCTGGCCCCGGCCTCGATGTACTTCTTGGCGTTGTCCCACGCGCCGCCCGTGTTGGAGGCGGAGATGGCCACCTGCACCCCCGACACCAGCGCGCCGGCGAGCACCCCGGCCAGCGTGTGCACGCCCAGCAGCGTGCCCACCACCAGCGGCGTCAGCATCACCAGCGCGCCCGGCGGGACCATCTGCCGGATCGACGCGTCCGTCGAGATCTTCACGCACCGGGCGTAGTCGGGTTTCCCGGTACCCTCCATCAGCCCCGGGATGGTGGCGAACTGCCGCCGCACCTCCTCCACCATCTCCAGCGCGGCGCGCCCCACGCTCTTCATCGTCATCGCCGAGAACCAGTACGGGAGCATCGCGCCCGACACCAGCCCGATGATCACCTTCGGGGACAGCACGTCCACCACCTTCACGCCCGCCCTGCTCACGAACGCGCCGAACAGCGCCAGCGACACCAGCGCGGCGGAACCGATGGCGAAGCCCTTCCCGATAGCGGCCGTCGTGTTCCCGGCGGCGTCGAGCGCGTCGGTCCGCTCGCGGATCCTGTGGCTCATCCCTGCCATCTCCGCGATGCCGCCGGCGTTGTCGCTGATGGGGCCGTACGCGTCGATGGAGAGGCCCGTCGCGATCGTGCTCAGCATGCCGAGAGCCGCCACGGCGATGCCGTACATCGCGGCCACGGTGAAGCTGACGTAGATGCCGACGGCGATGGCGAAGATGGGGATTATCACCGACTTGTATCCCAGAGCAAGCCCGAATATGACGTTGGTCGCCGCGCCGGTTCTGCAGGCGTCGGCCACATCCTGCACAGGGCTGTATGCATTGCTGGTGTAGTATTCTGTGACGTATCCGATGATCAAACCAGCCCAGAGACCGATTGCAACACATAAGAACAATCCCCTGCAAAAAAATGTCATTGATTCTCATCACGGTTTATCATCAGAAGATCACAGTGCATTTCATCATGCAACTAGAAGCAGCACTAACAAGTAACTAGCTAGCTTACCAGCTGCTGACTTCCTTCTGTTCACCGAAATTGAAGATTGTGAACTTAGCCGGGAGTGCCAGCCAAGTGATGAGCACGATGCCGGCGGTCATCAGCGCCGTCGAAATGATGAGCTGCTGCTTCAGCGCAGGCTCGATCTGTTTGACATCCTTGATCTCGAAGAAGTCGGTTGCGAAGAGCGTGGTGACGAGGCAGACGACGATGCCGACAGAGCTGACCAGCAGCGGGTAGCACATCCCGGTGAAGTCGTGGTTGACACCGAACGAGGAGATGGATGCCACGACAAGGGCGGCGCAGGAGGATTCGGCGTATGAGCCGAAGAGATCCGATCCCATCCCGGCGATGTCGCCGACGTTGTCCCCGACGTTGTCAGCAATCACCTGAGGAAGAAAGAGAACTTGCAGGTTCAGTGAAGTGATTTTTTTATTATTTTTTTGAAGAAGAGAACAACTGAACAATTGAACAACTTACAGCAGGGTTTCTGGGATCATCTTCAGGGATGTTCCTCTCGACTTTGCCAACAAGGTCAGCGCCGACGTCGGCCGCCTTGGTGTAGATGCCGCCACCAACCCTACCAAACAGCGCCATGGAAGACCCACCGAGGCCGTAGCCGGTGATGGACTCGAACAGCCCCTCCCAGTCATCGCCGTAGTAGAGCTGGAACAGGTTGATGGCGACGTAGAGCACGAGGAGGCCACTGGAAGCGAGCAGGAAGCCCATGACGGCGCCCGACCGGAACGCGGTGACGAAGGCCCTGCCGACGCCCTTCCTGGCCTCCAGCGTGGTGCGCGCGTTGGCGTACGTGGCAACCTTCATGCCGAGGAACCCCGACACGACGGAGGTGGCGGCGCCGAGCAGGAACGAGACGGTGCTGAAGACGGCGTTGAACAGCGCCGGCTTGCACTGTTTGCCCTCGCTGTAGGCGCAGGGGCGGCTCCGGGTGCTGAACCCGTCGACGGAGCCGAGGAAGACGAAGATGACGGCGGCGAAGACGCACATGAAGCCGCCCACGTACCGGTACTCGGTGAAGAGGAACGACGTCGCGCCATCGGCGATGGCGCACTGGATCTCGGCGCACCGCACCACCACGTTGTGGTCGTTGAGCCCCTCTTCCTCCTCGATCAGCGAGTCGGCGAGAACGTCCTTGTCGCTTCCGGACGACGGAGCCAGCTTGACCCGCGAGACGAGGACCCACTGCGCGATGGCGAAGGCGATGCCGACGGCGGCGGCGAGCGGGATAAGCACCTCGGTGGCGACGTCTGACAGGATCGCCATGGCCGGAACGGAACGGGACCTGGCCGGCCTGTGCCCTTGGGGTGGTGGAAGCAAGTGAGTGGCCTGGGGATGTGAAGCTCGCGCTCGTGTGGTTCGGAGGATCGGCGTGCGTGCGCCTCTAGGCTCTAGTGTGAAGTGCAGTGCAGTGTGCTCTCTCTTTCGGTCTTTCGTCCTGGTGCTCGCCGGTGTTCGGTTTATATAGGTGGTGCGAGCGCAGGTCGAGGTGTCGGGTGTGCACGGGAAGGGACGGAAGGGGGCAACAGGCCGGTGGTTCACGGACAGGGACTAGCCGACGCGCTCGCGGCGGAGACAAACAAACGAATTGAAAAAAAAAAGTATTTTGTGTAGTAAAAAAAAGTAGCTTTATTTAATCATCAAGCACCTGAATTGCCAAGTGCACCTATATCAAAATGTTTTTGTGTACTTCTCTTATATATTTTATAGGTGCCTGAATTTTTTTGCTGTTCACGTAGTTTTGTCACTGTTTGACTAAAAAAATTTATGAACCATCGTCTCCTTAAGTTATCATTTTAATTATATTATAGTTGGTTGTCTGATTATTGTCTGGAAATTAAAGTACCTAAAATATAGCAACTTTTTTTTTAACAGAGACCCTATCAAATCAAAATGTTATCGACGAGAGGCTTTTGATCCAGTCGTGCAGATCAAACTAAAACAACGAAGGTGAGGAAAACCAGGAGGGTTGGTCTCGTCCAACCGGAATGCCATGGCAGCAAAGGAAAAGGAGTGCAACGAAGCTGAGAGACCGAGATGCCCCCAGTGCCAAGTGGGATCGGTAAACATTTGAGAGAAGACAAGCCGTGGTTGACGTCGCGTCGCATGGTCGCAGTTTCTGTGGGATCATCCTTATCCGTCGCCTGTAGTTTCCCCCTCGAATCCTCGATCCTCTGGCCCCTCCGGTCAACAGACGCTGCGCGCGCCGCCGGTGTTGGCTTGATTCCTCGGCGACGCCGCCGGGTTTCGTCCCATTTCCGCTCCCTCCGTCCTCCGATGGCGACGGGCCACTGCAGGGGACGCAGGAGCGGTGGCCGTTTTCGCCTCTGCGCCGCCCAGTAAAATAACCGAAACGAAACTGAGGCGGCAGGGGTCGCTCGGCGACGGCGTTGCCTGTTTTCGTTCCCGCGGCCGCTGCACTACGGCAGTTTTCACCTTTCAGCGAAACGCTCTGCCCCGCCGAGCTCATCGACTGATCCATTCTTGGAGCCTGTTCCTTTATCGTGTTTGGCTTATAAGATACCCAACTTTATCGCTTAACGAACGTCATGTCCCATTAATTTTCTTTCACACTAAATTCGACCATACCCGGCCGACATTCTTTTTCTACGTCATACGATTTTATCGCGCCATCGGCGCCGCCATACCGGCCGGGACAGCTAAACAATAAACAATCCAATCGGCCGCCCACTCGAGGCGATTGTGACGTCATGCTGCTGCCTGCAGCGGCTGCTTGAATGTAGCCGTGCTGCACCTTCGAATACACGCACACATATGCAGCAATCTTCTTGGGGGAAAAAAGGTTTTTTAAAACTTGGTTGTCCTGAAAGTTTGTCAGGGCTCGTGTATCTCCAATCTCCAATGCGGCTTGCTTAGTTGCTTGGCTTGGCTGATCCTACTACACAAGCTGCGAGCATTCCGATATGCGTGAACGACGGAATGAGCAGTCGGCCAATGCTTCAGGTCTTCTTCCACTGCTCGCCATGGTGGTGCATGGAGGAGGCCAACACTGCCGTTGCCCTGGCAGAGCAGTATGCTAGGTCTCTGCTCTGACGAACAAGAAGTGGATTGATCGAGTTGATGCCTTGTCACATTAGCTTCCCAACTTCAAGATCTTCTTTTTAAGTTCTCAACTATTTAAAAACGTTATTAGTTAGTAGACAAAATATGCGTACTATATTTCCTACGGTCCAGGTTTACTGAAAAACCGTTGGCACTAAGACGACGCCATGTCACCATCCTGGCCATACGACGAGTAACACGTCAGTGTATTATATGCCTGATGACGAATGACGACTCAATCATCATCAACATCATACGAAAAGGAACCATTTTCTAAGCATCTCGTTGCTAATCCAGGGGCTGAATCCCGGACACCAGAGTTTTGTGCTGCCGTAGATTGCAGAGACGTCAGACGTGCTCTGCTTACATACACTCCAATGGCCTTCAGTTCAGCATGATGTCAAGCAGACTGCAGACAGTACGTGTACATCAATTTATTTTACACATGTTAGATTAGGCTTGATTTAGTTTCCCAAAAATTTTCACCCCAAACTATCATATCGAATCTTGCGTACATGTACATGGAGTATTAAATATAGATGAAAAAAAACTAATTGCACAGTTTGGTTGGAAATCACGAGACGAATGTTTTAAGACTAATTATGTCATGATTAGCCATAAGTGCTACATTAACTAACATGCGCTAACGATGTCTTAATTAGGCTTAATAAATTTGTCTCGCAGTTTCCAGGCGAGCTATGTAATTAGTTTTTTTATTAGTATCCGAAAACCCCTTCCGACATCTCCAAAACATCCGACGTGACATCCAAAAATTTTTATTTCGCGAACTAAACACAGCCTTACATTTTTTTTTTTGGTACGTGCAGTCGTGCTTGTGCACCGTGCAGCTGACACAGAAATAACCTGACAAGTTTTCTTGCTAGTAACTTTTCGAAGAAAAAAACAAACTCGTTCAGCTTATATGCGGAACCTCGAAATATAGTCGCACATACATCATTAAAGCGTAATATAGGCCAGCTGCCTTTGTTGAGCATATTCGGATTTCCGAGTATCTATGAATTAGAAATTTATAGAATCAACTGACACAAAGAAACAAAAATGAGCTGGAGTCGAAGAGAAAGTCAAATAAACGGGGCCAACTGTTCTCTGGGCCCTGTTTCCTGCATGCTAAAGCTCTGATTTGTTGAGAACCCATGCGGCCCGTATATGAAATGGGCTAGTGAGGCCTATGTAGCTCGCGGAAACGCTCATTGGGCCTTGTTTACCAGGTAGAAAGCCCTCTTCCTCAATTGTCAGCAATTTAGTTTCTCAAAAAAAAATGTCAGCAATTTATCTCTAACTTTTTCAGATTTTTAAAAAAGCATATAGATATTTTATGTTGTTTCAAAAACTATAATAAGTATCTACCGACTTTTTAAACTGCACATAACCATTCCAAACTAGGCCAAAGAGATAATCTGAATCTGGTTTCAAAAAATAGATAATTTGAACGGTTTTGAGGGTTTAGAGGGTAAGATGCCTATTTTGGAGTTCAAAGAGGAAAATCATACTACGAAAACAATAGATTTTTTTTCCTATAGTCTATAAGAACTCTGTTAGTCGGTTCATCCCCAATGATCACCATTTACTAGATAGAAAGCTCTCTCGCTCAATTCTCGTCAGGTTGGCTTATTATTGTTATTATTATTGTGAGGGGTTGGCATTGGCACAACATTGACGCATTGAGCTCATCTATCTACCAAACTAAACAAATCTAAGTGTCAATGCCGAGCGTAGGGGTATTAGGCGCGGGCCTCAAGCCCCCAAATGTCAGTGTCCCTAAACGCTAGAGCTCTATGACTACGAAGAGAAGTGGTTGAGCCGGAGAAGAAAATAATAGGAGTATACGTGACAAAGAGATGATAACCTCAATCCACAGTCAAGGAAGCACGCGATGCTTTGACGACAATGGTAGTCTAAAAACCAATTAGTAGCTATTCCTATTAGAAGGGCCATCCGACCATGGGCTACATGAGAATGAATAACAAAGATAGGCCATTTTCAACGTCTGTCACCCGGCAACAATAAGAACTTTTGTTTGGTGAACCTCTAGGGAGGGCTATGGAACTATAGCACTACCGTGTAGAACATTGAAGTCGGAGCTAGTTTATGACTTATCTTGGCTCCTATTTTAAGTTTATTTTTCTTCTCGATTGGTGAGATGACTCTTTCGTACAACCGTGAACAATGTTGATATAGTGTTTTGTCATGATGGATTGGAGCTGTCCAGAGTCGTATCAAACTGGCACTAAAACAAATTTAAGACGCCCTGCTATCAGCCCTTTATTATGATCTCCAAGGCAGGGTTAAGCGCAAAAGGTCCTACTAACATGAATGAGCCACCATGTCTATTTGCTCCTACATATTTTCTATAATTGCTCATATAGTGCAAATCAAAGTACATGTGGCAAGCGTATTGTCAGCTAAAACTGATGTTTTACTTAGAAGTTACAACAACCTTGTTTGGGACCGTGCGGTGCGGTAGCCGACGGTACGTGAAATCACGTTCGTAGTTCATTCTCGCGGTCGGTGTGCGTGCTGCGGTAGCGATAATAGAAGAGACAGCGCGGCGTTTGACACGATTATTTGATTTGTTCGGCCGCCCCTGCGTGATACACGGCCCCAAACGGGCCAACATCGATGACCTGTGGTACTCTGTTTTTTTTTACATTCTTCTGTTTCTCGTGGTGACAAAAAAAAACATAAGCCCAGCTTATATTGCTTGACTTGACTTGTACGTACACACTACTCTCCTCACTGGCCGATCGATATGCGAGGACCACGCATAAACGCACGGACATCCACTGCTGTGCACACCACATACGATCTCATGACGCTGAGAGGCAGGCAGTTTCAATTCTACGACCAATCAGTGTAGACGTGTAGTAGCAAATACTCCTAATGTCTAGTTGCTCGTCTTAAAGTTTAGTCTCTTTCATATCAGATATTTGACACATGTATGTATGAAATATTAAATATAAACTAAAAAATAATTAATTATACAGATTACAACTAATTTGCGAGACAAATTTTTTAAACCTAATTAGTCTATGATTTAACAATATGATACTATAATAAAGATAAAATAAACATGTGGTAGTAACGGATTAATTAGACTTAATAAATTTATCTAGTAGATTATTATTAGGCCTTGTTTAGATTGCCTCAAAATTTTAAGTTTTTTCACTCTCTCTTCATCACATCAATTTTTGGACACATGTATGGAGCATTAAATGTAGGTAAAAAAATAACTAATTACACGGTTTGGTTATAAATCACGAGACAAATTTTTTAAGCTTAGTTAGTCCATGATCGGACAAATTTTATCAAATATAAACGAAACGTGCTATAGTGTCAGCAAAAATTTAATCTAAACATGGCCTTACTATCAAATGCTTTGATGTGACATCCTGATATGACACTCGATATGACCACTCGACTTTTAAACAGCCTCTGAAACAAACTTACTCTCTCCGTCCCATTGAAATGATGGATTTCGAAGGCTTAATAAATCACAATCCCGCTTTCCCGAGCGACAATCTTAAGCTATATAAGTAGTTTTTTAAGCGCTGGTCAGTCGCTGGTCGCTGCCCGAATCATCCGACGTGAAAAAATTGCACTGGTTGCGCGCGCGCGGAGTACGTGACAGCGAAGAACACCCTGCAGGCGTGCAGCGTGCCACGCCGAGAACTCGAAAGGCTAGCTCCCACGCGTACCGGCTGGCCTGTACTGTACGAAACCAACCCTGTGCCGGCACACGCAGCGTCCGTCGACTATCTGCAAAGCGATTATATCCGATTTGTATCTGGTTGACTGAAGCAATTGAGCAAGCACCAAGTGATCAGATCTCCTTATTTCTGTGTTTCAGTGTTTGGTAATTTCAAACCCCCCCCCCCCCCCCCCCCCCCCCCTCCCTCTCTCCTTATTTCTGTGTTCAGCCCGAACTCAAACGTGGTTATTTAATTAGCTAGGTAGCTTGTGAACGTCTCCATAACAACAAAGATTTTGATGAAAAATGAAAATGGGAAAGAGGGTTGATCAGGGAACTAAGGCCTTGTGTAGTTCCTCCCAAAAAATTTACAACATATCATATCGAATGTTTGACACATGCATGGAGTATTAAATATAGACTAAAAAATAACTAATTACACAGATTGCGGCTACTTTGCGAGACGAATATTTTAAGCCTAATTAGTCCATGGTTTGACAATAAAGTGCTACAATAACACATGTGCTAATGATGGCTTAATTAGGCTTAATAAATTCGTGTTGCGGTTTACTGACGAATTCTGTAATTTATTTTTTATTAGTATCCAAACACCCCATACGACACCCGATACGACATCTCAAAACTTTACACGCTGTAACTAAACAAAGCTTAAAAGAAGCTTACAGGTGCGGGGGTTTTTTTTTTACACAAACAATAGAAGTGAGAGCAGCTTCTGAATTTGGCCTGATAACCTGCAGTTATGCAACTGCAAGAAAGTCTGCACGTCCACATGCGATTCTGTGCGCAGACGCAGCACCTACAGCAAGACGCAGACGCAGAGCGAGTTCTGGCAGCAGCACCTACGGCCAGCGGCTAGCGCAGATTGGAGACCACAAGTCGTCCCCGGTCGTCGTCAACGGCCGGACAAATTCGATCGTAGCAATCACGGCCGCATTACTGATTGTACTAAGGTCCTGTTTGGATCATTCCATCAAGCTAACCTTTTATGACCCACGATAGCAATCCCCGTTTCTCTAAATTTGAGAGCCCTAAATATTATAGAGCACTTTAGCTCACTTTTAAAGTATAAAGCTTAAGTGTAAGATGGACTAAATTTTAGAGCCAACGTTAAACCATCTATTGGATACTTTTAGAGCAAGTCGACCCTTAACAATCACACGCCAGTCTCCATAGTCGCCGGTGTATAAGGGCAACTCTAATGTATATAGTACCAACCCCCGGTTCTATACAATGATGTGATGTCGCTTATTAAAATGCCCATGATGTATAGAACCAAAACACTGAATCTATAACCGGGACTCACAAGAGTAAAAATACAGTACATACATACAAAATGGATGTTTATGATCTCCAAAGGCAAAGCGTGTCCATTATCCGTTAGCAGACATTTAATTTAATGGGCATCTGAAAACGGTAGCGGGAGCGTTCTCCAAGCTTCCAAGTTAAGTATATAGCAGCTAGCTTAACAGTTTAACACTAGCAGCAGCTGCAGCCTTGCACGATATCCTTCCGTCGCCATCCGTCAGCACCAACCAATCCCAGCGTATCTACGTGACTATATCTGGCAAGACTTAAGCTCCAACACATTGCGCCATGGGCCATTGTTTGGTTGGGATGATGGAGCTTCTTCGACGCGGCCATGTCCGGCGGTATCGACGCATGCCTCCACGACCACATTTGCAAGTCCCTCACGTTTATGGCACGCGACCGGGAAGGAGAAATCTGCTATCATCGTGCTGCCCTCGGATAAACAATATTTTTTGACGCTGAATGAAGGGATGCTGCGAGCAAATTGCGAAGGTGCCGCGGTGAAGTTCGCCAGGTGGGCGCAGCTGCTCTGAAGCAGAAGCGACGCGCCGGCTATCATGCCAGCCATGGATGGTGGAGCGGGAGATGGAGGTTAGGCAGCTGAACGAGCTGTTAGAACCGACTCAACTCAACCCGTTTTCCTTGTTTGGCACCCACGCCAGAAATAGGCAAATAGTCCCCCGCCAGAAAACGGCGAGACCACACGCCAGAAATAGGCAAATAGCCCCCCGCCCGCGTCCGAGGAAAGCCCCCGCCCCCGCGTCGTCACGGCTGTAACGTAGCGTAGCGACCAAGCGCTCGGTGCCGAGCACGAGCAGCGAGCGAGCGGCCACGGGCCACGGACCAGGCGGATTCGTTCGCGGTGGGGAAGCGGCGGCCAATGGGAGGGAGGAATAATCGCTAAATCTCGAGGAATTATTCCGGAATCCATCCGTGGCACCCCACGTTCCTGTCGCGCCGGATCTTTTCCACCGATGCGGAGGGTGCCAATGTTTTGGTCCCGCCGCTTTTGCGCGGACGCTGGTATTTGCACCGGGGCTGGTACTATTTCCTGCGCCTCCCATCACCCTCCCATACCGTTGGGCGTTGGACGAGGACGAACCACCGGCCGGCCAAAGTGGCCACTGGCTGGAGATGCCGGTCGGTGCTGTAGCACGGCTGCACGGGCGCAGCATCGGTTCTTCCTCCGTATTTTCTTCCCTTTCCGGAATTGATGTCTTGAAAGGGAGATGAGACGACGACGGGTCCGTTTATCCGAAGGAAAGCAAACGGAGGAAAGAGAGGGAAGCAAGTGGCTGTAGTGGCGCACGCACACGCGGTAGCGTTGCGTGGATCGATCGATCGTTCGTTGCTGCCCTGGGGCACACCATGGGGTTGCCCAATCATCATCAGGGAATTGAATTCTCGTACTGTAGCTGATGTATACTGATTACACCGTAGAGATGGTATTTTTTGCGACGATGCTACAGACGCCAATTCTGTACAAGAAAAAGATCATCCGTTTGACCGGATGTTTCTCCAAGCAGATAGGGTGCCCCAGGGGGGATAAAAAAAATTGAGTCATTGACGTCATAGTGTAATAATCTTATCCAAATCGTAGGATCATCTCTTACACAAGCAGGGTTTACAATGTAATTCGTCCAAGTTCACTGCTTGAACTGTGGCTCCGCCCTTGCCCGACGATTAGGTTTTTCCAAGCACATACTCCTAGTCTCCTACACGAGTACTAGCTCTTGGTCTTGGCTGATCGTCAGCACCCCTTATTTCACTGAAACCCCCCGAGTTCCTGCAATCACGGGCACAACATAGAACAAGCAAGTTCTCAAGTTAGAGCGTTCTCCATCCCCAGGAAACAAGCAATTAAAAAAACAACGACAAAGTATAGAGGAAAGCAGCCGAGCACGCATAGAAAGCTACAGAGAAAATTCTTTTTGTTAACGCGACTGAGGTGGCACCACCACCGGGCCAGTTTAACAACCACGCGCAAATGAGGCGAGCCCACGCATAATCCAATTCCAGCTCACTTCACTAGTGAAGCTCTCCCTTCCCGTCCCCGGTCTAGTGCCAGCTCAGCTCGAGAGAGCCACTATTTTTGCTCCTTCTTCCACCCCAAAGCTCTGAGAGAGCACGTTTTTAGGGGTTTCATCATGGAAATTTTTATTTTACCCCGTTTAGCGAAAACGGCCAAAAACGGCTCCCGATCCAAACAGGGCCTAAAACACACGCGACAACCACCACCACCGGGCCACCACCACCCCCCGCCTTCCAATTCCAGCTGTCTCCCTTCCCCGTCCCCGGTCGTGCCAGCTCAGCTCGGAGCCCCGCGCCCCCTCCGCCGCTCTCCCGATCCCCAATTTTAAACTTCCTCTTCTCTCTCCTGCCCACTCGCCTCCCTCCCCTCCCCGCCCCGCCCCGCCCCTCCCCACTCACATCCGGCGCTTCCGCTTCCCCCGCGCGCGCCTCGGCTCCCCTCTCCTCGGCTCCGCTGCGACCGCGATGGCGGCGTCCATGGCGTCGCCGCGGGGGCGGTCGATCCGGAAGACGGTGCTGGAGACCGTGGCGGCGTACCACCAGCAGCAGCGGGCCAGGCGGAGGCTGCGCAAGAGCCTCACCTACGCCGGCGGCGAGCTCTCCTCCGCGGGCGGGGCCCGGGGGGACGGCCCCGCCTCCACCTCCGTCTCCTCGCTCTGCGGGCCCGACGACGACGACGAGCCCTTCTGGGAGGAGGAGGAGGGCACCGTCGAGCTCGTCCAGCTCGGGGCCAACCGCGCCAAGAACGTCCTCATCCTCATGAGCGACACCGGCGGCGGACACCGCGCCTCCGCCGAGGCCATCAAGGACGCCTTCCGGATCGAGTTCGGCGACGAGTACCGGGTGGGTGCGCTGTCCTCCTGCACCACGGCCTCTCCTCAGCTGTCCGCTGGCATGCACCCACGGATTTCGTAATAATCATATCGTTTTGGGCACGCCAGGTCTTCGTCAAGGATCTGTGCAAGGATCACGCCGGGTGGCCGCTCAACAACATGGAGAGCTCCTACAAGTTCATGGTGAAGCACGTGCAGCTCTGGAAGGTGGCCTTCCACAGCACCTCGCCGAGATGGGTCCATAACTTCTACCTCGCCGCTCTCGCCTCATTCTATGCCAAGTAAGTAAGGATACACGTATCCCCTCCTGCGCTTTTGGCTTTGGGAGGTCGATTCGTCCTTGGAACGTTTCCCTTGTTTCATCCTCTGCATCGGGATTGTAAATAAACAACACAATCAATTGTGGCTTGTATCCATGTTGCTGTTGTTGTTGCATACTGCACATTGCTCACCTAATCGCACGATTTTTCTGATGGCCCAGCAGTTTTGTCATTATCGCATACGCCTTTTATTATAATGTCGGATCTAAACGCGTGATTCTGCGCTAATAATTTTATAGCCCCCAGCCCATTCTCTTGAGTACAGTCATCGAATTGTGAGGTTGGACCTTGTCTACGGATACTAAAATATCCATTCTAAAATCATTGTTATGCATCGTATATAAATTTGCAACTGAAACGCAATTTCAAATAAACTGCTACTGAGGTGAGAGATACACTAGTATTTAGCCACTTGTTGGTATGGGTTGCCACTGCCAGGGTGTAGGACAGGAGCATGATGATGAAGAATCTCAACAAACTAATTGGTTGCACTGCCATGTGCCTGAAGCCACCAAAATGGCCACTCTGGCACCAGATGGGTGTGGTTACATTTGCATACCTGGGGACTTGGGGTTGGGGGCACTGTAAATCTGTAGTAGTTCACTGCGGTGCTACCATTCCTTGTGCAACATTTATCTTAACATATGTCCTTTCACAACTGCCAGTATTTCCTGGATATAATGGTTTCATTGTTTTTATATACCATGACCATGATCCACATCCTATCTGCTGCATGATCTGTTACTTATATTTTGTTTTTCTGAATGCCCTGTTGTTTATGGATGAAGGAAGGTGGAGGCTGGACTGAAGAAGTACAAGCCAGACATCATAATTAGTGTCCACCCCCTCATGCAACACATTCCTCTGTGGGTTCTCAAATGGCAAGGACTACAGAACAGAGTAGTCTTTGTAACTGTGATCACGGACCTCAACACTTGCCACCCTACATGGTATGTTCCGTTAATGATAAGGAAAACATATAGTAAAGCAATTTGTTGACTTGACCTGACAATTAGAAGAAAAAAGCGCAGGTTCCATGCTGATGTGAACAGATGTTACTGCCCCTCAGAAGAAGTTGCCAAGCGGGCAGCACTGGATGATCTACAACCTTCTCAAATTCGCGTGTTCGGTCTTCCAATTCGACCATCATTCTGCCGTGCAGTTCTTGTTAAGGTATTTAGTTCACCCTAATTATAATGTTTCTATTCCTGCTAATTTTAGTTCGAAAAATCATACATGGTCTTCCAAAATGCTGAGATGTTCACTTTTCAAGGTTTTGACCTGTTGTGTTCAATGAATATGCTGTATTCCTAAAATTGTTACCGTTCAAGTTTCAAGAAAACAGATGAATATTTGTCTATGCATTGAATTGTCTGAAATACTATTCTGTTGTCATCATTTTTTGGAACTTAAAGTTTTTTTTTGTATGAAACCACTTATATCAGGATGATTTGAGGAGGGAGCTTGAATTGGATCCTGAGCTTCCTGCAGTGCTGCTCATGGGAGGTGGAGAGGGCATGGGTCCTGTCAAGAAGACTGCCAGAGCTCTAGGAGAATCATTGTTTGACAAAGAGCTTGGAAAACCAATTGGGCAGCTTATTGTCATTTGTGGCCGGAACAAAACGCTAAGCTCCTCACTGCAGGCACTTGAATGGAAAATACCAGTAAAGGTATAATCTAGAACCGTGCTGTTTTAATTACTTTCTCAAGGATTCAAACCGATTAGTGTTCTTCATTCATCGTGGGTTTCTTTTGTCAACAGGTTAGGGGATTTGAAACCCAAATGGAGAAGTGGATGGGAGCTTGTGATTGCATTATAACAAAGGTATATCCTCCACCATTATTGATTCTTATCATGTTTGCTTCTTTCGAAGGTTTTTTGTGGTTTTCCTAATTCCATTTCTCTTCTGCTGTGGTTTCTTAGGCTGGACCAGGAACCATTGCTGAAGCCTTGATAAGGGGTCTCCCTATAATCCTTAATGACTTCATACCTGGACAGGTTTGTTCCTACTATCATTCTGCACTCATGTAGTTTTATTGTCACAATGTGCACGCATAGTGTATGTCTCACAGTGTAATTTGTTTGGATCATATGTCATTACAAGATTGCATGGATTCTGTACCTTGTTTTGCTGTTGTGAAATGCCCCATTAGTCCTTTTTCAAGGGGGTGCTACTTCGTTATGGTCATTCCTTGGAAAACTTTTTTTTCAATATACCACATCTAGATTGTTAGGAAAAGGATAATCTCACCGAAGGCGTGACCATTTGTTCTTCACTCCTGCTGAACAGATGCTGGTTTAATTGACTAGCAAATATCTTGTCTATCACACAAGCACACTAAAGCGTAATCCTAAAAACAATTGTATTTTGATCGAATGCAATATATATGAATTAAAGGTGTATTTTAATGTGTCAACGTGATCTCACATTCGTTTGTGTTTTGTATGACAGGAAGTTGGCAACGTCCCTTATGTTGTGGACAATGGTGCAGGTGTGTTCTCAAAAAGCCCTAAGGAAACTGCTAACCTTGTTGCCCGCTGGTTTGGTCCAGATTCAGAGGAACTGAAAAAAATGTCAGAAAATGCACTGAAATTGGCTCAGCCAGAAGCTGTCTTTGACATTGTCAAAGACATTCATGGGCTCTCTCAGGAGCAAGGCGTGATATCACAGATCTCTAGTTCCTTGACTTCATCCTTCTTCATACCATCACCTGAAACCACACCTCTCCAACTTATCTGAAACCATCAAGCTCCCATGGTAGTTATGGGCAGGCTCGTTTGACTGACAGGTTCTCGTGTGTGATGATGCTGGCTTCATTTTAACTTTGTAAAAAAAAACATTCATTCACATCATGTTTCTGGCTTCCCCCGTCATCAAAGGGGAATTGGTGGTGGTGGCTTGTAAAATACACTCAAATTTTGTGCATGGAGATGTCAGACCCTTATCGTGTATACTAACTGACGTGATCCATTCGTGTAAGTGGAAGATGTGTATAATATGATGACAGATTGTTCTGAGTGGAAGTTTTTTTTTGGCTGCAGATTAATCAGAATTGTACCTCCCTATCTTTTTTTTGGTGTACGAGTATTTGGTGGTGAACTGCATGTGCCTATTGTCATAGGAGAGGAACCAAACATGCCTTGAATTTCTATCTGTACAGCGCTTTTAGGTCTTGTTTGGTTTGTTGCCTAGGCAACTTTGCCTGGCCAGGTAGAAATCCAGACCCTCGGTTTCCAGTGCCTTGTGGCCTGAATTTGTTGCCCTGGGGCAGCAACCAAACATGCCTTGAATTTCTATCTGTACAGCTACATCAGCTCTTCAAACTGGATCAGGTGTTGATAAACAAAATGGATCAGATGAATCTGATCTTCAGGAATTCTCCTGAGACATGTACTGTATCTGGGAGCAATGAACTCGATACCAGAATGTCAGTCAGTTCAGTGAAAGCTTAGCTGCTTCTGACTGAAGAATTCAGCAAACTGAAGTGAACGTGAACCCCGTCGACTACTGACTGGTAGTAGTAGGACCGGGAACATGCTGTGCTAGCGTTTTCTGATGTCAGTCACTGGCACTGCTTGGCCTTTCTGTACCGATTGCGGCGGCAGGTCAGAGACATACCGCCAGGTTCCTGCGTCGTCATTGGACGAAGAATTCAGCAAACTGAAATGAACTCGATACCAGAGCCAGTGCCAGGTTCCTGCGTCGTCATTGGACGAACGAGTCCGGCCGTTCTGTCTCCAACCGTCCATCCATCAGATGTTCAGATCGGATTTCAGGTCCAGAGGAGTGGAGAGGAGCAGCGTGAGTGCGAGCGACCGGAGACTCATCCTGACAATGATGAAGCCCGGACCTTTTGAAAGGCAAAAGGCAACGCATGATGCCTAACAAGGGCCAGGATCGGATCAATTTGGGTGGCCTTTTTCAGGTGCATTCTTTTCCTCCGCACTACCACCTGAGCGTCGCCCGCCCCCGGCCCCCATTGTCGGCCTCGGTCAGGTCGCGTTCGCCGATCCACCCCGTCGCAATTGCCTTGTCTCTTTCCCGCACAAACCGGCAGCCGATGCGTTGCCGCCACTGTGCTGTGCATCAGTGGAGCAGCTGCTGCTCTCCACTTGGTTGGCTGGCTCCCTGCCTGCCTGGTTCTCCGTCTAGATGTGGATCTGGATCAAGACGCGCGGGCGAAAGCGATTGATGCCATGCCATTGCCATGTAGTATATGGACTTGCAGCAACGGTGCTAGGCTCCGACGCTCCGACGGACATTTGGCGAAGCCTAGAAACGAACCTCATGGCCCCGGTACGCTCTAGAAACTGACACATCTACGCGCCAAATGCTGCAACGTCGGCGTATGGAAATTGGGCTCTGCTGGGTTAGCCACACGTCTTGTTCCAACTCCTCGCGACCATTCTACTCCATCAAAATCAAACGTCTGGTTTTTTTGCTCACGGTACCGACGAGACATCAACGTTTGCTTGTTAGTTAAATTATAGGAAGAGAATGTTGAAATAAAATTGCTCTGTTATAGTGGGTATAAGTACTTGGCACCAACTTTAACTGCTCCTTGTATCTCAAATAATAGAATCTATTACTGTCATTGCATAATGAACCATTTCCTACCACTTCTTTTCACAGGCTATAAAAAATGGTTACATCTTGACTCTCTTGTACATCATCCATATATACGTGCGTACATGGATTGGAGTCGTCTCCCCTACCAAGTCCTATCTACACCGGGATATCTAACAATATTCACAGAAAGATTAACAATAGATAGAAGAACTATATGCTACAAACAAAAAAGAAAAACTGTATGCTACGAAACAAAAGGAAAAACTAAGAAATAAGGACAAGAGGAAAGGCGCACACCAACCAACGAGTCCGGCAAACAGCGTACGCGGCACGTGGGCCCGCGGGTCAACGGTCATCGGTGAAGCAAGGAGCTAGCGCCGCCACCGCCCACCGCTACGGGCTACGGCGTGGCGCCCCAGAGCACCTCGGCGAGCACGGTGGCCTCCTCCGCCGGCGACACGGCCGCCTCCCGCACCCGCCGCAGGATCTCCAGCTTCGTCTCGCGCTTCTCCCGCGGGCTCAGCCCCACGCCCACCTCCACCTGCACCGCGAACCGCGCCACTGCGCTCACAAACGGCCGCTCCTCCATGTCCGTGTCCGCGGCGCCGTCGTGACGCCGCCACACCGCGGGGAGGCAGGCCAGGAGGAGGGAGCCGTCGGCTTTGGCGTCGTCGGGCTTCGCCTTTGGGCAGCCATCCTCGTCCTCGTCCGTGTCCGTGTCCGCGAGCGAGCCGCCGAGGTCGGAGCGCTGCAGGCAGAGGAGGCGCTTCACAAGACCCTCGGCGAGGAGAGCGTCCACCACCTCCTTCCGGCCGTAGTAGCCGACGCGGAGCGCAAAGCCGAGTGCGGGGACGCGGGCGCGGGGGTCAGGCGCGCACAGCAGCGCGACGAGCCGCGGGAGCTCGCCCCGCGCGTGGAGCTCGTCCACCAGCGGGCTCCGGATGGCGTCCACCAGGCCGTTGAGCGCGCGCAGCGGCGCCGCGGACGCGGACGCGGACGCGGACGCCACCAGCGCGCCGACGTCGGGGCCCATGAGGACGGGCCCCACGAACACGTCCTTGTTGAAGCGCACCAGCGCCAGCACCGCGGCCGCGCAGCCGTCGCCCACGGCGGGGTCCCCGAGCCCGGCCTCCACCGCCGGGAACACGCCGTGGCGGAGCAGCGCGCGCTGGAGCCGCGGGTCGAACCGCCCGCCCAAAGACAGCAGCCGCTCCTCGAGCTCCGCGAGGAGGGAGCGCGCGGCGTCCGCCCTGCCGCCGCGAAGCGCGGCCACGAGGTGCGCGATGGCCTCGCGGTCGACCCACGCCTGGATCTCGCCGGCGACGGCGCCGGCCACGCGCGCGACCGCCTTCCACGCGCCGCACCGGCGCCACCGCGCGCGCAGGGACAGGGAGCCGGAGCCAGCCGCCCCGGCGCTGCACAGGTCGAGGGAGCACGAGAGCGCTCTGAGCCGGTAGAGGAGGCGGCGCAGGGCGACGAGATCGGGGTCGCCGGCGAGGAGGTCGTCGGCGCCGGCCTCGAGCGCCAGAAGCGCCTGCAGCGCCGGCCCTTGTACTTCCCCGGCCTCCACCCTCCGCGCGGCGTCCCGCAGCGCTCGTAGGACGTGGAGGAAGCCCTTCATGCTTTGACAAACGCAGGCAGCTTTGGTGCATGGGTGTGGCGGCTCGCTAACCCGATCCGCCATCCGCCGGTCAAACCATCACCCAAACAGGCTGTCTCAAGAGATGGGCCACGAGGCCTGCAGGATCAGGCTTCAGGCTTCAGCCCAGTTTCCTGCCGACGACGTAGCGGCCCAGCAGTGCCTGCAGCCCGTCTGCCACAGGGACCCCACTTCCGCAGACAGGCCGCGGCACATCGCTCGCGCACTCCGCTCGTCGGCACTCTCGTCGTCTTCACCAAAACCCTATAGCGGGGCTGCGGGAGGGAGAAGAAGCGAGCCCCCACCTCCACGCGCCCGCCGCCATGGCGCTCCACCGCATCACCGCGAGGAGGAGAACCGTTCTCCCCGCCACCCGTGCCTTCTCCTCCTCCTCTAACCCGCCGTTCCCTCCGCCCCCGACTCCCGCGAACGACCCCGACGCCGCCCATTCCCCGTCCTCCTCTTCGCCCCCAAACCCCGGCGCGCCGCGGAACCCGGCGTCCTCGCTCTTCCAGGACATCAGAGATCGCCTCCTCTCGTCTCCGATGTCGCCCTCCCCGCGCCGGATCCCGACGAACCTGCCCCGCCCCAACCCCGCGCGCGGCGCTCCTTCTTCGCAACGGGCCCCTGAAGACATCCGCCGGATGCTCCAGAACTTCCGCTCAACCGGCGGCGTGCCTTCCACCTCCTCTCCCGGAGCCGCCCCGTCACCCTCCGCTCCCGGAGCCATCCCCTTCTTCACGGACCTGTTCAAGAAGGACAGCGTCGCCCAGGGCCCCAACGCCGGGCAGGGGGTGCTCGGCCTCGATGCCACCCGAGGGAGCCTCAAGGGCCCCCGTTCGTCGAAGCCTTTTATGACCCATTTGCCGAGCAGCATCTTCCGCCCGGAGCTAGAGAGGAACTCGAAGGCTGTAGGTGCGGGGCAGGAAGAGAATGGCTCTGCCATTGCGCTTAAGAGGCACTACAGCTACGAAGAGCTTGGGAAGAGGCTAGGGGAGCTGCGGCCGGCGGGTGCGGGCAAAGACGGTAAGGAGTGGTTCTCGCTCACGGAGCTGCAGGGGCGTATCGCCAAGCTGGCAGAGTTGGAGAAGCAGGAGAACCGGTTCGCCAGGCCGCAATTTTTGGAACTCCGGAGTGGCATTGAGAACCTGCAGAAACAAGAAAAACCGGCTCGGCAGGTAAACATGAATACACTGCTGAACCTTGGCGGTCAGCTGGACTACATGGGTCGGCCTCCGCAGGAGGAGTTGTTAGAGAAGGTGAGATTGGCCTTTTATTTTTTGCTGCTTATCAAAGTAATTCCTTGGCTTATTTACAGTCTTAGGATAGGATGTGATCTACTACCGCTGATCAAAGTTGTTATGTTCAGTACTTCCATCCAGATCATATGTCATCCGAAGATAAGATGAAATTGGAGCTCCAAAGGGCGAGGGACGAGTTCAAGATGTCCGAGAATGACTGTGGTTCTGCACGAGTTCAAAGTAAACTCACTTTATTCTGATCTTTTTTGAGTTCGAAGTAAACACTTAAACCTGTCCTTCAAAGTAACACGAGTGACGAGTTCAAGCAGGTGTCCTACTTGTGAAAGATGTAGTGACATTTGTGCGGAAATAAGAAATACTGAACGCAGTATTCATTCTTAACTAGATAGATATACTTTTTCATTGTTTTCATACACTTTTTTCCTTTTGAGGTTGCATAATACATACAGAAACTGTGCGTTTATTATTTATGCTACGAAGTTTATTTGTAACGTTTCTGTGTTTGTTTGCCTTTATTGGTTGTTTATTTGATTCTTATATCTGAAACAAACCTGTAGCTATATGTGAACTAAACAGTAAACACCTTTCTGCTTTGTCAATCCCTTCTTCTCAGTCCTTCTTGTTGACCGAGGAAAAAGCATCACCTAAGCATGATAACTTGTATCTCTTTTATTTATTTTTCTACATGAGGTCTCATAGCAGCTCTGATGTATGTTTAAAGATGTCGAGCATTGTATATTTGTATGCCCATTTGGCTTTATTGCCTTTTGTATGTGAATCATGCTTGTTACTGATATGTCCATATTTCGTTTCCAGTTGCCCAACTGACTCTGAAAATCAAGCATCTATCAGCTGTTATACACAAGAAGGTATGCAAAATCCTAGGTCCTCCTTATGATTTATTGTGCTGTTTCACTGCAACATCTGGCAGTAATGCTTTTGGAACTGTTTAATCTTGATTCAAAGAAGTAATTCGTGCGCCGTGTTGTGATGCAGGATAAACATTCTAGAAAGGGGCTTCAGGAGATGGTCCAAAGGAGGAAGAAATACCTGAAATACTTGCGCAGAACCGACTGGGACTCGTACTGTCTTGTTCTGTCAAAGCTGGGGCTTCGCGATGTGCCCGAGTACAAAGCTCCTGACTACAAGAGCAAAGCAACCACCAAGGCCAAATCTAAGAAGAAGAGCAAGGGCAAGGGCAAGAAGAGAAAGGTGAAGGCGTAGAGGTGGTGAACAAATCTGCCCTTCCTTTGGCCAAATCTAATTATAAGAAGAGCAAGGGCAAGAAGAGAAACGCTCAGGCCCGAGATGGCTCGATCAAATCTTGCAATGCTGTATTTTTGAAGCTGTTTGTAATAACCATTTCTCTGGAGTCTAGATGCCGAGGTTTTTCCTTGTCTTGCTAGGAGCTGCAGCCTCCTCCTAACGCCAGCCGCGGCGTGGTAGGGTTTTGCCGGAGCTCTGCCGTCGTGGGCGCCTGACGAGACTCTACCACGCCCACGACGATCTTCTTCCCCTCCCATGCCGCTGTCATGGCCATTGTTGCCCCCATCCCAACCTGGCCTGGCCACCTCCTCAACAGCTCGCTCCATTGGCAGTGGCGTCACCGCCGCCTCCACCTCGTCGCCGTCTCTTCCATCCCCATCGCCCAATCACCTCCTCAACCGCTCGCTCCATCGGCGGTGGTGTCACCGCCGCCTCCACCTAGTCGCCGTCTCTTCCATTCCCACCGCCCGCCCACCTCCTCAGCCGCTTGCTCCATCGACGGTGGCGTCACCGTTGCCTCCACCTCGCTGTCATCTCTTCCATCCCCACTACCTAACCTGCCTACCTCCCAAAAATTTCTTCTAAGCCCTCGGGAGATGCCGGAGATGGAGAAGAAAGGAGAAAGAGGAAGAGGAAGAGAAGAGAATGGAGAAGAAGAGAGGGAGAGGAGAGAAGAGAGAAGATTCGAATGTTCCAACATTCGAGTGAGATGTAGCTTTTCTGTAACACTATACCATTACATCATCAGCAGTTTTTCGTTTTGCTAGAGTTCTTGTTTGTGCTTGACGTAACTTGGCCATAATTCTTGTACACAAAACACATGAGCCATATGTCAATCTTGCTAGAGCACGAATAAACACAACTGATCGCCAGTTTGTAATTTGACAATGTAGTACTCATATTATCACTGGTTTCCGCCGGAGATGGAGAAGAAGATGAGGTGAAGAGAAGAGAGAAGAATCGAGTGTTCCAACACTTTAGTGAAACATAGAATTTCTATAGCACTATACCATTGTGTCATCATCAATTTATAGATTTGCCAGAATACTTGAGTGAGATGTAGCTTTTATGTAGCACTGTACTATTACTTCATCACCGTACTATTACCTCATCACCAGTTCGTAGCTTTGCCTGAATTCTTGTTTGTATTTGACGTAATTTGGCCATAATTTTTGAAAAAAAATGCATGAACATATGTCAATCTTGCTAGAGAGCAAAAAAATACAACCGTTTGTCAGTCTGTAATTTGATACTACAGTACTCACATTATCACCGATTTCAGAAAACTGCATATGGTTTTGATAGAAATTCTACTAATTTTGATTTGAAAACCGCGATATCAGAACGAGGCTCCCACGACCGATCCGACCCGACCTGCGGTCCTCGGCCGGCGGCTCGCGCTGCCCCTCACTACCACGCAACCAGTAAAAACCTCTCACCCCCGAACCCCTCCGCCGCCGACGTCGCCGTGGCCAAGGAGCGCGAAAGGGACGCGACCTATCCCTCCTCGGACGCGGCTCCAGATCTCCGCTGCCGCCCGCTTCTCTTCCATGGAGGCGAGATCCTCGTCCTCTGCGGCCGCCGCGCCGCCGCCCCCCTCCATACCCTCGTCCAGCGACCAGGGCGTCTGGGCTGACGCCTCGCCGCTCCTCGCCGCCGCGTGCCGTGGTAAAACTCGAGACAGAGCCTTCCCCTTGCTGTTTGCTGATGTGAAACGTGCTAGTCTCTGTTGTTTGGAGGCCTTGCATGCAGGCTCTGTTGTGCGGTGGATCGTGCGTGTAGATCTCTGTGTATGTGGATACTGGTGAGGATGGTTTCTCGTTTTGGTTTGCACCGAGCAATGCGAGATGCTTGGTTGCCTGAGGAGATTTTGGTGTCAGCAGCATATGGGATGTACCCAGTCAGTTTTAAACCATAGAGAAAAAAACACGCACACTGTGTTTGATTACAACAACAACATAGCCTTTCAGTCCCAAGCAAGTTGGGGTAGGCTAGAGTTGAAACCCACACTGTGTTTGATTGAATAGTAAATATGAAATGGGTTGCCGTTGCTGTGGGAGAACTGTACTGGCAATAGAGAATGCATTGTCTAGGTCCTAGGATTTGGTGTTTGTTTTATGTTGCATTTTAAACACCTGCCCATTCTGAGGTAGCCTGTGAGTGATGTGTCGTTGAAACACCTGAGAATCGAGAGCATGTAGTTTCGTGCCCCGAGAGTTACCGATTTTCTCAATTCATGATTGATAAAATGTAACCAACCTTCCTTTTAAGGATGGATTAAGGGTTTTAGGAGAGCTATATGGATTTTAATGGATCTGTTTTACAGATTAGGAAGGTCTTTTGGTTAGCATTGGTTAGTCATTGAGGTGGCTGGGTTACAAGAGAGCTACTGCCTACTGGTATATGTGCAGTAAGAAAAGCAAACTTGATGTTCCTCTCTTGTCTGCTTATGTGCCCTGGAGGCACTATTTGAGGATTAGTTTTGTAACTAAGCGAAGTATAAGATGCGATCACTTAGGGATAGTGTCCAAGTTTGTGGGTGGCAAGGCTCCTGTGCAAACCCCCCTGGCTACGCCCCTGGTTGGGAATGAACCAGGGGCTGAGTTTCTGGGGATGGAGAGGAACCATGGCTCTGAAAGCTATGAGCAGTCTGAGGGACTCACCTTTCCACCAAGTTAAATTGAACTCAAATTTTCTGACCTTCCATTATGTATCCTTTGCCTCATGGTGCTTTTGTGAAGTTTGTTTGGGAAGTGACTTTTCTATAAATCTAAAATAGTAAAATATACATGTGCATTAATGAATTATATTCAAACATTGATGTACAAATTATTGGCGCTATGAACAACATATTTCGAGAAAGTAATCAAGTTAAAATGCTACACATGAAAATATATCTGTGCATTTTTAAAAATATTTTACAATTTGGTAGAAGTGCATGGTCTTCTTTTTTCAAAACTAATTAGTTAGTTCAATCTCAAGTGGGGATGGTTTGTCGTTTTCTAGGGCTGCTTTGTTGCCAAAGTCCGCTATGGGAAATTTTGATGTTGGATTTAGATGCATCTCGGACTCTGTCCATACTGATAGAAACAGACAGCTGAGAGTTGAGCCTGTGCTCAGATCTACTAGCTAACTTATCTTTTATTTGTTTTGTCTCCTACTGACTGTTTATGCTTGTAGATCTCCAGGATGGGGAACTTGTACATGGAGAAAACTTTAGTCTATTTGCTGCAATGTCTGCATTGGAAGTAAGCCCGCACCACATCCCCTGCTATTTGATTGTGCTTCATCTCCTTTTTTCTCTCTATTGTGCATTGTGGGTGTCGAGGCTCATGATGCTCTTGTTTCTACTGAATTATTTTGTGCATTTAGTTATTATTATGATTTAGCAATTGGTTGATCTTTTCCTTGTAGACATAGTATTTTCTAGGTCACCTGAGTTGCTTTTATGGACTATCACTCTACTTTTTTGGGCACTTGAGGATCTGGATGCATGTATCCTTGTGAAAAGCTATCTCTTGACAATTCACTCATTGATGTGATAGGCAATTTTTTTTTTAAATTTAGATTGGCTTGGTCAGTTATTTTTGTTTGGAGTGATTCTTCTCACTGATCTCAGTTTCATTGAAAATTATGAGACAGAGAACATTAATTACATACTCTGCGAGCGAACTCGCTCACTAATTCAAAATCCAAAACATGCATGTAGGTAGGCAATTCAAAATGTGGTATGGATCAAAAGGACAGACATGTTTAAGGAACCTTTCAAAATATTAGTGAATGCTTCAAAGGACATTTTAGTTCATAATGATAATGTCATAATGACTAAGCCAAACTTCATACTGGTCAGGGCCATTGAGTGAGGCACTTCAATGGTTTGTTGTGTTTTTATTGTTTCAATGTATTGCTTGATTTTAGTTCTCAGTATGTACTCCGTCCTGATAGATAATGGATCCAAAAATGGATTCTGGAATTGAGAGAAGTCGATACAACTCCATTGAAGAGGCCATAGAAGATGGTGTTGCGCCAATCCCACTTAGCTTGGACAGGACACTTGATGTTCAACGCTCTATTGATGTCATGGATCATCTTTTCTCATGTGAGGTACTTAAGTCCTCTCTTGCATGTAATATGTGCAACCTTTTCAATTTGACTAAACCACATATTTTAATGCTTTATTTACCAGGCAACATGGCACAAGGGGCACACTCTAGCTCAGACTGTATTTACATGTATCTACCTTATGAGAATGGAGAGAACTTCATCGCATGCTGTACTAAATAGCTTTTGCAGGATTTTGCGTGCTACTTGTAATGCTGTCATTTCTGTTGTTTCTACTGCCCGAACTCATGAGGTACTGGGTTGGACCTTGGTTGCTATCTATCTCCATTTTTCCCTGGTTACTTCTATCAATAATCTACGGCATGTCAAGAATATGGAATTTGATGGTACTAGAAATAATTTATGCATATTAACTATCTTGACAAAGTTCGTTCTTTTATAGCCTCCTTATTTGACTATCTCCACTAAACTCTTTCTTGAAAATTGCTCCAATCTGTCATGTTGCTGAACTTGATTGGATCTGAAGACAATCACCTTGACAAGTTATTTTTGTAAGATAAGACTAGCCTCTCCCTGCAAATGAGTAGCACAAATTAACATTTTTGTTTCTAGATTTGTGCAATTTATTTAGCTTTTTACTTTTTAGTATATGTTGTCCATAACCTTGTTAGACAACTGGTAACTGATAGCTTGCATGTGGAGTACTGGAGTGGATTTCATTAGTCTCTGAATGTCTCCTACATTTGTTACTTTTTTTAGTTGCAGAAGTGATTATGGAGGGAAGCTATATTTAGTGCTTTAGGGTGCGGTGCTGTAATGTGTGAGATCTGCTGTACATAATTCATATGTCAATATGAGCATCAGTTTTTATTAGTGTTTAACCTGATATGTGAGATACCACCATCTTTTGTGTAGTTGTAACTCCATGATTCCACTTGTGAGACAAATCCTTTTTCATGTATCTGTAGGAAGAGGATCTCTTTACTATGTCTTTTGGGCTGCCTTTGAGAGATGAAGGTGATGAAAAGTGCCTGTCAATTCTAAACTCAGTTGAAGAGACAATATCTCGCCAATTACGTGCATGTAAAGCCCAGGCATTGTCCAAGAAAAAAACACTAGAAGGTATCAGTATTAAGTGTATGTGCTATATAATCTTATTCTGGTTTTCTCAGTTTATTAATGTCATGAGTATCATTAGTATTGTTGAAACTGCTCCATTTTGAATAATTGTTGTATATTAAGTTTCCCTGATGCAAAAAGAAGAAGAAAAGAATTGTTGTCAATTACTGAAGATAGGACAAACCATATGTGCCTTGTTTTAGCTCAACTATCTTTAGTTCAATCTTGAAATTGCGCTAACTGCTGATTAATTTGCATCAAATTATTCAAGTGCATGTATGCAAAGTTGCTGAACACTAAACTAGGTCCTTCACTTTTAAGTACTTCTAGCTTAGTCTTTAGAATGGTTTGACATAAAAATACTAAAGAAGGGGAAAAAAAAAGATGCTGAAGCCTATATTGAGAATGAGAAGGTAATTAATTGGATTATTACTTTGACAAGCTTAATATACTTTGATTTTGTCTTATGTAGACTATATAAATATAAATTAATGAAAAACCAATATATTCCTTTTTTAATCTATATAAGAAGATTGTTGATGTCGTGATATTGACTAGGAATATTTTATTGCTGCAGGTCTTGAATCCCTGCAGGATAATCCTGATCTGGAAGAGGATTATTGCAGAGCTCTGTTATGCAGATTACGTTTTCGTAAGGTCTTAACCCTTATTTCCTGTTCAATTCTGTTAAAAAATGGTCGACTGAATTTTCTGATTGTTGTGAATTAACAAATGCGTTTCTGAAAGCAGTTTGTTTATCTATGTTCATCTTCTGTTATTATGTATATATTGATTTCACAGTAAGCAAGTACGCTTCCATGATAGTTGTTATGACCGGCCTGCAGTACTCCAGGCGCCAAGTTAGTGGCTAATAAGCCATAGTATTTATTTCGTGATTTATATTATTAGCAAATAGCCCAAGGGGTTAGCCCAAGGGGTTAATTAGCAAAAGGATTATTCATTAGCATAAATACTTGTAATCAGGATTATTGGAGATTAAGCAGAAACAGATTGTTTCCGGCTTCCTGAAGGGAGCCGGGAGACCTAAACCCTAGCCGCCTCTTCCTGTCGCCTGAGCTCGCGCGACCACGGCGCCCCGCCGCCGCGCGACGTTCAAGCCTCGCCCTTCAATCTCCCACAGCTACAACCTCCGATCGACGAGTCACAGAGGACCGCTGCCTATCAACCTGGTATCAGCGTTCTCGGTTCCGATGCTGACCTCGCTGCCCACCTCCACCACTCCGCCGCCGGCCACCAACGCCTCCGCGCAGCTGCCTATTCCGCAGACGTCCCAGCCGGTTCTGCCCGCGGGAACCCTGCCGCTCGTCCCCGAGACCTCGTTGCCGATGGCCGCGGGGGCGTCTCCCTCCGCCATTGGCGTCATGTCAAACGCAGAATTGACGGCAGCGGTGCTCGACCTCGGCAAGATGGTGGCCGGGATTCATGCGTTTCTTTTGGGATCGCAAGGACCGTAGCCGAACCCACCGCCGCCGCCCACGCAGCAGCAACTGCCGCCGCCGCCCCAATCTTCGGCCGCCCTGTACCCCTACGGGATGCCACCCGGCGACACGGCGTCCACCACAACGCCGGCGCTATTGGTTCCCCCCGGTGGTGTGCCGATCCAGCAGATACACTTTCCCCACTCGCCATCCCCATTGCCGCCATGGCTCACGGCGTCCTCGACCCCAATCTACTCCACCGCGCCGGCGCGCACTTCGATCCCGGCGCCCGACATCACCTCGGGCCTCGGCCATGGGGGCGTTCCTGCGTCGGGCACCCTCTATGGCGGCGTCGATGGGTCGCTTTTCCACGGCTCCAGCCTCTGGCCGGCGCACACAGAGCCCCCAACGTCCGGCGCGGCTCCATCGGCGGTCGCGCCCGCGGCGATTCGGATCGGCCGACTTCCAGCCCAAGGGCTACAAGCTCGACTTCACGACATATGACGGCTCCGCCGATCCATTGAATCGCTCACACTGCTCGTGAGCGTTTTTTAGGGGCGGCGCACCGGCGCACAAGAAGGCGGACATGGATGGTCGCGTACCACCTCACCGGCGCCGCTCAAGCGTGGTACTACGCCTCCCGCTTGGATGAGGCATGCCTTCCTAGGGCGCTTCAGGAGCCGTGCCGCTCCGCCGGGCCATCCATCTATGGCTCGCGGTTGGCGAGAAGGTCGCGCTGCCGTTTCACTCCACGGTCCAGAGTTTGCGGACCGTTTCGTGACGATACTCGCGCACTCGAGGACATCTCTACGCGCCGGAAAGCGGAGCTCTTCGTCGGCGGTCTCCGGAACATATTCGGGTTGGCGTCGCGATCGCGCGCTCCGCCCGACCTCCGAGACGGCGATATTCTGCCCACGCCTTTGAGAGCCGCGCCACGGCCACGCCGCTACCTACCACAAAGAATGGCGGCACAAATCCACCGCCACGGCCGGGCCTTCCTCCACGTCCTCGGGGCGGCGGCCCTCGCCGAGCTTCAGCCGCTTAGCGCGCATAATGGCGCGGCACCAAAGAAGCGGGCGAATCGCTTCGAAGGCCCGCGGCAACACCGGCGCGGCCGTTCGCCGCGCTTTTCGCCGGCCGAGATGCAAGAGCGCCGTCGCTAAGGCCTCTGTTATAACCGTGACGCAGCGGTATGTGCGTGGGCATGTGTGCCCCACCGTTTCTACTGGAGCGACGACTTCGTCGACGACGACGACGGGCGCCAATGGGGGACGCTGCATGACGCTGTTTTGCCCGAGGAGCGAGCAGCCAGCGACGGGCCGCCACGCTCACGCTCTTGTGGTCTCTATGCACGCTCTTGCGAGGATCCGGACCTACCACACGATGCTCCTTTCGGTGGCGATCAAGGGCGAAGCGCCTCCTCGCCTTGTTGGACACCGGCTCCACCCACACCTTCATCCAGGCGCGGCCACGCGCGCGCTGGGCTTGCTCCACCGGGGCGACCGGCTCGAAGTCACGGTCGCCCGGCCAGCGAAGCTCGCGCCATCGCGCGAGGATCGCCCGTGACGTTCCGTCGTCATCGGCGGGCGCCTTCTCCATCACTGCGTCGGACTTCGCGCTAGGTCATTTCGACTTCATCCTGGCGTCGACTTCCTTGGCACGTTGGGCCCCTCACTGGGACTTCGAGGGGCTCACCGTGTCCTTCCAGCGGGATGGCCGCCGCGTCACGTGGCAGTGTGTGGGCGCCCCGGGCGCGCCCTCCCAGCAACGCTCGTTGGTCGCGGTCGCCACGGACCCGCGACGACGACGGCCGTTGGACGAGCTTCTACTCCAACCTGGCGCCGTCTTCGACGACACACCACGGGCCTCCCTCTAGCTTCGTCCCACGACCACCGCATCCATCCTCCTCCCGCCGGGGACCGACCGCCGGTTGCCATGCGAATCGTCTGCGGTACCGCTTGTTGCGAAGACGCGAGCTCGGCGGCAATGCTGCCGCCATCGCCGGAGCAGGCATCATTCGCCCAAGTACTTCTCGCGTTCCCGTGTCGGTCTTCGCTTCGTCAAGAAGGCGGACGGGTCGTGTGGCTTCAGATCGACTACTACAGCGCGCGCAGCGACCGCACGTCCACGGACAAGTTTCGATCCCGATGGTTGATGAGCTCCTCGACGAGCTCCATGGGGCGAAATGCTTCACCAAGCTCGACCTCGCTCCGGGTACCACCAGTGCGGATGCACCCGGCGGACGTCGAGAAGACCGCCCGCGCCCACCACACAGCCGCCGAGTTCCGGTGATGTCGTTTGGGCTCTCCAACGCCCGGCGACATTCCGAGCATTGATGAACGATGTGCTCCGCCCCTTTCTCCATGAGTTTGTCTTTGGTTTTCTTCAACGACATTCTCATTTACAGCTCGTCGTGGTCCGAGTATCTCCAGCATATGGGCCTCGTCTTCACCGCCCTGCGAGCACACGGTCTCTTCCTCAAGAGGTCGAAGTGCTCCTTCGGGGCCCTCTCCGTCGCATACCTCGGCCACGTCATATCCGCCGATGGCGTCGCTATGGACAGCGACAAGGTGACCGCGGTCGCCTCTTAGCCGACGCCACGCTCTCCGCCGTGGTGTGCGCGGCTTCGGGCTCGCCGGCTACTACCGGAAGTTCATCCGCGACTTCGGCTCCATTGCGGCGCCCCTCACGCGTCTCCTATGGAAGGAGGCGTTCGTTTGGACCGCAGAGGCGGACGAGGCCTTTGCTGCCCTGAAGCGGGCGCTATCTTCGGCGCCGGTTCTCCAGATGCTCGACTTGAACGCCGATTCAGTGGTCGATCAGGACGCCCGGCCACGGCTTTGGCGCCGTTCTACACCAAGGGTCGGCCCCTAGCCTTCTTCGGTGACCATTCGCGCCCGCCATATCAAATTGGCGGATACTGCGCAAGCTCATTGGGCTGGTGCAAGCGATCCAACACATTGGCGCCCGTACACGGAAGGCGCCGTTTCTCGTCGCACCGACCACTACGCTTGAAGTTCCTCTGGACGGGCCGGGCCATCCACCGTGCCCCAACACCGAGTGGATTAGCAAAAGCTGTTCGAGTTCGACTTCACCGTCGAGTATCGCCCGGCGGCTCAACTTCGCCGCTTAACGATTTATCTCCGGCCGCGACGAGGAGGCTGCGGCGTTGTGCGCCCTATCAGGGCCCTCCTTCGACCTCTTCATCGACATCCGAAGGGCCACTGCGACCGATCCGGCCGCCGCGACTCGCTGCAGAAGGTGGCCGCCGCCTCGGATCGCTGCTGTGGCGCAGCCGCGGACGGTTTCCTTCTCCACGGCAAGCGCATCTACGTTCTGGCTGTCGACGACCTACGCCACCAGGTGGTGGCCCTTGCACACTCGGCTGGGCATGAGGGGGTCCAGAAAACCCTTGTGCGCCTCCGAGGTGACTTCTACATCCCCGGCGACCGGCAGCTCGTGCAGGACTTCGTCCGCGCCTGCGACGTCTGTCAGCGCAACAAGACGCCGACCACACAGCCGGCCGGCCTCCTACAGCCCCTGGACGTGCCGTCTCAGGTGTGGGCTGATATCGCCATGGACTTCATCGAGGGGCTTCCAAAGGTGCACGGCAAATCCGTGATCCTGACGGTGGTGGATCGCTTCTCGAAGTATGCTCACTTCATCGCCCTAAGCCACCCCTACACCGCCGCCTTGGTTGCTCGCGCCTTCTTCGAGGGCATCGTGCGTCTACACGGCGTCCCCAACTCCATCGTCAGCAACCGCGACCTGTGGCGTGATCTTTTCAAGTGTGCAGGTGTGAAGCTTCGTCTCAGCACGGCGTTCCACCCTCAGACTGACGGCCAGTCAGAGGTCGTCAACAAGGTGATCGCGATGTATCACCGTTGCGCGACTGGTGATCGGCCGCGCTCGTGGGTGGACTGGCTCCCTTGGGCGGAGTATTGCTACAACACCTCGTTCCACACTGCGCTCCGGGCGACGCCGTTTGAGGTGGTGTACGGCCGCTCCCCGCCTCCCCTTCTACCACACCAGGAGGGGGCGGCAACGACAGAGGCGGTGGACGCCATGCTGTGAGACCGCGATGCATTCCTGGAGGAGGTTCGCAAGCGTCTTCTCCAAGCACAGCAATACGCCAAGCGGCACTACGACGAGCACCATCGCGAGGTGGAGTTCGAAGTCGGGGCATGGGTGCTTCTCCGCCTGCTACACCGCCCCACCCATGCCCTTGCCTCACCGTGGAAGGGCAAGCTGCGCCCACGCTACGCCGGGCCGTTCCAGATCGTCGAGCTCATCGGCCCGGTCGCCTACCGCCTCCAGCTTCCAGCCGAGGCGCATCTCCATGATGTTTTCCATGTGGGGCTGCTGAAGCCCAACAACTACATCGGCGCTCCTCCTGCAGCCCCCGCAGTGCTGCCACCGGTCCAGGATGGGCGCCTGCTGCCGGCCCCCGAGCGTGTGCTGTGTGCACAGCTCCGTCGTGGTGATTGGAAGCTCCTTGTCAAGTGGCAGGGTCTCTCAGAAGATGATGCGACGTGGGAGCCTCTCCAGGACTTCAAGACCCTCTACCCCGATGTCCAGCTCGAGGACGAGCTGTTTGCCGAAGCGGGGAGAGATGTTATGACCGGCCTGCAGTACTCCAGGCGCCAAGTTAGTGGCTAATAAGCCATAGTATTTGTTTCGTGATTTATATTATTAGCAAATAGCCCAAGGGGTTAATTAGCAAAAGGATTATTCATTAGCATAAATACTTGTAATCAGGATTATTGGAGATTAAGCAGAAACAGATTGTTTCCGGCTTCCTGAAGGGAGCCGAGAGACCTAAACCCTAGCCGCCTCTTCCTGTCGCTTGAGCTCACGCGACCACGGCGCCCCGCCGCCGCGCGACGTTCAAGCCTCGCCCTCCAATCTCCCACAGCTACAACCTCCGATCGACGAGTCACAGAGGACCGCTGCCTATCAATAGTTTTTTTTTTTTTTTTTTGAGAAATAACATGGAAACTGTTGGCCTTTCCTTGGTTTCTCTCCTTATCCAGTGATGAAATGAAGGAAAAGGACAAACTATTACGCTTGCAATTGCCTTACACATTTATGTGTGTTTGTACCACCATGGTTGTAAGGCGATTCTGATGTCGATGCATTCTGTTGGATAGTTCACAGAGCCTTGGTGCTGCTGTGCCCATCCTTTCCGTTCTAAACTCAGTAGGTGTTATAAACCCATCCTGGTGGCTGTTTGTAATTTCGTTGCGAAAGCAATGAAATTCAGGCTCGCTCATTATGAAAAAAAAAAATGTATGTTTGCACCAAGCGGAACTGTTGCAACTAAAGACTATACAGTACAATATTGTATAACTAAAGTCTAAAGGTCAACTAGTTTGACATCGGCCTTTCAGTTGTAGGGATCATTTCTGATGAAGTTGTATAGAAGTTTTTTTCCTTTTATTTTTCAATGCCTCCATCACCTTTTTTTGGTGGTTTTGTAGCATTTCTACCATGTTGTTATGTGCATGAGGAAACCTCATGGAAGAGGATTGGAGTTGGCCCGGAAGCATGTTGCTTCATGCTTGACAGAGCTTAATTTGATGCTTAAGTCTCGGGAGTTTCTCAAGTCCCAGTCCAGCACTACGTTACAGCAAGGTGATGGAAACTGCACCACTGCATCTGGTTGTCAACCTGTTGGCTTTGATGTTACCTTAAACAGCAGACTTTTGAGTCCCACACCACCACGTGCGGTTAAAAGTACTTAGCTGGAGCGATGTAAGTACGAATTAGGCATTAATTATGCTCCAAGTTCCTACCTTAATTATGCTTGAAGTTTCTATGTTTTGTTGAATCACATCTGAAAGATGGACACACTTTTGCAGCTTCCCATGTAATGCTGTAATAATTATGTTTCAGGCAATCAGGTACTTTGAGAGGCTTCTGCATGATCTTGATGTCATCTGCGCTTCGTCGCTCGATCCTGTGCTTGAGAATGTGCTTCACTTTATTGTACAGTTCCAAAAAACAGTGCCAGATTTGGTTCCTAGAGCATTTCTTCAGGTGGGTCATACTTATATTCTTCGTGGTCCATCTGCGCTACAGCAGTTGGTGTAGTGTATGACTAACTTGCAATTTAATGTTAGGTAATTGTTTGCTTCTTTTACTGTTTTAATATCTCACTGATAAAAGTCTTATGCTATAACCAAACATTAGTGATGTCTTATGTTATGAAAGTCTTGGATTAATAAAGGGAGGGAAGATTTTATCTTTTGTATATTTGGTTGAAAATGTAGTATGGTATCTGATATTGTGATTGTGACTATCAATTCATTTATCTTTTAGAAACATGATTTGTTTCATCCTGTACAACGTGCAGTCTTTGAATTCTTTTACTACATCTCATTCGCTGCTTCTTTCTTGCATTAACAATGATCCAAAAATGGCCCTGATGCAGACTTTGTTGGTCCAAGATGGCAAACTTTATGGGGAACACTTGTTTTCTGATGTCATTTCAAGGGCTTTATCACTACCGGACATTATTGGAGATAAGGAATTTCAGATGAATGAGTTTGTTGTGCAGCTAGGTCAGGTCAGACACCAGGATCATTCTTCTCCTCTGTTGATGGTTACTTTGCATCTTCATTTGTCTGGAATTATCACTGATTAATTAATATGATGACATTGCAGTTGGTTGTCAACTTAATAAAAATTCTTTGTACAAACACTGCATGGCAACGGCGCAAGCTTGGGAAGAGTTTACAGGATTGGAGTACTATTTCCATACAGGTGTGTGAAATCAATGCTGTTTTGCTTATTTCTTCTTTCCTCAGCTTACATTAGTAGACGTAAGTTATGCTTTCGTGTTGGCAAAAGAATCACATCAGCTACAGTAAACAAATTTGGTTGTTTCATAACCAAGCTGAAAAACTCAGTTGTCTAAATAACACTTTCTTAGTAGTTAGTAGGAATAAATAGTAGTCCATTGCACTGCCAATGACATATTAAATTTTTGGAATGATGAAAAAGGTACCATGCTAGACCCAAGAATGGCAAGGTGAAAAAAGGGGTTTTGTAGCTGATATTCAAGAACACGAATAATGTATTCTAGATTTCTCGTGGACCCAAAGTAGCAAGTTTTGATGTTTTCTCATTGACCCGTTCTTTTAAAAACTTCCTTATCAGGAGCTGAAAATTTTTAATTGATGTTTTAATAACTACTATAAAGGCATATTAGGATGTTGCAAACCTGCTATGATATCTCTTCTGTATATTTTTAGCTACTTCTAGGGGTAGTTGCAATACTCAAATAGTTTGTGACTATTCCTTGACTGCGATAGTTTGAGTATTTGAGTGCTTCTTCCCAATGTGTATGATGTTGCTTTTGCACTTTTAATGTTTTGTGCTTATACATGTGGCAGTTGGAGCTTGCACTGAAAAGAGAGTTCGGTGAAACTAGAAATGTCTTGCAGAATGAGGTATCTCTGATTTAATGTGCTTTCTGAGATAAATATCACTTTCATATATTTGTCATTGTTCAACGTGCTTTGGTTGGTGTGCAGAATATGTGCATGAGAGTATCAAAGCAACTTCTTATTTGGACTCAGGAGCATGCATACTGGGTTGCTTTTCGGTTTCTCACATTGGGTTTCGAACTTGACCTATATTCTCCAGGCGAATATTGTATGGTGTACTGGTACATGTATGTGGTGCTCACAAAGCTAATAGAAAAGATGCAGTTACGAGTTCTTGCTAGTAGCGAAACCTGTAAGTTTTGATGTCACATGTGAATTTTATTTTTTCGTCTTACCATTACGAAATTAATTTCTTTTTGAAGATTAAGAAAGAGCCGAAATAGCTTGAAATAAATAATAATTGTTCCGATGGAACCTTCTACTCATAATTGACCATTGATACATGGTATAAACATAGCCTTAATGAATTAACTGACTTCTTTTACTTATTAAAATACAATTCAAATACAATTCAAATTCAAATACAAAATCGAAAATCAGACCTGTTAGCATTCTAAGGTCAAAAGTATAGTTTAAATTAAAGTAAAAAAAACTGCTCTCATATTAGACTTGTAATAGACACTAAAATAGGATGGTCATGTAGCATTCAAGGTGACTTGCTTACTAATATCTATCAGATGTTTTATTGCTTTTATGTTAACTGTGTTTTGAAATTTGGTTGTAAAGTGATAAGGAGTTATAGAAAGAGGAAAACTTAAGGGAAAATATGAATAAGAATTACAAAATGGAGAACATACAGTTTACAAAATATGCAGTCCAGTTCTATGTCAAATGCTCACATGTTAAAATAAAGCAGAGTATAGCTGTTTAAAAATGGTGGTCCCATATGCTGCACGATTGATTTGAGTCAAATTAGAGCTGAATGGCAAATAAAGCAGAACAGTACCTGAAACCGAAGAAAGCTCCTCTGACAGACATCAGAGGGCGGTAGCTGAGATCTGATCTCTCTGACTTTTATGTCAGAGGAGCCTCTTCCCCTGAAATTACATCACATGAAAAAACATGATGTAGCGGCTGTTTGGTTGTCTATTTACAGTTAAACATTTGATTTTGTCTCTTCCACCATTTAAATGGATGCCATGCCATTTTCACTAATACGTGATGGCTTCCTTTTAGTAAACTTTTGTGTAACTTAACATGTATTGTCAAATGTTCAGCACGAAGAAAGGGGAAAAAGAAGAAGGATCATTCGAAGGATTCAGCTCGGGATATAACATTTTCATCCTCTTGTTTATTGCTTCAATGCTATCTCTTGCTATCAGAGGGACTCTCAATGGTACGTATGGAAAAATATGGTCATTTGGAAATCATTCCGGTGCAAAGCATACATTTGTACAACTATCGTCTATGGAACTGAACAATCACTCTCTTATTGCTAATGCAGATGCTAGCTGTTCTCAGAAACGAAAGTAGGTCATTCCAATTACCAAGTATCTTTAACACTGAACAAGAGGTGTGATTGGATTTATTGTTGTGACTTCTAACATCCTTTTAAATATGGCTTGAACGAGTCTGACATAATATCAATCACTCTTCGCAGAGATTCATGCAGCATTTTGATCTTCTTCTGAAAACTCGAGTCCCTGAGCACATTTCCTTCTACAGTTTTGAGGAATCATCTTCCCGGGCAGGCATATCGGTGAGTGTTCGCTACTGAAATCCCTTTTATCAGTTCTCTCACCTGCTTAGTTTGACAAAGCCTCGATATCTCTTTTTTGTCACAGGATTTGGTGAAATACAACTTCTTCAAGGAAATTCAGAAGATAGTCCCCTCACTAAGGGGCAGTTTTGCAAGTGAACCAGAAAAACTTGCTGAGGTCCGTCGGATAGAGCAGGTGGCTGAGCACAACAGGATAGCCCTAAATATTATCAACCAAGTTGGAGCTGGCGAACCATCTCTAAGGGTCTCGTTTGAGTTTACACACCACCCTCACTTTGCAGTGGCAGTTGTGAAGAGATCATGATTCAAGTTCGGCATCATGTGCCAATTCTTTACCCCTCTCATCTTGATAGTGATAGCAGAAATTCTCGTTCACGTGTTGCTCACATGTTCATTGGTTTTTCAGAGCGCAACACCATGTGTTTTAGGTTGTACACAAGCACCATGTAGCAATTTTGTAGGCAAGATAAGAAAAAACAGATGCCGGGAAAAAGCCCTCGCCCCTGGCATTATTTTGTAAGCAAATTTTGAGTTCACTTAATATGCGAAACATGATTATACGTGTATCTGAGTGATAATTCGTCACTGACTAATTTACTTCAATGGGTTTAACTGGTATGACAGGGTCAACTTTTGTTCTCTTGTTTGATAATTCTTTTCGCGGTGATAACTGGCTGTTACTGCAGTATTATTTTGACAATGTACATTGCCTTCGCGTTGTACATCCATCTTGCCCCTTTCCCTTCTTTTTGTAATGGATGGTCCTGCAGCAATTTTGAAACTTAAAATTCCATAGATTCGAAACTGAGCACTCAAATTATAATCTGGTCGCATCTTTATATTCCTTTCATTAGCCCATCAAACCAAGACATCACTTATATAAGTTCTGATGATATTTTGTTGTAAAAGGAATCTTGTTGTAACAAAAATGCTTATGAATCTAACAAAGTGGAAGAAGTAAATGTTTTCTCGTGTAGACCGTAGACGACTCTGGAATATAACTTAAGCATCTTAACTGCTTTTATAATGTCATTTTTCTATATTGATGTAAGCAATTTATGTCTTCTAGTAAAATTACGCAAATATGTAGGCATGGGGATCTCATTTTACTGATAATAAATCAGATTCGCAGTTTGAAAAAAAAAGCAGCATTTGGGGGTTAATGTACTATTTTTTTTTCACTTGTACAATTGACCCCCTACTTGCGAGTTCTTAAATGGAAAGATATGCATTCATATTTTTTAAATTGCTTAGGGCGTCCGGCCTCACATGCGTGTCTAGCTTACGTTATATAGATGCTGATGAGGAGGTAAAAGAAAGTACGTAGGAAGAAAAAGTAGCTACATCTTGCTCACAAAACGAGACAAGCAGCACACCGCATCATAATTGTTAGGCACACTTGCAGGATCATATCATAACGAGTTTTTGAAATGTTCAATTCAGCCAGGAAGGTTATTCTAGACAGTTGACTTTGGATCGCAAATTCAGTGCTGCAGGTAACGTACGTAGTCGGGCATGCAGTACAACTAGTAGGAGTATCTCCGGCACTCGAATCATGATAATGCCCTTTTTCTTTTACGAATTCAGTGCGCATTTCTTGACTTTTTTTTTACTATCTTTTTACGTGTGTGTAGAGTGTTGACACACGGATTCGATCATCCTTATATAGAGTAGAGTACTCCTATTTGTTTGTTTGTGGACATGCATGGAAGAAGTATGGAACCAGTTAAGCCAGATCTTTAATTTCCTGGTTTATTAGTTTTTTTATAAGGAGGAGGAGGGGAATGGAGTAAGGAATGGAGTAAGGGATCGGAGACTGTTGCTCAAGCTCCTGAAGAACACCATGATTATTTTTCACGATGCAATTGTCCAAAGAATGACAGAAACTTCTTTTGGCATCATATCAGGACTGGACTTTGCACTGATATGACGCCATCAAACTTTGGTAGGACGTAGGAGTAGATTCGACCGGCTGCTTGACCACGCTAGTGCAGTGCGTGCGCTGAATTCAACTTCTCAAGTTTCCAGGTATGATTAGCAAACACGCTGATCATTAGACTTCGTTGCAAACGCACAATGCTACCCATCGCGAGGAAGAAGAGGGCAAGCTCAGCCGTAGACCTGATCATGGAGCACGCGATGATCTGACCCGTCCAATACATCGGATGGGTTTGGACCATAATTTTCGATCCATAACCAACATAACCTGAACTAACAAAAGAAACGGTATGCCTAGCATCCAGACGTTCCGGCACCCGCATACAGAAACCGCGCCAGCATGTGTGCGTCCCCATCCATGCCCTATCTCCTCCACACCCCAATCCTGCCACCGCGCTGCCATCTCAGACACGCTCCTCTCTGCAAGCCCTCGCCGCGTGCCCCCCCGCAGCCTACGCGCGCCGCGCCCGTTTCAAGCTGCACGTGGGGCCCGCGCTGCCCGAGCGGCAAGAGGGGAAGGGCGCGCGGCGCCTCGATTCGGAAGGACCCGGCCCGGCGTCGTGTGGATGCCCTGCCGGCTCGGGAGAGACGATGCAACAGAAGGTGGGGATGGGAGATGTAACGTCCGATGTACTTTTGAAACATCCAAATACGATACTTGCAACATACGTCTGAAGGCAGTTGAAACACTTGAAACATGCTTATGGAACACTTGAAAAACACACCTGAAACACACTTGAAAAACATTGCAACCATACGCAACATCCGAATAAAACACATGCAACATACGTATAAAACATATGCAACAGATAAACACAATTGCAACATGCGTCCGGAAAAACACAGATAAAACATACCGCTGAAATATTTGAAACACTTGAAACATACTCTTGCAACATGCCTCTGAAACAATTACAACACATGCAATATCTCCCAATCTACTTTTGCAACATCCATATAAAACAAATGCAACATACCTCTAAAACGTATGAAACAATTGAAACATACAAATTACAAGGGGGGGGAGCATGGCTTGGGGAGCGCCATGGCCGTCGCATATGTGGGCATTGGGGCTCCCTAGTGGGGGAGGACGCCGGTGTGGGGGAAGAGGCGGCGCTGTGGGAGGGGAGGAGGGAGGGGTGGGTGAAGGAGCCATAGGGGGTGGAGGGAGGAGGAGCCCGCCGGGGTGGGGAAGGAGCCACCGGGGGGGGAAGGAGGAGGGGCAGGGGAGGAGGAGGAGGGGTGGCCAGGGCGCCGCTGCAGCCGGCTAGGAAGGGAGCCGACGACACACGTGATGGGAACTCATGATGACCATGCAAGCGTTATGCGTTTTGTCAGTGCAAAGACACAATGGAAAGGGCAGGGGATTGCTTCGTACCTTAAGATCTGCATGTGGTATTCTCGAAAGACGCTTATAATGACAGAGTGTGCGTTGTGCTTTAGAGTCATAGAGGTTATATAGGTTTGATCAAAGTATTTGTTAGGTTTTCTTTTGCGATAATGATATGGTGAGGGCGTCCGTCCGTCCGGACGTCGCGTCCCCTGGGCCTGCTGAGCTATCCGGCCTGCTCCCCCTCATGGCCCATCTAAAAAAATGAATGACGCCGCTCCCTCTCCTCTCGTGTGCCTCCGCTCCTCTCCATCCCATGCGTCGCTCGCTGGCTCCATGGCTGGGAGTGGCCCGCTCCTATCCGGGGAATTAATTGCTACGTAGTACATTCAGCCTAGCTCTTCTAGACAGTTGACTGTTGGATACCAGCGTAGTACACGTAGCATTTCGCCACATGAATCTTCGTGACATCACTCGACCCCTCTTATTTTCTGTTTTGGAATTCAACACACGCATCTCCCGGCTATTTTCTTGGTGCCTATTTTTTGGGCGATCATCCGTTACGAGTTGGTCGTAATGAGATCATCATCCTTTAGTTAGTTAGTTAATTTCAATTTGTGGATGGAGTATATGGTTAATATGTTATCTCATAGATAACAATAAGGAGAAGGGAGACTCGAAGAAGGGAACGTAACCAATGAGAAGCGGTTGGTACCGCATCATGCATGATAGTATTTTCCGTCCGTAATATATATACTTTTTTTGTGCAGAAAATAATAATCTTCTTGCCATGAGTTTGATTTTTTTTTATGACTACCATGAGTTTGACTTTGACGCCACCAAACTTTGGCATGCAGGTTTGGATGGGACCCTGCAGCTGCAACTGGCTGCGTGCTTCGTCACGCGGCTGCGTTGCGTTGCGTACTTGCGTTGAATGGACCCGGCTGGGAGCACCTCAAGTTCTAATGTATAGTAACAAACGTACCAGTATGTGTAATCTCAAAAAAAAAAACGTATCAGTCAGTTTAGCTTTATTCTAACTTATCCCGTTTATAAATATATATTTTAAAATTGTTTTTAAATTATCCATTTAATGTATGTCTTGCTCTTGATAATATATTTAGCCACAATTGTAGATTTTAGTATTTTTAGGAAAAAAAAAACTTAGTTAAAATCTAGATATAGATAGCCATCGGATAGAAACAAATTAACCTTAAAAAACAAAATAAGCTTATATTTGCATAATCACGGGAAGTACTACTAATGATCAATAAACAATCTATAATATGTAAACTTGCAAATAAATGCCCTAATATAAAATGGTCTACAGGAAAAGGGAGCGTGCCAATATGGCAATATGCCATGCTTGCAGCTGCAAATAAAAGAGCGTGGAATCGCAGGCTAATGTCAACTTTATTAATCAGCCATAAAGCTAGGGTAACCGACCAAAATAGCCACCTGAAACGCCTTTTTGTTTGTTGTAAATTGGGAATCGGGATCGGGGTAGCCTAGCTACTCATTGGATTTGAGCTCAAGAACTCGGGATCGATAGGAGCACAAGGTAGCAAAGGAGACACATCGATCCGAGAAAAGCAATGGGAAGCCTTCCTCCTACGCCGCCGGGCTAAAAAAAAAGGTCAAAGTGAAGGTGAGCCCGTTGGTCAGAGGGGCGGGGCGCCGACGCACGGGAACACGTGTGCTAATGTCACGGACCACGCGGCAGACCCCGTTCCAGTCCAGGTCCAGCTGCTCCTGCTTCGCCTTCCCTCCGCCAGCCCCGTCCCCGTTCCGTTTCACACGCCACCCGCCTCCTCCTTCCTTTCATTCGTCCCCCTTCCGTCCCGTCCAGACTCCCTCCACGGCTCCACGCCAGTAGGGACTAGGGAGAGAGAAGAGAACGCCGCCACTGCGTCCTGCCGGTAGACGTCTGCCCTGCTTCCGGCTACCGGATTCCCCTGCACTGCAGTTACGTTACGCCGGCGATCTCCTTGGGTCAAGTCAAGTCGGGGCCTCTCTCTTTGCCAGGTTCGTTCATCTCCTCTTGGCGGCTTCGCCATGGCGGCTCGGTTTCATTTCATCCGATCCTTTCAGAAGGGGAAGGAGGGGGATTTCACAGCGATCGCCCGCTGAAAGATTCGATTTTTCCTCTTCTTTAGCTTTCAGTTGGTCGTGCGCGTTGCTGCCTTTCCCGATTCCTCTGGTGTTCTATTCTGTGCTGTTCTTCATGGCTTTTCTTTTCTCTCCGGCGATGGTGGCAACCGAATAATCTGGCCCATTCTCGTTCTGGGCCAAAGTTGGGCGTGTTCTTCCTTCCGTTTCCCACTGGCCAACTTGCGCTTCGTTGCTGGAGGTTGTGGGGCTGGCAGATGTGACCATTCAGTTTTCCCCCGTATCTGACAAGTCGCATTCTTTGCGTGCTACTGGTATTTGTGCGGGTTTACGCGTTTCGTCAAATTCAGAAAACTACCGGTGCTCACCTGAAGCAAGTTGCACAGCTCGCACCAACTCCAAACGCCGTTTGTTTCGTCGGTTGGTAATCCACCAACTGAGCAGGATTCGAACTGTGTTCCCTGCCGTGTTTTTAGGATTTTGTTTGTTGGAGACCGTTTCATAAGTGTACGTTGGTGCCGATATCTCGGTGTCTCCTTTTCTCTCTCTCGTGTTCAAACTTATTTATTCAGATCAGAGGTCAATCGCAGCCCGTTCCTTCTCGTCAGATTTCCATTTTCAAACGCTGCTTCGCCGTTATATTCAAGGAGTGGCGTCGGACGTTCCTATCTTCTCTTGTCTAGATCGATCGTCTCGGAAAGCTCTGGTTTTTGGTGAGGCTAGGTTTGGTTTTGCCAGCCGAATTGGCGCTTTCCCTAACTCGGTCGCCATGAAATTTCTGCTTTTCCTTTTCCTCTCGGTGTTAGATGTAATCATTTTTGTTTTCTGCTTTTCTAAAGCAGCGCAAGCAATTTCCGTTCATTGATTATCTTTTTTTATAACTTTAAAATGAAAAATGCAAGATGGTGATGAGTGATGACGCCACCAAACAGAGGTCTTACCCGTATATAAAGATCGCCACTGATTCGTTTCTTTTTTTTCTTTTTGGATTGTGGCGTTTCTTTTTTGGTGAGGCGGATTCGTATGTATTCACTCTTGGTTCTTGTTTTGCATCTGAATCAGCCCAGCTGCCAGCAGCCTAGCAGGTCAGGGAGAATGGCGGGAGGTGGCACGGGCATCAGGAAATACATGGGTGCTCTCAAGGACACCACAACAGTTAGCATAGCAAAAGTAAACAGCGATTATAAGGTACTGATGAGTGATGATCGCCATCCCAAACATCAAAGCTCGTTTCCAGGACCTCTCGTTGTTGCATTTAGTCATGTGTTGAACTGTTCTTTCCTTGCTACTCTGTCCTTGTGACAGGAGTTGGACATTGCTATTGTGAAGGCCACAAACCATGTCGAGAATCCAACAAAGGAGAAATACATAAGAGGTGAGATGGTCATTCGTAGTCTTCTGTCTTAGTGAATTCTCACCATGCCTCTGCTCACACATTCCTGGTCTGCAGAAATCTTTTACCATCTTTCACCTGGAAGGCCTCGGGCGGATGTAGCCTACTGCATCCGCGCCCTTGGTAGACGTCTTTCAAAGACACGCAACTGGGCGGTAGGTCTACTTTTCCTGAATAATCCTGTTGATTGTTAGGCCCCACTTCAAATCCAGTAGATGTAATTTACCTATACAAGTAACAAGATAATCTAATGGAACATAGTTCTCCATTGTTATTTCCATTTGGACCGCAATATTTAACTTCCTTTTGTTCAGAGAATATCTCATTTTGTGCCATTTAACTGCCATGCATTGCCGCTGTGCAAACTAGTTCTCCATGACGCCTTGGTTTTTTTTCCTGTCGAGATCTGGCCCAGATAACGAAATTGTTCCTTTTAACTATGGATTTATTTTGTAGTAGTAGTTCTTGAAAAATATGAGGGTTTCTTTTTTCTCCATCCACACTGCTTAACCTTCATTTGAGGAAAAACATGTTAGCCTTTGATTATCATGGGAATGATTTTTTTTAACTTGGCTTTCCTGATGCTAAGATTTTTCAGGGTAATGCATAAAAGTAGGAGCGACATGGTATTGGTACTAAACGTTTGTATTTGCATTTTATCTGACAGGTTGCTCTGAAGATATTAATTGTAATACACCGTGCTCTTCGGGAAGTTGATACTGCTTTCCGTGAAGAGCTTATCAGTTATGGAAGATCTAGCTCCCATATGCTCTATCTGTCCTACTTTAAGGACGATTCCAGTGCAGAAGGTACTTTGCTAACTTCAGCCAGATGCTGCAACTGGTATTCAAACTAGTAAGGACTTATTGTGATTATTTGTTGTTATGCAGCCTGGGATTACTCTGCTTGGGTGCGCAATTATGCTTTATATTTGGAGGAGAAGCTTGAATCTTTCCGTGTACTGAACTATGATGTTGAAAAGGATCCATTGGTAGGCAATCTAATTCAATTTGCTTTAGTTTATAACATTTGCTATCCAAACTTAGTCATGGTTTAGGTTGTATTATATATGCTTGATTTATCATTTTTTTCTATCAGTAGATCAAGGCTTTAGATTGCCTAAGCTTTTTTATGTTGCATTCTTGAGTGCTGCCCTAGTGCAGTACTGAATAAAACGATTACAGCATAGAATTGCAAGGGGCTTCTTGTAATTTTATTTATGAAAACTCTTGTTTCCATAGAAAATTCAGGATCTTGATACAAGTGGATTGCTCAATCAGTTGCCAGCTTTACAGCAGCTTCTTTTTCGACTACTTGGTTGCCAGGTGATTTAATCAAATACATCAGTTGTGTTTCAGAGTTGTCCTTGACATTTAACAGGTACCTTTCTGATCTATTCTTTTCTCTTTTTTTTCAGCCACAAGGGGCATCATCTTATAACATCATAATTCAGCATGCACTTTCAATGGTGAGGATTTCAGATCATTTGTTAGTGGCATAATAATGACCTTAGCATTCCTTTAACTTGTTTTATGTGTTATTAATGGTAGGTTGCTCTAGAGAGTGTTCGGATCCAAACAGCCATCAATGATGGGATACTCAATCTTGTTGACAAGGTGTGTAATACCAGCTTGCTGTTCAAAATCAGGAAAAATGTTCATTTGTGTTTATTTTCTTGAGGCAACTTACATATTCTGCAAACTGTAGTTCTTTGAGATGCGGAGAGATGACGCAATAAGGGCACTTGACATGTATAAAAGAGCAATTGAGCAGGTAAATCATGATTTATTTTCTTCTGTTGGTTAATTCATTAACCTTTTCATTAGAACATCAGAAATGACACATTTAATGGCTAAAAAATCTTATTTACTTTTGTACAGGCAGAACAACTTTCAGAATTTTATGAAGTGTGTAAAAGTATACATATTGGGCGGGGTGAGAGATTCCTAAAAATCGAACAGGTTTGGCTTGCAATCCTATGATCACCAGTGTGTACTGTATTGTCATTTTCTGTTTGAGTAGTTTACTGATAACCTATTGGTACCAATACATACAGCCTCCTGCATCATTCTTGGCAACTATGGAGGAATATGTGAGCAATGCTCCGCTTGCTTCAACAGTTCAGAGAAATCAGGTTTGTAAGCACTATAAGTTTTGTGATATTTTGTTTCAGTACAATATCTTCCTGGAATCTTAGTTTTCTGTTACTTCCATAAAAGCTTCTTCTGATAACTCTATTGATGTTATTTTAAGGCGGCATTTTTATGGCCTCTTTATTTCCATTTCTATGTTTTTAGGCTGTACTGGCCATAGAGCACAACAAAAAATCAGAAGTTGAAGAACCATCAACGCTGCCTCCTCCCCCAACTCCAGCTCAAGAACCTGAGCCTGAGCCTGAGCCAGTTCAACAAGTCCCACCTGCAGCTGAACCAACAGATTTACTGGTAATTTTCAATGATACTGCACTAACAAGGCGCTGATCCTTATCATGTTCCCGGTACTGCGTCCTAATACTTTCGTTTTTTGTTGGCAGGGAATCAATGAATCAACCCCTGACACATCTGAAATAGATCAAAAGAATGCAGTGGCCTTGGCCATTGTTCCACAGGGTATATAATTATATATCCTACACTTTGATTGTTATTCAAAGTTTGAAGAAACGTCTTGAAATGTATTCATGGACTTTTTTTGTGGCAGATAATGCGCCCAAAGCACCTGCTCCTACCAGTACTGAAAGTGTCGCCACTAGCTGGGAGCTGGCCCTAGTCACTGCACCCAGTTCAAATGGGAATGCTGTTACATCAAGCAAATTGGTACATAAGTTGAGAATAATTCATATATGGTTTTTACTTCATTTGGTCTCTCTGCAATCATACTAACTCAACTTGCTACAGGCCGGTGGACTGGACCTGCTTACACTTGACAGTCTATACAATGAGGCACACCTAAGAGCACAGCAGAATGCAAGCTACAACCCTTGGGAGGCCAATCCAGCATCAGGTCCAGTGATGCAGCAGCCGATGTACGACCCGTTCTACGCTTCCAATCCCATGGCCGCAGCCCATAGCGTTCAGATAGCTGCCATGGAGCAGCAGCAACATGCCTTCATGCTCCAGCAGCAACAGCAACAGCAACAACAGCAGCAGCAGCAGATGATGATGATGACGGCACAGCAGCAGCAACAAGCTTCTTCCAATCCTTTCGCCAACCCATATATGCACGCCGGCGCCCACCCTTACGGTGCAGGGGTGCAGCTCCATGCGGGCAATGCATACACTGGAACTGGGATGATGTAGCGCTGCACGGAATCTGGTTTTGACAGACAGCTTCCATTCTTTTATTGTTTTTTTTTGCATTTCTTTTCCATTGTAAGAATTGTATTAGGAATAGAACTAGAACACACCTGATACAACGTCAAGATGAGCACAGCCGTTCAGTTTTCCTTTTTCTGGCTGGTCACGAGTCATGACCAAGAAGGGCTGATGCTTTGATGGCTGTGAACTGAAGGAATCCTTGCAAATTTAGCACGACACAAATTTTGTGCCTTTTTGTGACATGTATATGGAAAGCCTGAGAGCATCTCCAATAGATTACATATCCCTTACCTCCTAAAATTCTCTATATATAGGTGATCTCTTATTAGAAGTAGTGTAGCCTGGAGGGAGTGGATTTTTAATAGTTACTTAAAAAACTTTTAGGCATTGGTGATAGGATGAGTAGTTTGTTGGAGTATATTGCATTTTTTAGTATTAGAAACTAGATAAGTAATTTGTTGGAGATGCTCTTGTGAAACATATCAGGATCTGTCCTCAAGAACGTTTGGTGTGGTGTGCACTTTGCACGATCAGATTGGTACTTGCGCAATTGTGTGAACTGGTCCGTTGCTAGTGCAGAGAAACAGACCGTGCATGTCACGCACCCGGCGCCGTCCCGTACGGCCCGATGCTCAGGGAACCGTGCGAGCACCGGCGCCGACCATTTGCGTGCTGGAGAGGCAACGGCGATTTGGCATCTATTTGGACTGACAGAAATGGGGCAGGGAATAGTGTGTGAGGTCAGATACCACGTAAACAAAATTCTGAATGTCAGGCAAAGCATTACAAAGACGAACAAAAATTGCAGACCAAACATGTATTGGTATGTGGTATCACTAAATCAGGTCCGAGGTTGCTGTACAGCCGAGTTCACAACTACCTTGCAAAGGTATCAATCACGCTGGAAAGAGAACGAGAAAGTTTGGATTAGAACACACCGCTGTACTCGTCTTCACCGTTCATCTGGAGGAACCACAGGATTGCCACGCCAAAGACCACAAACGATGATAGCTCCATCGTCAGGGCTCCCCATCCAATGACGCCAGCATGTTTCAGGATTGACGGAATGGCAATGCTCCCCACTATTGATGCGCCCGTCAAGAATTTTGTGAAGTTCACCCAACTGCAGTGGCAGTAAAGGTACACCAATTAACTTTGCAATGTATGAAAAAATAGTTAGAAAGATATGAAAGAGAACCTAGGGCATGTAATCAGCAATTAGCAGGCAGGCACAACAACTGACAAGCAAGTAGCAAAGTATATGTGCAAGTCAATGCTCAGGTTTCACATAACATGAAAAAATTTTCATGTCAATGAACTCTATTCATTTTGTGCTCCAGAAATGTTGTTTAGGAAAACAATCCAACCATGATGGATCAGGACCTTTGTTTTAGAATCTCTACTAAAATGAATGGCAACAAGGCAATGCATATCTTTGGGGCAACAAATAGTGCTAAAAAGCAGGTGGCAAGGGTGATTAAGGGGGAAAAAAGCAGCAGCATGGACTAGAGAGGATCACTTACCTGTCTCCCCCATTAGACATGATCGAGGAAGTATCAGAACCCAGGAAAAATATGAGGGGCATTGGTAGGATAAGATACATCAGAACTGCACAAAATGTCAAGGGTTACTTACAATGTCCTACAAACAATTATCAGGATATAAGCTTAGTTTGCCAGTGTTACACAAAATTTTCTAACCTGTTAGCATTGGCCACCAGTTGTTATAGAGAGCACAAGCCTGAAGGAGCAAAAATTATATAGGTTTAGGTGACAGTGGAAAAGATAATGAAACGGCACAGAGGTATTAAAGTCAGATGCTTACCAAGATTTGCAAGACAATTCCACTAGAGACCAATATGGCAAGAAGGGCAAGTCTTCCACTGTGCAAACATGTTCTCATACTTCTTGATAGTGCCATTGTTGCCTTCTGTTAGCTACAATTTCTCCTTTAGTGCGAATGGCTCACAAAGTTGTTGCTTATCCTCAAACAAACTTCAGCTACGATTTCTGGGAAGGGCAAAGAACATATAAGCAATAAGTTTCAGGGAAGCAACTAAAAAAAAACAGGGTGATAAATGATTCACCAACAGGGAGAATAACCTTGGATTAAAATGTTAATGTAGAGATGCAGAAATATAGTAAACAAACTCCCCAATAAATTAATGTGGAGAGTGGAAAGAAGTAAAAAAAAAAAAGGAAAATCAACTAGGAGCAAATTACAGTGACTCAGTCACAACTACTCCGTATATGATTGTCATATGTAGCACTCAATCATGGAGACAGATTTAGACAAAACCCCTCAGTGGCCCTGGGATCCTATCTCTTTTAACTGATATTTCCTAGTAATAAATCAGAGTATTTTACATTGTAACTAAAGAATCAGCTGCATCAGATTTTACACTCAGGGCACACCAATGTACAGCGTAAGGCAAAAAGAGCAACTGCGCTAAGATGAAGGAAAACACGACCATGTTTCTGAGTCTGTCAGTTCCACTTCTATCAACATTTGCCAATTACTTGTGACTTGCAAAATGGCTGAAAACTGTAGGCTTACACTTCCAAGCATGTATGCGCTCCTATGCCCTAGCATGGACTTTTTCCCCGTCTGAGTGCTATGAAAGAACCTCTAATCGTTTTTGGACATGAATCTGAGTAGCTATGAAGGAACCTCTAATCCTTTTTGGATATGAATTTGCCTCTGAAGTCTGAAGAAGAACACAGGACCCAACCAGGCAACCAGAACCGTGGATTGACGCATAAACTGAATTAGCTCGACATGCGGCAACGAAACCTGCTACTACTAAATTGTGACGAGAGATTGGGATCAGCGGCAGTGCGGCCTGCGTATAAGCCAATCCGATCCGAATTCCCGTGCGATCCCATCCGAAGCAAAGTGATTCCCTACCTCAGGGCACAGGTTCGGTTCTGTCCAGCCCAGAGATCCAATCGCAGGCCAATCCCAAGGTACAATCTAATCGCACATTCTAATTCCGAAAAACACTAGTAGTAGCCCGCGCCGATCGAACCACCAAATCACGAGGGGAGGGAGGGAGGGAGGCAGGAGAGGTGCGTACTCTGGCTGTGCGCGGCAGGAGGATCGCAGGAGAGGAGACGGCCGCCGCCACCGTGCGGGAGCGCCGGGATGACGTGGCCACCGTGCGGGAGATGAGAAAGCGCCGCCACACCACGCCCGGGGGCCCGGGGCAAGCTGCTGCTGTGGCCGACTGGCCGAGGCACCAGAGACTTCGTTGAGGGGTTGCCGGGACGAGAGGAGAGCAAGTTGGAGAAGGGTTCGTGATGTGGATGTGGACGGCCCACCAAGTGGCGTGGCAGCGAGGGGCAAACCTTATTATGAATTATGATGGGTGTTTTTTTCCCCTTGAAAAACCCTTATGATGGGCGTTTAATCACTAGTTTAAGGACGTGTCTTGCACAGCTTATAATAAGATTCTACAATGGTCAAATTAAGCTGAAATATACTACCTCTGTCCGCAAAAGAATACAATTATGGAATACGTGCGAGTGAAAGAAGTTCAAGTTTGACCAAGTTTATAGTAAATATTATTAGTATTTATGTCTCCAAATAAATTTATTATAAAAATATATTCTATAACTAATCTTATGGTACTTACTTTGTATCATAAATGTTTGCACTTTTTTATATAAATTTAGTCAAAGTTCGAACTGTTTGACTTCTCAAAAAGCGAGAATTGTATTCTTTGTGGACGGAGGGAGTAGAGGACAAACTGCGTTTTTTTTTTCTAGAACATTTTCCATCTCCCTCCATTTCTTTATACAAATACATAGAAACTATGTAGAACTTATCTTAACCATGATTTTTCTCTATTTATATAGAGCCTGAAGACAACTCTTAACTTGATTAGAGCATCGCTAAGATTACCAAAAAAAGTCTCTCAATCTAGGAATTTTAGCAAGATTGAAAAAAGAAAACTCATCTCTAACAACTCACAAACCCACCTCTCAATCTTTTGGCACTTGAAAAAAACCACCCCACACGCGTAAAGTTATGTGCACGTATCATCGCCCCAATCCGGAGGAAGAACGACGTAGGGAAGAAAAAAAAGTATGACATGGTTCCTAATGCAAATGTATAAAAAAGAGAAATAAAGTATAAAAGTGGTTAGTGTGATTTAGAAATAGTTTAAAATTCCTCATGTAAAATTACTTTTTATTTTTTAGGCGTAAGATTTTGAAAACGGTTGGAGTTATGGCTTTTTTATGTCTTATAATATATTTTGTAAATGTTGAAAAAACTATTTTTGAGGAGTATTTTTTTAGATAAGGTTGGAGATGCTCTTACTCTCAATCCTGATGACCTGATCCCTAAATCCTAATGCGAGGTGACAAGATTCTGACGTGTTCACGATGCCTACCAATTTGTTTGCACCCCTGGTTGCTTCCGTGACAAGATTCTGACGTGTTCACGATGCCTCCCTCTCTCCATCTCTCAGTTTTCTGTTCGGGATGTGAATTTTCTTAGGTCTTATTAATTTAACTTTTGCATATAAACCCATCTGAAAAGCTATGATTTAAACATGTCGTTGGCTTATCATATGCAGAAGATTCCACGATGATCCACTAAATCGCTTTCCTTTCGACAATATACCACTTGACGTGAGGCAGTCTAGATCCGATAATGCCATTATCACATCCTGTGGCGATGACATATGGATTAAAAGGATATTCCCTTCGTATAGTAAAGAAAAGACCTTAGCCAAAGTCAAATTGCCGTACAATGTACCACTTGACGTGAGGTGGTCTAAATCCGATAATGCCATTCTCACATCATGTGGCGATGGCATCTGGATTAAAAAGATATTCTCTTCGTATAGTAAAGAAAAGACCTTAGCCAAAGTCAAATTGCCATAAGTTTGATTAAATTTATAGAAAAATATATCGAGATTTATGATATCATATTAGTAACAATTAATTTTCAAATGAGTGTCGCTACTTTTGATTCGACGGCTTTCTCTACTTTTAAAGGTCATATTTTTTTACATCTACTCTAACATGAGCCCCCAAATAAAGGCTCTCAATCCATAGACACTGGTGTATGGACCTACTTGTTATCCCATTCTTCTCCTTGTTCTCATCAACTGAGCTATGGCATTTGTGTTGGGGCTGCGGAGCCATGCCCCCACACAGAGGAAGGAAACGTTTTGGAGATGAGCCCCGCCGCATCGACATCGAGGGAGAGGAGTCACACCCTGTGTTGGGGAGGCAATAAACAAGGTAACACAGCCACTCTGGCAAGTACAACGGGGCGAGCCGTGCCAGGGGAGGACGGTTCTAGCATCCTGGGACCCTGTTCGACGCCGCTTCTTCCCCATTTAGATGGACACGGACATGGAGGGTTGTAGGTGGCGGCCATGGGATGGAGTAGGGCGGTGACGCAGGAGAGAGTCAGAAAATAAAAGCATGCGCCGGATAGAGTTGGTATGAGAAAAAAATTGTAAAATAGGGAGCTCCCTACATACACGGGGAGACTTGGATGGCTCCATGAAGTAGTATCCTAAGTTGGAAAATGTTCAATTTACCTCCATCAACTATTGTGGTCGTCCGGCTTTGCCACCTGAACTATAAAATCAGCTTTTTTTTTGTCTCTCCTTGAACTTTTAAAACTGTTTGTTTTTGCATCTTGGGTGGTTTTGCTAATGTGGCACCACACATCAGGAGGGGGTGTAAATCAGACTATATTGAAAGTTCAGGAGGTAAATTGGATTAGAAAATATTTTTTAAAAATCTAGAATTCATAAAAATAATTTCCAAAAATTTATCCAAATATTTTATATGAAAAAATAATGTAATTAAAAATCCTAAAACCTTTCAGGTGTACAAATACACTGTTTCAAAAGTCGAGGAAATTAAAAAAAAAACTAGTTTTATAGCTCAAGAACAAAATCTGACGACAGTTGAGACTTGAGAGAGATAAATTGGATTAAAAAAAATAGATCGTTACGGTGACAGATCTGGGCCGTGACCGTCACAAGCCGGCCCAAAAATTTGCGGAGCCACAGGGTGGCTGTGAATCTGTGATCCGCACCGTCGCCGCCATACCGAGTGCTATAGACCGCGGTGCGCGCGCGGGGGTGGGGGGGCGCCCCGGTCAAACAAGCGAGGCAGGCTCTCCTCCTACCCGTTCCTTCCCCTCGATCCCTTTCGCCGCGCGCGCGAGAGGGGGAGAGGAGATCGAGGAGACAACGAAAGAAGAGGGTGCTGTGCCTGTGCATGTGATCGGGCGGGTCGACGGCCGGCCGAACTAACGACGACCGGCACTCGATTCGGCGGCAATGGGCAAGATCGAGTACGCCGTGGTGGCGCGCGGCGCGGTGGTGCTGGCGGAGCACTACAGCGCGGCGGCGGCGGGCGGCAACGCGGGCGCCGTGGCGCGGCAGGTCCTGGAGCGCCTCCCCGCCGGAGGCGCCGGTGGCGACGACTGCAACGTCTCCTACACGCAGGACCTCCACGTGTTCCACGTCAAGCGCACCGACGGCCTCACCGCGCTCTGCATGGCCGACGATGCCGCCGGGCGTAAGTAGTGCATATCAATCCATTGTTCAAATTGCCCAGCATTTCAAATGTCGTTTTGGGCTGAACGGCACGTAGGTTTTGTATTGGATTGGATGGTTTGGCCGATCCCATCGACAAAGATTTCAATTTAGTCGATCGGTGTAGCCTTCATATGATCGACACCATTTTCAGTCGCCGCAACCTGCATTTTTTGAGTTTTTGACCACGATATGATTGCCACTTCCCAAACTCGAAATAAATCGATGTGCCATTAATTGTGTCGATGTTGCATGCGCCTTCTCAGGGCGTGTTCCGTTCGCGTTCCTGGAGGACATCCACGGGAGGTTCGTCAAGGCGTACGGCCGGGCGGCACTCACCGCGCTCGCGTACGCCATGAACGACGAGTTCTCCAGGGTTCTGGCCCAGCAGATGGACTACTACTCCAATGACGCCAGCGCGGACAGGATAACCCGCATGAGGGGTGAGATCGACCAGGTATATACGGTTTACTTTTTCTTCACCATAATCATCGTCATCATAAAAAAAAGAAAGAAAAAGAAAAACGAGACGGAATTAATTCGGCTTTAGTGATTTGGCTCATTTCAACGTCTGTCTTGCCAATGCAAATTGTTTCATCTTGAATTGGCGACTTGAATAGAGGCATAGAGCATTAACCAATTTGCAGGTCCGGAGCGTGATGATAGACAACATCGACAGGGTGCTGGAGAGGGGTGACCGTCTGGAGCTGCTGGTGGACAAGACGGCAACCATGCAGGGGAACACCATGCGCTTCAAGCGCCAAGCTCGCCGCTTCAGGAACACCATGTGGTGGAGGAACGTCAAGCTCACGTACGTTACAACTGTAGTTAATACAGTTTGTCTTACGCATTTTATTAGTTCATACTTCCAGTAATAATCCCCTGACGTCCCTGTAATTCCACTGGTCTTTGCAGAGCTGCAGTGATATTCATCCTCTCCGTAATAGTGTACCTCGTGCTCGCCTATATGTGTCACGGCTTCACCCTACCATCCTGCGTTCCGTGATCTCCCCTGTGCGGTGCCGGTGCGGCCCTGCCCTAGCTCTAGCTGCGTCACAACTTCGTTTTCCGGGTTCTGTAAGAGCAGCTGCTCTGCGTTGCTGCAACTTTTTCTTGTACGAGGGAAACAACAGTTCCATCGACCGATCCTGAAGTTCCGCAACAAGCAATTCTGATTTTTTCCCCTTGGATAAATTTGCTTACCAAGCGAATCCAATTGTTGGGACTTCGTCTCGCGTGAAGATCGTCTTTCAGGTTTACATTACACTGCAAACATGCTTTCCCAGGACGCTAATCATCTAATATCGGCAGCTAGTGGATCATCCCAACTATTCAGGGAGAGCGGAGTATGCAACAAAGATGCGGATGCAGCAAGTGCCAAGATCAACAATCTGGATTCTGGACCAGAGTAAACATGCAGTCGTTGAAGGCCCGAGTACTCTCCAGGAGAAGAAAGAAACCAAAAACCGCAGGCAAAGAAAAAAAGCATAGGAGCTGGATGCCACTTGGTTAATATAATAGATAAACGATGATACTCTCAATCTCTCATACGGAGTAAGATACAAAAGCAAAGCAGGACAGTGCTTGCTTAATACAAATCATAAGTTAGCCTACCCAGACAATGGCAGTGTCACAAACAACTGAACGATCACCAAGGACCGGGTGTTCCCCTTATGCGTAGTAATTCAAGCTGGACTTCTTCTTTGCCTGCACTTGGATGATCCCCTCATTGAAATCCTCGTGGGTAACCTCTGTAGCATCTCGGCGTAGAGCGAGCATGCCAGCTTCTACGCAAACAGCCTTTAGCTGAGCACCATTGAAATCATCAGTTGAACGCGCCAACTCTTCGAAGTTGACGTCTGGATTCACATTCATTTTCCTCGAGTGAATCTACAAAAACATAACATAGAACAACGTTATTTTGGCTATGCAAGAACAAAAACCATATGGAGTCTTTGGAGGAAAACAGTATGGGATAGGAGGTCAGTATTGAGCTACAACAAATTTCAGTGGCCAGAGCCATACCTGCAAGATTCTGGCTCTTGCTTCCTCTGATGGATGAGGGAACTCAATCTTCCGGTCCAGACGACCAGATCTCATCAGAGCAGGATCAAGAATATCAGCACGATTTGTGGCAGCTATCACCTACAAATCACACAACAATCCAACATTCAGTACACCAGATATTAAATAGAACATTGAAAAATATCAGTTCATCTCTCATATCATCATCAATAGATGTATTTTTTTGCGCATTCTCAATCTCCAATAGAACAGAACATGAGCCGAAGCATCAAGACAGTAATAACTAATAAATTGAAGGTTGAACACTGACCTTTATCCTCTCATCGCTGCTAAATCCATCAAGCTGGTTCAGCAATTCTAACATAGTCCTTTGCACTTCTCTATCGCCACTAACTTCACTGTTTTATTATGAAACCAAAAAAAGATACAAATTAATTAGCTGCAGATAAATAATACATAGTTACACGTATTTCCAAAAGCACACAGCGTTTATCATAGCAAGTTGGCAAAAGATGGGGAAATTGGATGTAGAAAACACAACTACCAACAGCCATTGTTGATAGTGCAAGGAAAATTTGACCACACCAGATATTAACAAGATTCAGTCACAAATCTAATCTAGCCTTTTTTTTTAAAACAAACCTTATGCAAAGCACTCACTATATATACCTTAAATATTAAAAGGATAGTGGTCAAGGCAATCTAGTCCACACTGAAATAGACTAAACAGAACTAAAAATTGAAATGATGATCAAACATGGTCACAAACTGATATAATTAAACCAGAACATGTAAATAAACATTTGTCATTATAGGTGAAAAGGTGTTAAAACAGACATTAGACTGAATTACTAACTAAATAGGAGTTGTACCTGTCAAAACGCTTTGTTCCAATGGCATCGATTTCATCAATAAAGATGATGCAGGGGGCTTTCTCCTTAGCAAGCTGAAAAGCATCTCGAACGAGCTTAGCTCCATCACCGATGAACATCTGAAACAATTCACACAGATGTTAAAGAATATTCAATTCAAATAAACTAAAGAAAACTAAGCAAGAATGAACATGAACTGATAATGGACCCAGCAATATTTCATGTAACTCATCAACCATTATATTGGACAAATACATGAACAATTAAATCAGTACTTAATATAATCATATCCTAATCTGACGCTGATAATCATCCTATAACATCGATTTCCACCCAGCATGCAGATCTAAAGGAATACATCGCCAAAAAAAAGGAGTTTGCAGTGTAGAATCACACTGCATGAATTCTGTAAACTGCAAGTTGTTATTTATCAGGCTAACTGTACCCACAAATCATGCAAAAAAAGTGAAATACTAAAATGGTTAGGTTTAGGAGCCCTAGCATTTGTATGATACTTTAGTGCATTTCAAAAGAAAATATTGGATGTACCAGATATTGATTTCACAGATTTAGTTACCTACCTGGACAAGTTGTGGGCCAGCCAGTTTCAGAAATGTGGCATTAGTCTGTGCAGCACACGCACGAGCCATGAGTGTCTTCCCGGTCCCAGGCGGTCCATACAAAAGAACACCTTTGGGGGGACGAATACCCAATTTCTGAAATCGGTCCTTGTGTGTCATTGGCAACACTATTGCTTCCACAAGCTCTTGAATCTGTGTTACAACAGAACATCGTATTACTGCTTGGAATGTACAAACTCAGCCATAGTGTCGCTCTAACAGTCCATCAGTTGTAGAAAGCAAATTACCTGTTTCTCGAGTCCTCCAATGTCATTGTAATCCTCTGTAGGTTTCTCATCTACTTCCATTGCCTTAACCCGTGAGTCGTACTCCGAAGGCAATGTGTCTAGTATCAAGTAGCTGTCTTTGTTAACTCCAACTAAATCGCCAGGCTTAAGCTTATCAGGGTCAACTAATCCAATTACAGGAAGGAATATGGTCTGCATTTAACCCAAGAATTAAAAAATGAATCTCTGAGTTCTTCATAATGCACAAAATCAACCAACTACAAATGCGATGTGGAACTAAACGTATGCATTGTTGAATTACAATATGTGGGATACGGAACAAAAATGTAATCCAAATCTAACAATCAGGAATCAGGATAGCTTGAATCATTGTTCTTTTAAAGAGGGAGTAGATGTTTATCAGCAGGCAAATAAATTGCATTCAAATTGGCTCCCAATTCCAGCACACGTTTGACCACTGATGGATAAAGTTTGTAATATGCTAAGTTCTAGGTGGCTACAGAAATTTCAGGCAAGTTTACATACTTGTCTGGTAGATGTTTTCAGAACAACACATTTCCCTTTCCTTTGTGAGTCCAGATCAATGTTAGCACCATCTTCTTCAGCCTCATCCTCAGGGTTCATTTCCAAAATCTGAAACAGTTGAAAAATATATAAGAATTCAGAGCCAATTGCGCCCAACTTGTGTATGCAGCTTTATTACATCTTAAAAACTTGGAATTCTGAAAACCTTAGAACATTATTAGGGACTCAAAGATACACAGGAGTTCATTTTAATTCCACACCAGAAGCCATCAAAATATGTACGCCATCGAAATAAACTAACCAAATCAGTACTGTTGTAACTATGAACTTCTTCCCAGTACTGTTGTAACTATGAACTTCTTCCCAGCACTGTTGTAACTATGAACTTCTTCCCAGCACTGTTGTAACTATGAACTTCTTCCTTAGATTGCAGTAGCAGATGGGCTACTGAGGCCTAACCAAGCTAGATGCATCCTGGAACTAAACCTGCTGCGTCTAACTAGCGTGTACAAACTAAAATAAAATCATGAAACCTGCTGCGTCTGACTAGTGTGTACAAACTGAAGTAAAATCATGAAAATCCCAACAACAGAACTGAACCAGATCGATAGATAGCCCAAACAAACCTACCCGGTCACCAAAAAGAGGGATTAGAAATATGAAACATCAACAGCGTCGACCAATTGAGGCGAGAAACAAACCTCGACGATGTTGCCGACGAGGTACGGCAGCTGCTTGTTGAGCTTGATCTTCTCCTGGTTCTCCTTGGTCTTCTCCTTGATAGACTCCAGCTCCAGGTTCGACCGCTGCAGTTCGTCCTATGGACACCCCCACCCACGAAACATCCCAAATCAGTCAGAATACACCCTACACTCTTGCCAACGCACAGCGGAGCTAGGCTAGGGTTTCCGCACCTTGTGGACGCGGATCTCGTTATCGAGGAGACGGGACGCCCTGATGATCTCCTCCGTGGACATGGAGGCGAGCTGGTCGTCCTCCGCGTCGTCCACGGCCATCGCGGCCGGTACGGGCGCCGACGACGACATCGCTCGGCTGATCGCGCGGAACGGAGGGGTGCGTGTGGCTGCCGCGCTCGACTCGCTCTGGAAGAAGATGCAGAGCGGTGGCCTCGACTTGTGCTGGAAGAAGATGGAGGCGGATGGGCGATGGGCGATGGGCGATGGCCGAAGCACTGAAGCAGACTGTCAGGGACCTCATGGGCTGGCCGGGCCGGCTAGCAGGCTGAAGAAGCGAGTGGGCTCTAGCACCAGACTTGTCCTGGCCCAAGAAGGAAGCCACGGCAGCACAAACAAATACAGAAGCAGGTCAAGCGGAGGAGTCGTCGAAGAACAGACCAGGAACCCGGCGGCGAGCTCACGCTCGAGGCGAGTCTCTGACTCGATTTATCTTTCTTCTTCCTTCCTTCCTTCCTCCCTCTCCCAGTACCTCAAAGTTGTATCCAGAACCTTCTAGAAGCTACTAGCTACTTTGATTATTGCTGTAATTTCGATTTGTGAGAGAATCCGATTTGGGTTTCTGACACAGACGTGTGCGCTGTGCTCCGTTCCCGGTTGGCCTGATCCACGGCCCGTTCGGATTAGAGACCAAGATTGTTTACGGAGAGCATACGGATGCGGCAATGGCCCATACGCAGCCCATCATATGATGTCTGACACTGCAAGTGCAACTGGCAGATTTTTAATGCCGCATTGAAGTTTGAAGTTTTATTTGCACATTGAAGCTTGAATTCGTTATAAAAAAAGCTTGAATTTTACTGACATTAGACTTCAATTGGCTTAGTGCTTAGTTTGTATATGAAACATGTGTTTTTCCCCCTGACTATCTTTGTTACATTCGAATCTGTCTGGCCGTGAAGAGGCTTTGTATGATTATCAACTTGTATTGTTCAAGTTACGCTTCGTTTTTGTCTGACCTTATGAAACAAGGTCCAAGTAGAATGATTTATTCCATAGTCTGTCATGTCCTCACGAAACAAGGTTAAGTGAGTCCAATGATTTTTCTTTTCTAGTTCATCGTGTACCATCTACTATATTGCACAAATGTTCCTGCAAGCCTATCACCCATCACTGGAATCAAGCATTGAGCTAATGATAAGTTTGTTCAAAACGAATGCAGCAGTGAAGCACACTAATCTGGTCTGGGCATCTTGCTAGCGATAATTACGCGCTGACCCAGGTTTTGCTGTGAGGTTCACCGCCAGCCCCAGGAAGGTTAGGGTAAAATGGGGGAAGGCGGTAGAGGTTCACCACAAGCCCCAGATGATGGAAGTTGCTGGCAGCAGAGGAGGTGGTCGCTGGGATCAGGAGAAAGAAAATGAATGAAGCAAATGGGTGCAGAAAGAAGCTTGCCATGTAGCTGTCGAAATTTGAGCGTTGCTGTAGCGACACTCGCGTGCCAACTGATTTTGAGTGGTAAACTCTCTGTAGATAGGAAATGTAACAAACAAGTTGTGCTCCACTCAAAAGTATTCACTGGATTGTAATAACCTGAATGCTGCCCTGATGCAGTGCAAAACAAGATGGGGCTAATCCCTAACTCTAAAATAGATAGGAATTGTGCCCAAGCTTATTCGGTCAAATAATTTGCACTACAAATTGTTGTCAGAAAAAAATAATTGTTGTAGTGGAGAAGTACTTCATGGTGATGTTTAATAGACAAATAAAATGCACGATAAAAGCTTTGGCAGCAAACTAGGAAATCACATTAGATGCATCATATATATCTAGGGATCAAAACAGGTGGTTATTAGTTTAGCACGCTGTTTTTTTTACCAGGACAGCTTTAACATATTCACATCTTCATAAGTCTGAAATACACATGCTTCAATGAAAATGACCCCTACTGCCCACTCAGTTAACAAAATGTCTCTTTCCAATGGCCACAGCAAGCTTAACCTTACAAAACAGGAGACATATTCATATTTTACACTAGCTCACACATCAGCAATTTCAGAACAAAACAAAACAAAACCGTTTGGTGGCCGACATGCTGGTTTACCAACTGAGACTAATGAAAACAAGATGAGTTTGAACAGCTGTAAAATGTGATCCAATGCAATTTGAGTTTCCTGACAATGAGCGATACACCTTTACTGTAGCAATGTGCAAATTCACATGTGCGCGAATATATACAGTTCATCACTTGCTTGGGAGATTCACAAGATTATATGAACTCTCTCTATAGCCGGTTTCTATCACTTACTCTTTCTATAGCAAACTCTTATCTCTTACTTCTATTATGAACAATGACAAGCGGACGGAGCGGTCATCTATTCACAAGACAGAGACATGACAGATTGCAGAAAAGCTCTGGATCTCCACAGCAAAAACAGTCTTCAAGGTCCTCAAAAACAAACTGCAGAGAATACCCTATGAAGGTAGAATGAATAATATGAGAAAGAGAAATCGGTGCTGGACGTGATGATAAAGCATGTGTACTAGGGCTTGCTGTTAAAAAGAGGCAGTACTAAACAACATACTATATACCCACGACCTTGGAGAAAGTAAAAAATATCGCACTGTGCAAGTTCTAGACAACAAAGATGGTCTACCTAGTTGAAAATCAGAAACGACATTGAACTGACACTACATTCTAAATCATATATTGTTTGACATGCCAATTTTAAGTGACAAGAGAGTAGGTAAAAATGATTAATAGGCACATAGCATATAGCCCTACTTCATATTTTTATCATGTTCTGTAAAAGGTCTTCACACTTCAAATAAGCTTGGTGAAGAAGGCTATTTTTGCAAGTAAGATTCTACAGCCTATGCCTACAATCTCTTAACTGTAGATTATTCAATCAATAAAGAAAGTTAGCAGCTAATAATTGAGCAAAAGCAACGAGAAAAGTGAACTATTTGTATGGTGCAAAGATTACCATTCTGATTACAGTAATAGTGTAGTATAAATCCAAAATCTTGGACATCAGATCCTGTCCCACGAAGATGTAACAGTTCCTAAAAAAAGTATCAGATAAAAAATGTAAATAAGGTAGCCAAATATATTCTTTGTGACTCAACCATTGACAGTTTTATATTATTACCAAAATTTCCGAAGCTGAGGGGCGTTCATTTGCCTTTGGTTTTACCATTCGCTTCAAAACTGGCAGACATCCTCTCCAATCATCAAGAATATTTGTTCCATCCAATACAGTGTCAAGATCGAAGTCTTCTTCCCATTGATCAAACTTTTGCATCCCTTCTCTAATTGATCTGCTCAGATGATTTACCTTTTCCCATCTTCCATTCAGTTGAGGCACAAACAATTCGTAATAGATTATACCAACAGAAAATATATCTACCTAAGTAAAAACAGATTACAAGGATTTTCTTAGACATTATTTTATCTATCTATCAAATCTAACTTATTAGATGATTTAGCATTAATGTGATTCAACTAACCTTCTCGCTGTGGCGTACATAGGCATTAACGATTTCTGGTGCTCGATATGGTATACTACCATTACAGCCGGAAGGGAATCCAGAGAAATTTGGTACCTGGTTTATTTTTGCTGAAAAGAATAAAGCAGCCGCTGCGGCTGGTTTCAGCTCGTTCGGCTGCTCTAGAAGCCAGGTGCAGCGGTTGCTTTTGAGCACTGTAGCAACCGTGACTTATGTCTGTAGACCAGCCGAGAGTAGAGCAGCAGACCAGCCAAAAGGGCTCGTTCGGCTACTCTACTCTCGGCTGGTCTGCTCCTACAGTGGGAATTATTCATGGCGGTACTCCTCGAATCCCAAAACAGCGACGGACCTAGGTTTTTACTTCTGGGTATGCGTAGCAAAAAATTTTCTTATGCAATTCAGTAAACCATATATAATTTGGTAAAATCATATTCTCATTCGGTAAAACCATATTCTAAAACCATATAAATTGTTCAAATGAAATACAAAATACTTTAAAATATAGCCATATAAGAGACTTACAATATTACTTGTTGGTCCGTCGCTTTCTCAATGACATGAATGTCTCAATTATATCATCTTCATCAACTTGAAAGAAAATATCCCGCTCAATAAATGTTTGCAGATAATCATCCAAAACAATATCACCTAGCTTGACATGAATTTCTGCTCTTCCACAACAGTTTCAACCGGAGGTGGGGTAGGGTTCAAAGCAGCTGCAGCCGGCTTCTTTGCTGCTTTGCAAAAAAAGGATCGAATGTCGCCGTTTCTCTTCATCATTCAACAATTCTTCTGAAAAATAGTTTATAATTACCAAACGTGCGAAACACAAATAATTCATAGTATAGAATCGATCTGTTTGAAACTTTCGGTTAGAAAACTCACAAATCACAGGATATGATAGACTAATGACCGGATGCTAATTATTGATCTGATGCAGTGATGCGGATGAATGAACTCACGAACCGGAAAAATGACTCATACATAAATAATTAAAACTATTTAAGTACACAAGTAAGAAGAAGAATAGAAGATTAATCTTAAACCTGTCTGCCGCTGTGCGTCTCAATATCTCGCCGAGCGGCAGCTGGCCGAGACGATAACGTTGCAGGCCCTCCGGCGTCGGGCTTCGCGTGGGCAGTGGGCGCGTGGCGTCGTTCCGTGATGGCGTCGGCGTGACCGCGCGGATTCGACTCTGCCGCTTGCGAGTTGCGACGATCCAGCGGGATGGTTGCAGGCGGTGTGCGTGAGTCAATGCGTGGGACCGGTGGGGTTTTGAGCCAGGTGGAGCGGAGTAACTGCGCCGCGCGCCGTATGCGCGAGTTCGCGTGCCCGCACAGAAACCGAACGGCTGGGAGGCGTCGGGTACTCGGGCGTGCCTACCAGGTAGTAAGCTTTTTCTTTTTTTCTTACATAAAAATTTATATTCTGGTTCATTTACACCTAGACCACAGGGTATGCGGTGGCCCACCCAGCATACCCTGCGGGTCCGTCCATGTCCCAAAAGTACATCTTACCAATGCTAAAGTCGACGAACTTGACACAGAGATTTTCCCCAATCAATGGCCCTGTTCGCTGGTTGGTGCTGATGCTGGTTTGGGCTGGCTGGTGCTGGTTTTTTGTGAGAGGAAAACACTGTTGGCTGGCTAGTTTAGGCTGATTGAAACCAATAAGTGAACAGGCTGAATATATTTCCTGGTTTAATGTCTCTGTGAGCAACGTGGTGTTGGTGCATGAATTCTATCCCAGCCATAGCCATGATCGCCCTGTTCATTTGGGCTTGTTTGGCTGATAAGCTATGGCTAAAAGTACTGTTGGCTGATTTGGTGTGAGAGAAAAATATTATTTGTTGGCTGAAAAAATACGGTTTATAAACCAAACAAGCCCAAACAAACAGAGCGGATCTGTCTGAAGATATACTTTCTATCCTCTAAGTTAAATTCTTCTTGATTCATATATTGCTTTAGAAGGGCGGGCCTGGTGCAAGCGGTAGAGTCTTACCGCATGTGACCGGAAGGTCCCAGGTTCGAGTCGTGGTCTCCTTATATTGCACAGGCGAGGATAAGCCTTGCCACTAACACCCTTCTTCAGACCCCGCACAGAGCGAGAGCTCTCTATACTGGGTACGCTCTTTTTTTATTCATATATTGCTTCAAAGATCTAGCCAAGATTTCGAACATATTTTAACCATACAGTGCAACAAATTTTGGTGTGAGGCTGTGTTTAGTTGGAGGAAAAGTTAGAATTTGGGGTACTGTAGCACTTTCGTTTTTATTTGGCAAATAGTGTTCAATCATGGACTAATTAGGCTCAAAACGTTCGTCTCGTGATTTCCAACCAAATTGTACAATTAGTTTTTTTTTCGTCTACATTTAATGCTCCATACACGTATCGCAAGATTCGATGTGATAGATACTGTAGCACTTTTTTGAAACTTTTTTTGCAATTAAACCAGGCCTGAATTTAGAAACAATACCTGGCATAAAGTTTCATAGAAGTAAATGTGGTTCCAGTACCAAAAATACTTGTTTTCTTCTGCTCGGACCAACGACCTGTTCGCTGGTTGGTTTCTGGGCTGATTTGGGCTGGCCAGTGCTGGTTTATTGTGAGAGGAAAACACTGTTGGTTGGCTGGTTTGGGCTGGCTGAAACCAACAAGCGAACAGGCTGCAAGACAAGAAGATTTCAACAACATTGTCATGATTCAACATTGACATAATTTTCACATCCCTGCAGGTTAGAAAGATGAAAAAAAACCTTTAGTCAAGAATACACATGAAAACAACGTATTCTTGTATTAGCAGAATTAATGATTCAACAACCAGAAAGACGGGCCTGGTGCAAGCGGCGGTAAAGTACTACCGACTGTGACCGAAAGGTCTGGATTCGAGCTGCAGCCTCTCGCGAGAGTAAAACTTGCTGCTAATACCCTTTCCCACCCCGCACAGTGCGGGATGCTCTCGGCGATGGCTACGCCAGTGATTCAACAACCACACAGCACGACACAATTCATGATAATTAGCATACCGAGCTCGCCGCCCACCTCCCCGGCCAGTCCCGACGCCCCTCCTCTCCACCATCTCCGTCGCCTTCCTCTCGACCCAGTGCGCGCCCCCTCTTTTCAAAATTATTAGGACGCTCCCCAGTGCCCTCTCCGCCGTCAACCGAGTCCGCCTCGCCCTCGTCTCAGCCGCCTCATCCCGCCCTCGCCTACTCGGTCGGTCTTCGCCGCCACCACCGAGTCCACCCGGCCGCAGAAACTTGGCACGGAACGACCGCCGCTCCGACCCGCCCTCGCCTCCTTGGGCCCTCGCCGCCGCCGCCGAATCGGCCCCCGGCTCCGAATCGGAGGCCGAGAGCGCCGTTGCAGCCGGCGGGCCGAGGGCTTCGGAGATCTCGAGATCACGCATCGCCTCCAGGCGCTGCTCCTCTGGCCGCGTCGCCTCCACCCGCTCGTACATCCCGGCCGCTGCAGCTCCTCCCGACGCCTCCAAGGTGCTCCCCGTCACTAACGAGGACTCGGTGAGTCTTGGTGGCTTCCTCCCTGGGGAGGAGCAGCTTGTTGCCGTATTCTCAGATCCCATTTACGTTCTTTGATTTGAATTCAAGAATGAAGGAGATAGAATGGATTTTTCCCTTTACAACCGATGGACCGAAGGCCCAAATCAGAGCTGCCCAGCAAGGCCAGACTATTAGGCCTTGGTGGGACGTGCTCTTTAACTCCAACCCACGCTGGTCGTTCCTACTCGTATAGGAGTACGTCGCTTCAACCGTCTGTCTCCAACAGCAGCCGCCCCGCCGCCGCCGCCGCCGACTCTTCTTGCCTCGCCGTCTCGATCGTCGTGACTCCTACTCCCACGGTACGGTACACCTCTTGACTCTTGAGGTCTGTCTATCTACAATTCTTCTTCATGCTGCGTGTACTGCAGGCGCCTGAAAATTGAGAAAATTTCAGGCGACGAAGCAGTGCGCCAGTGCCGCCGTAGCAGGTAGCCTTAGGGGAGGGGGTGCTGCCGGGCATAGAAGGGAGGGCTTGGAAGTAGGTAGGCCCGGCGGTGGTGGTGGGAGAGACGGCGGGGCAGCGGAGGCGCCGCTGGCCGCTGGCAGCGTCGGACAACGGGTGGGCGGGGAGAGGGTGGGTGGGCGGACATGAAGGAAGAAGAAGATCCCAGAGTCGTCGGATTTTGATTCAATGGATGGAATCGTTGCCTGATCAGATGCAAATTTTCAGCACAATGTGGAAGTTTGCGTTTGTTATACTTTGTGTTTTTGAACCTTTGCGTTTGCGTTCTGATAATCCAAGCATATATTTTTGTGTGCTTTAGTCAACTACTATTTATAATTCTGTAATTGAACGGCCGGTGGAAGTTTAATATGTGTGTTTTAACATTCTACCCGCGTGGAAGTTTAATGTTAAACTAAAAGTTGCAGTAATGGAGTTTGATTTTTGCGTTTCTTTAACAGGGATACAATGAATACGAGCTCTGACGAGAGGTTTACAGTTCTGAGGAGTATCGGAGAGTTCATCTATGAGCATGAGCTCAGCGTTTTGCTAGAGAAGAAGCTTGATCCCATATGTTATGTTTGGTTTGAGCCATCCCTCACTATGGACATAGAACAGGTATACCAACCAAAAATTTATTCTCACAGCACCCTTGAGTGGTTTGAACTTGAAACCTAAACTATTCTCTTGAGATGTATGAAGGGTGACATCGTTTTTTTCTGCAAGTTCAATTGAATATTCTTTCGAAACTTATCCTATTCTGGTGCAGCCCAACTTGATGCAACCCGTTAAGGTTAAGCTTGGTGCTTCTAGACAGTTTCAAGTTACTTGCATAAATTAAGCGATTTAATTTATTTAGTGAGGTTAGATTTGTGAGTATTTCATAAAAGTAAGGTGAACCGAATAGATTCTATACTTAGAGATTGGGCTTGAATACAAAGATCGAATGACTAGCTACATTGATGTGACAAGTTTCAGCTATTGACATTTTCTAGTGGGGAAAGTATTTCTGCACTGAATTCGGCTTTATGATTTACCTTTCAACCTTTGATACTACTCAGGCTATTGGTTTACAGAAGTTTCAGTTTAAGCAATTAAGTTATTGCACAAATCCAGTTTGTTGGAAACTGTAATGATTTGATTGTAAGAAGTAATTTGGCATGGATCTCTTCTTTCTTCGCAGGGGATTATGAAGACAATCTATATCAACAAAATGCTCGAAGCTGGTTGTACTGTTAAAATATTGATGGCAGATTGGCTTCTGCAGCGGCACCCTAGGATTGGTACCGATCTAAATAAAATAAGGGCCATTGGCCAATACAACATTGAAATGTGGAAAGCAGCTGGAATGCACCTTGAAAGAGTAGAGCTTATATGGCTGTCAGATGAATTGGACCACCATGCAGTTGATTACTGGACTCTTGCCATGGATGTCTCCAGAAAATACACCATGGAAAGAATTGCAAGGTAACTAGTTTTCATTAGTTAAGGCCTTATTTCACTTGCAAACTTTTGAAATGGTTTATCACTTTGTTAAGTGATGCCCCATTCCTGATATGTACACAGATCAATTTATTCTTTTCTGCTGCAGCTATTGCGAGTATGTAAAACCATATGGACCAAAAATACTGCCTGCTGCTGAGATATTTTACCCTTGCATGCTAGTTGCTGTCGTATTATGCCAGAAGGTTGGTTTCTTTAGAAATAAATTAGTCATATCTTCTTAAATAAGGAACATTGATACTTCTGTTTTGTTTCTTGGTACGATCGGTTCTAGAAAAAGCGTAGTCGGTCAGACTATTAGAGGAAAATAAATGTCCGTTGTAACCAAGGTGTTGTGGACTCCTTCGTTGGGCAACAGTATAATAGGAAGAAGAAGAAAGGGTCGGCTGCCTCTAGTGGCTAGAATTAGTCCAAGCTAGCTAAGATTAGAACATGCAGGAATAATAGGAGTACCTCAGCTGCTCATGTGGGTGCTATAACCACTTGTGCGGCTGGGCATTAGGATCAAGCAGAGAAGAAGAGTTGTCTTGTTCAGAGCCTCCCAGGGAGGGCGAACTAGCTCTTCTGCTGCTGCCATTGCTAGGATTAGCTACTGTAATTCCCCTCCAATTCATCAATTAAGTGCCCAGTTCCCTGGCCCTATCACAAGGCAAGGTGGACATATGTCATTTAGAATTTTACTGCAGGTACTACATCTTATGTTATGTGAAGGCCCTTTAACAGATAATGATATGGAGAAGCCATGGTGGATTTCTCTACTATCTATGTATGTGATGTGGGGGCGCCAATATCAAAGGTGCTCCAGGGCTCGAGATGCAGCTAGGGCAGCCAGGACGGTATCCCAGGAGGTGCCGGCTGTAATCAATGGCAATTAGAGTCCTTGGGAAGAGATTAGAGTTAATGAGAGATTAGAGTTAATGATGGGGAGAGAAGCGAGGAGTTAGAGGTTGGGTGCCTAGAGGCTGAGCTCCTCTATTTATACCTTGTAACCAGTCTATGATGAAGGAAGCAATGAACAACAAACAATCCAGTTACCCCCAAATATTCTAGTCTCCCTCCACGCCGACTTTGCCCGGCCTTCCTCTTGGCAATGGTTATCCTCTCTATCCCCGATATGAACTAAGGTTCATAGCAATGTATCTGTTTTAGTAAAATAATTTGCACAAACGTTTTCAGTTCAATAGTTTTAGGGACGCAAACATTCCAAGTTCCTTGCAACTCACTGGTTCTATGAAGCTACAACGAAACTATGTGTAATCATGAAGAAAGCAATACATATCATGGAAGCATGGATGATAAAACATAAAAAACTTTATTCTCCTAGCACTGCTCTAGAGTATGTTCTCACTATAGTTCTCACTGGAATTGAATTATTTTTTCTCTTAGTTTGTGTATGAATCTAGTGCTCAAGTTTGTTTTATTAGAAACATTGTATCTTGAGATGGCCATCTTAGATTATTAGGAATCTGGTAGATTGTTAGGTGACTAGTAAATTGGTGAAGACGACAAAGACACGATGCTTTTGGAACTCACTAATTCCTTCAAATAAGTTATCTTAATTGTGCACAGGTAGAAATTTCAAAAACAGATAGCATTTATTTTCCTGAAGTGAACTTAAAAATAATTTCTTTTAGTATACGAAATCTAAACGCAGTTGATAGCATACTTTGCAAATTGTTAGAGTGAAGCTTCCTTCCTGGTGGATTTCACATCTTCACTGCTAGTTGGTTCTTTGCTATGAGGCATAATTTCCGAAGCATTTCCAAGAAGAGTATCATTCTTTCCCCATCTAGTAATAGCCGTCAACTAGTAGTTTAAACTTTAAACAACATGTTTTTCTTCTTGCAAATTGTTTTCTTGCCATTGTATCACATACAAAGTAGTTGTAGTTTGTAGTGATCAGCAAATTTTAGTTTCACTTGGTAAAAACAAATTTGGACTATATAATCTTGCCCCTGCAACCAGTGTCACCAAGAACATGGTACAGTGCCATGTTCCTTGTCCCACGAACACATGAAATCCCGTCCCCGCAATGGAAAAACCTTTGTCAAGGAGTGTACCCCATTCCACGATCCAATCGTCCTGGGAACTTGGTGACTTTATAACTTTTTGTTTTTGTAGTTGAAGGTGGACATATGGCTCTTCAGCAAGGATCAGCGAGACTTTATCATGCTAGCTAGAGATTATTGTGAAGATATAAATATGGGAAGGAAACCAACTTTTTTGCTGCACAGTATCTTGATCCATACCTTCTGTGTTTTTTGCTGTGCGTGCTCTGTATTTCAGTTATGCAGTTTTTAATGATGGATAATTTAGGCGTTAGGAGTGTGGGCGGTGATATTCAATGCGGACGTGCGGTATATCCTTAACTTGAAACACAGATATTCTACCTTGTTTGCTTGAAGACCCAGAATTTCAGAATGAGATGGATCCAGGGCAGACCATTTTTATGCAAGATGAGGAGGTACCTTTAATCATCCTGCAACAGAAGATACTATTGCTGGTCTTTAATATAGTAGATGAACCTTTTCAATTTTCAAGCTATTTTTTCACAAATTGTTTCGGTTGAAGAGGTCTTTTGGTACACATTCGAAGTTCCTTCCGACTTACTGATTATCATCAGGCTAGAATCTGATTGTGCAGTAAACCTGTATAAATGTTGGGAATATGAAAAAAATTTGAATACTCTATTGTCCCCTAAGGCTATCCTAGTGCATGTTCTCCTATAGTTTCCTCTGTTCAATTGAACTGTAATCTCTCTTAGTCATCTTTAGAGTAACTGGAACCAAAAATACTTGTGCAGTATAACAGCTTAATTCAAAGTGTTTGTATTTTTTGCTTCGGTGGCTGATTTGTCCACTCTTTCTTCTAAATTAAAACAAAGTGATTAAATCCATTTTTTGTTGTTTCATTTTGTCAATATAACCCTTCATTGAAACTTAGTATGCTACATATTTCAAGTGGACAAGATGTATATATTTTTGTGCTAAGCTTCTCATGTTCACTATTTTTCTATGAATGAATTCTTTAAAAAACAGAGATTTTTTGGTGCAGGATGATTTGGATTTTAAAATGTGGAGGATGTTCTGCCCTCCAAAAGTAGCAGTATGCAACCCATGTTTGGAGTACATCAAGTCTCTTGTCTTCCCTTGGTTTGGAAAGTTTGAGGTAGTTCAGAAGGAAGGGAATGGTAGTAACAAGTAAAGTTCTTTCACTCATGTGCCAAAACTTTCTCCTGCCTGCTTCCTTATTTCTGTGTAACCAGTCTACCTCTTTCTTGTGATATTTGACTCATGGTAAAATGCACAAAATTATATCTGATCCAGTGTACTTTCAGCTATCACAATCTACATTCAGTAGCCAACTGGCATATCTTAGTAAAGTCTGATTCACCAAGAATTGTAATTCACATTCACTAGAAAATTGTTGGCAACTTGTGTTAAAAAAAAAAAGAAAATTGTTGGCAACAAATTCACCATGCTGCAAAGATAAGTGCTATAATCAATACCATGTTTCACTTTCTGTAAGAACTGTTACCTCTATACTGTTGGAACCAAAGCACAGGTTTGGGGCTAGATTTTTGATTTCATTAGCCTTACCACAAACATGGCAGGTTGGGGATACACATAGAGTAGCATACTTGGTCCTTAAGAAAGGATTACAGCATATTCTAAGTAGATGCTAAGATAAGATGCTGACATAAGCACCAACTACTCCTAAGATAGATAAACACAAGACTTATGCTTTCATTCTCCCCCTAAGTCTTGCGTGGCGCCTTCTGGGGAATTTGGACCATCCCAATTCGGGCGCGTAGCTCCTGGAACTTGACCTGCCCAAGGGACTTGGTGAGAAAGTCAACGAGTTGGTCCTGGGTGTTGATGTAGCCGGCCTTGATGCTCCCCTCATCCAAGCAGCTCCTAATGAAGTGGTACTTGATGCAGATATGCTTGCTGCGCTTATGGAAGACGGGGTTCTTCGCCAAGGCCAAAGCGGACTTGCTGTCCACCCTGAGCTCCACTACTTCTGCGTCTTTGCCTAGGAGATCGCCCAACGGCCGAGCCAACCAGAGAGCCTGAGTCGAAGCGGTAGTGGCAACGATGTACTCCGCCTCGCAACTGGACAGAGCCACCACCTGCTGCTTGACTGACTGCCAGCTGATCAGACACTTGCCAAGGAAGAACAATGTCCCACTGGTGCTCTTGCTTGTGTCGATGTCACCAGCGAGGTTGCTGTCGCTGTACCCGATGAAGTGCTCCGCGCCGGGACACCTCGGGTAGTGCAATCCGTAGTCGGAGGTGCCTGCGACGTAGCGGAAAATCCTCTTGACGGCCTGCTGATGCTCTGTCGTCAGTCGCTGCATGAACCGACTGACGTAGCCAACGGCGAACGTCAGGTCCGGCCACGTGTGGGCGAGGTAGCGAAGACTGTCCATAATGCGCCAGTACTGCGTGGCGTCAACCTCCTTCGCCGTGCTGTCGCGGCTCAGCCTCAGCCTCTCCTCCATGGGAGTGTGGGTTGGGCTGCAGCCGGTGAGTCCGCCCAGCTTGACGATGCGCTTGGCATAGGCGGTCTGGCGAAGGGAGATGCCGGAGTTGTCCTAGTGGACCTCGATCCCCAGGTAGGAGAGAAGGCCCAAGTCGCTCATCTGGAAGGTGGCCTTCATCTCCTTGAACGCCTCGACCTCGTCCTCCTTGGTGCCGGTGATCACCAAGTCGTCGACGTAGACGCCTACCAACAAGGCACTGCCTCCCTTGCCCCACCGTTAGACAGCATCCTCGTGAGGACTCTGCTGGAACCCCATTTGCTTGAGGGTGGAGTCCATCTTGGCGTTCCAAGCTCGTGGTGCCTGCTGCAAGCCGTAGAGGGCCTTGCGCAGGCGGAGAACCTTGTTCTCCTTGCCTGGGATGACGAATCCCAGCGGTTGGTGGACGTAAACCTCCTCCTTCAGGTCACCGTTGAGGAAGGTGGACTTGACGTACATGTGGTACACACGCCAGCCCTCCTGGGCCGCCAACACGAGGAGATGGACAGATGAAAGCTCTAGTTTGGTTTTGGTTAATTGATGAAACCCTAAGTGCTAACCTAGTTTATCAAGATGATTATGAGATAGGTAGCACTACTCCAAGTGATGAAGCAATGACGAAGATCATGACAATGGTGATAGCATGGTGATGATCAAATGCTTGAACTTGGAAAAGAAGAAAGAGAAAAATAAAAGGCTCAAGGCAAAGGTATAAAATGTAGGAGCCATTTTGTTTTAGTGATCAAGACACTTAGTGAGTGTGATCACATTTATGATAGATAGCCGTACTATTAAGAGGAGTGTAACTCGTATCGAAATGCGGTTATCAAAGTGCCACTAGATGCTCTAACTCATTGCATATGCATTTAGGATCTAGTGGAGTGCTAACACCCTTGAAAATATTTGTGAAAATATGCTAACACATGTGCATAAGGTGTTTGCAGGGTTGAGATGGGTTTGGGTCCTTCTCTCCCTCCCGCCGAGCTTGCGAGGCGGGATTCGGCGCTTTTGGAAAGATGAAATGTCTATTTTCTATTGCGCCGGATGCAAAATTCTTGGTGGTTGGCTCATTTGAGCAAGGGTGAAGAAGTTAGAGTTGAAATGGAGTTGGTCGAAATGATGCTGGCGTCGGTCTGCTGACCGGACGCTGGGTCACTCAGCGACCGGACGCTGAAAGGCTGCGTCCGGTCGAGCTGTCAGACGGCACAGTGGGTAGGGTTGAGCACCGGACGCTGGTCTGCGTCCGGTCAAGGTGGACCGGACGCGTCCGGTCGAAAAAACATGCCTCGGGGAGCTTACTGGAAACGACCGGACGCTGGGGCTTCAGCGTCCGGTCAGTTTTGCCGGAGCGTCCGGTCAGCTTCGTAGCCGTTGAAATCTGACGAACAGCGTTTGAAGCTGGTGACGCGTGGGGTCCATCGGGCGACCGGACGCTGAGGGCCAGCGTCCGGTCGGCATGACCGGAGCGTCCGGTCAGAGCGTGTTTTGCCCAGTGAAGGGGTACAACGGCTCTATTTGATGGGGGCTCTATTTATAGCCCCATGGCTGGCTCAAGGGCTCTCTCTTGCGCATTTTCATTGACATAGCAACCTTGTGAGCTTAGCCAAAGCTCTCCCACTCATCTCCATCATTGATCCATCTTTATTGTGAGATTGGGAGAGAATCCAAGTGCATTGCTTGAGTGATTGCATCTAGTGGCACTTGATATTCGTGTTGCGCTGCGAATTTCGCTTGTTTCTCTTGGTGGTTGCCACCACCTAGACGGTTGGAGCAGCGGTGAAGGATCGGCACGAGTTGGTGATTGTTCGTGGCCGCCTTCGGTGATTGTGAGGGGAGTTATACCTTCCCCGGCGGAGTGCCGAAAGGTAACTCTAGTAAATTGCTTGTGTCATTGAGTTACCTCATTTGTGGGTCGGTTCTTGCGGTGTCCTATCGTGTGGACGAGGTTTGTGAAACACCTCTTAGCCGCCGAACCACCAAGTGTTGGTCGACACAACGGGGACGTAGCGTGTTGGCAAGCACGTGAACCTCGGGAGAAAATCGATTGTCTTTCTTCTTTGTCATTCTCCCGGTGATTGGCTATATATTCATCTTGTGATTGGTTCATCCCCTACACGTCGGTATAATCACTCTACTCCCTCATTTACATTCTTGCAAACTAGTTGATACAAGCTCTTTAGTGTAATTAGAATTGAGAGCTTGCTTTATTATTTACATTCATCTAGTTGAGCTCTTTAGAGTAGCAAGGTTGAGAGCTCTTAGTGAGTAATTACATAGCTAGTTTGTGTGCCTAAGTATTCATTGCAACTAGAATTGTTGGATAGGTGGCTTGCAACCCTTGTAGAGCTAGAGCAAGTTTGCATTACGCTATTTGTCATACTAATCAAATTGCTCTAGTTGATTTGTAGATTTTTTAATAGGCTATTCACCCCCCCCTCTAGCCATATTAGGACCTTACAACAGACTCCATCCGCGCAGCGGGCGCGAAAGCGTCGTCGAAGTCGACTCCCTCCTGAACGAACCTGCACGCCACGAGACGCGCCTTGTGCTTGATCACCGCCCTGGCCTCATCCTTCTTGAGCTTGAAGACCCACTTAAGGGTGATGGCGCGGTGGCCGGTAGGAAGATCCGCCAACTCCCACGTCCGGTTCCGCTCGACCGCGTCCATCTCCTGCTACATCGTGGCGCGCCATGCCGCGTCTCCCTCTGCCTCAGCTAAGGAGCAAGGCTCGCCGTCTTCATGCGCCAGGTGCAGCTCCACCTCGAAGTCGTGCATCGCCAGTCTAGGGACGAACTGATCGCCGAGGATGTTGTCCATGGTGCGGTAGCGCAGAGGCTCGTCGTCATGGTAGGCATTGACGCGGTCCTCGTCGTTGGACAGCGGAGTGGCAAACTCCACCGTGCGCTGCCTGTCACGGACCGAAGCTGCCGGTGCCGATCTCGGAGGTGTGGGCGCCGGTACAGGATATTGAGGAGCCGGTGTAAGAGAGCGGGGCGCCGCCGGTGTAGGAGAGCGGGGCGTAGCCGGTGGTGCAAGTGGTGGACTCGCCGGAGCTGATGGCGAGCCGGGTGCTGAGGTAGATGAGCTCGGTGAAGACGAGCTGCTAGCGCCCCCGCTCCCTCGAAGTGGACGTAGTCGACGACAAAGTCTCTGAGGGTCGAAGTCGAGCCGTCGTCCACCGCCTTGTCCTAGGTCTAGCCACGCCCTTCGTCGAACACGACGTCACGTGAGGCTCAACATCCACCGCCTTGGCCCAAGTCAAGCCTTGCCCTTCGTCGAACACGGCGTCACGGGTCGTAGGGTTGATGATGCGGTAGGCCTTGACGCCCTCCTCATAGCCGATGAAGACCCCCGGCGTGCTCCGGTCGTTGAGCTTGCCGACGTGGTTGAGCTCCTTGGCAAAGGCGAGACAGCCGAAGATGCGGAGGTGGCTCACCACTGGCTTGCGCCCGTGCCAGGCCTCGTATGGTGTTTTGCCGTCGAGGGCCTTGGTGGGCGAGTGGTTGCCCAGTAGATTGCCGGCATCCATCTCTGCTTAGGAGGGCGCGGGCGGTGGCCACCACCGTCTGGTTGCGGCGCTTGAAGACGTCGTTTTGCTGCGGGGTGTACGACGTGGAGAAGTGGCACTGGATCCCCTCGTCGGCGCAGTACGCCGCGAACCCAGCCACCGTGAACTCGTCGCCGTTGTCGGTGCGTAGCACCCGAAGCTTGTGGCCACACTCCTCCGCAACAGCTTGATGGCGTCCGCACCTGCCGCCTTGGTATCGAGCAGGACTGCTCACATGTAGCGGGACATGTCGTCGACGAGGAGGAAGAAGCGCCGACCTCCAGGTGTAGCTGGTGTCACGGGGCAGCAGAGGTCGCCTCGCACGAGCTCCAGCTTTTCCTTGGCGCGGAAGCTCGCCTGGCAGGGAAAGGGGAGCCGCCGCTGCTTGGTGAGGACGCAGGTGTTGCAGAACTGCTCCACGTGCTCGACTCACGGCATGCCCTGCACCATCTCCTTGTTGCCGAGCTGCTTCAGGGCCTCAAAGTTGAGGTGCCCAAAGCGCTCGTGCCACCGCCAGACGTCGTCGTTGCGGCGAGTTGCAACATAGAGGGGCTGCGCCACCTGCACGTGAAGGACGTAGAGGCGGTTGCTCCCCCTTGTCACCTTGGTGAGATGGCGGCGACGGCGATCCTAGATGCGTAGGACCCCGTGCTCGATCTCCACGCGCTAGCCGTTCTCATCCAGCTGTCCCAAGCTGACGATGGAGTTCCTCAGCGTGGGGATGTAGTAGACGCCGGTGAGTAGCCGGTGCTCGCCGGTCTTGGCGGTGAAGACGACAGAGCCAATGCCCTTGATCTCCATAGCGGAGGCGTCACCGAACTTGATGGAGCCTCGTACGCTGGAGTCCAAGTCAGAGAAGTACTCCCGCCGCCCGGTCATGTGGTGGGTGGTGCCAGTGTCGAGGTACCAGCCATCGATCTTGTCGCCGTTGGACCCGTTGCTGAGGAAGACGTGGGCCCGCGGATCGACAAGGTGGAGGAGCACGGCGGCGGCCGGCGCAGGAGAGGAGTGCAGCTTGATGCTCCCGTGAACGAGGAACAGAGCCGGCTCGTCACCCTCTTGCGCTTGTGCGACGTGTGCCTGACTGCCACGCTTCGCGTGCCGGCAGTCCTTGGCCCAGTGGCCGGTCCTGCCACAATTCTTGCAGGTGTCGTCGCGGGTAGCCTTGCGCTCGCTGTCGGCGCCGTCAGGAGTGCCACCACGCACCTTGTCCCGCTTGCACGGCCGGCGCCTGCGGCTGCTCGAAGAACCCGAAGCGTCCCCCTTCTTCTGCTCCCGCTGGTGGGCGAGCCACTGCTCCTCGGTGAAGAGAAGCTTGCCACCGATGGTGATCGGCTCTGAGGGAGGTAGCTGCTCGCGGTTGTTGACGGCCTTGAGGCGACCCGTCACCTCCTCGATCGACAGGTCAGAGAAGTCCAGTAGCATTTCGATCGCTATGGCGACCTGTGAGTACTTCTTGGGGACGACGCAGAGGAACTTCTCGACGGCTCTCTCCTTGTCGCCGTACCGCGCCAACTGCTGCATCAGAGTGGTGAGACTGAGAGCTAAGTCGTCGACGTCCTCGCCCGACTTGAAAGCCAGGTTCTCCTATTCCCTCAGGCGCGGTCGTTGCCGATGCATGCCGCGGCGATGGCGTCCTAGGTATCCTTGGGGGTCTCCTTGTTCGCGAGGGAGGACTGCATCTCTAGTAGAATAGCAGCACGAAGCGCCTCCAGCGCCCGTCGATCCTCGAGAAGTCGGCGTCGTCGTACCGTACCGCGTACCACATGTGCCGCGCTTGCATCTTCACCTTCATCACCATGGATCACTCGGCATAGTTGGTCTTGGTGAGCATGGGCCATCCGCCGCCGGCGCCTGAGTCCTTGACGATGGTCTGGACGACGGGAGGGGACTCGCGCCGGCCACAGCGACCACGGCGTCGGTCCGGGGAAGGGGAGGCGCGCCGCATGTGCGCCAGCGTCCCGTCCGCCGAGGCCGCGTCCGCCGGGTTAGCGCGCGTCGAAGTCCCGGAGAGCCTGCTTTAGCTCTACGCCGCGCGCTCACGCTGGCATTGAGCCTCCAGATCGCCGTCGATCCGTACGTCACGCGTGCCCGCGTCCCAGTCGAGGCCGTCGCGACCACGTCCACCTAGGCCGCCATCGAAGCCACGTCCGCCTGGGGCGCCGTTGAGGCTGCGTCCGCTGGGGCGCCGAAGTTGCGCCCGCTTCCGCCCAGGTCGTCGAAGCTGCGTCCGCGTCCGCCCATGTGCGCATCCGCCCGCTCGGCCTCTACTTCGCGGCCCGCACGCGCATCCCGCGCCCGCTTGGCCGCGTCTGCCTCCAGACGGGCCCGCTCGGCGTCCGCAGCGCCTGCGCGAACCGCGCCAGCGCCAAGGTGCGCGTTCGCGCCCAGCCACTCCTGCGCGCGCGCGTCCAGGTCGCCTCTGCCCAAGCCGCTCCCGTCCTCGCCGCGTAAGGCAGCAGCTTCTGCAGCCGCCTCGGCAGCGCGCGCCGCTGCAAGCTCCGCCGCCGCCAGCCGCGCCGCCCGAGCAGCCACCTGGGCCCGCACCGCCGCCGCCTCCTCTCGCCGATCTGCCGCGGCCTGGGCTGCTGCGCGCTCTACCGCCGCCCATGAAGGCTCTGTAGTGTCGCCAGCGCCAGCCGACCGGCCACGCCAGGTGTAGACGGCAGTGGGATGGGAGCGAGGGGGTAAGACATTGCAACGGGATTGGGATGGGTAGAGGTAGGGGTAGTAGATACCATTTGTTGGAACCAAAGCACATGTTTGGGGTAGATTTCTGATTAAATTAGCCTTACCACAAACATGGCAGGTTGGGGATACATATAGAGTAGCATACTTGGTCCTTAAGAAAGAATTACAGCATATTCTAAGTAGATGCTAAAGTAGATGCTAAAGCAAAGATGATAAGATAAGGTGCTGACATAAGCACCAACTACTCCTAAGATAGATGAACACAAGACTTATGCTTTCATATACAGGACATTTGCAAGCATGGATGAACTCGTTGTTGACTATGAAAGTGGTCATGTTGATCCAATTGATGTTAAGCTGGCTTTTGTAAAAGCGATAAACAGCATACTAGAGGTAACTGTTGCTCCCTAAGTGCATTATCCAAAATGCATCTGAAGTCCTACTGTATGTTGGTACAGTATATGAATTTTAACTGAATGCAAGTTCAATGCAAATTTTCCCCCATAGTGGGTTTATACGTTTAATGATACATTAGTGGAAAACACCTTTATTTATAACTTTATAGCCAGACAAAGTTACACAACCAACAACCATGATGTAGTGGGACCGCAGGTCCACACGAGAGCCTAAAAGAACTACTTTTGTTTTAAGAAAATATTACACTTGATAATTGTTATATGTGGGGGAAACAACACTCTCACCGTGCAAGGAAGGTTCTGATAGCTCCATGAGCGAGAGTATTGTTTGCCCCCATACAACAATAATTTCATCTGTCATGTGTTAATAGATAGGAAATTATAATGTGTAGCTTTCGGTTTCCAGAAAGTATTTTTTTTTTCAAATGATGTAGAGGTAGAATGAATTGTCATCCGTCTTTCTTTACAATTATAAGTACCTTTTGTGGGGGAAAAGAACGAGAATATGGAAATTAACCTCTTTGACACTTCCGAAACTTAATTTCAGCTAAAGAAAAGAAATTAACTTCATGTACGTTTTGGATGCAGAATTTGTTTCCTTGTATCAATGAAGTACATAGAATTTGTTTCCTTGTATCAATGAAGTACATGGAATTTGTTTCCTCACATCAGTTATTTTTTTAATTATTTGTTTGGGCATTTATTTTTTATTACTTTGTTCTAAATACTTGCTTGTATTCAAAGTAATATTCTATTCTGATAATTTATTCTTACTAATTTCCCTTTCTTCAAGCCTGTCGCTGAGTATTTCCGTAGAAACACCAACGCCCAAGCTCTCATTGCTGCCTGTAAGGTATAGTTATTTCTACATTTATATTTGCAGTCAATAATATCACAGATGACTAGTGGCTTTTTAGTTGAGCATTGAGCTGCAATATCTTGCCAACAACTGAATAAACTAGGCACAGCAAAGATCCAGACATCAGATGGTAAATTAAGATACTAAGACTCTTTTGTCAGCAGCCCTTGTCACATGTTTATGTACTACTTAAATTGACTTTTCATACAGTTGTTCTGATCATGGAACAAACATTAACATTACCAAGGGTAAGTAGAAAAATGGGTGATTGAATTTTTATGATCAGGGAATTTTTAGCATCAAGCTTTTCCATACCCATACAAATGAAACTTGGTCCATCACCATCTCATCCCTGGGCACCATACTAATGTAAAGATAGATGAATGGTGTCATCCCAAAAATCATAGAATGACCCAGGATCCCAGATAGATAAACTTCTCTACCAAACTTTTTCAAAGGGCCAAATTCAGTTCAGTTTCTTAAAATGAAAAAGAACAATAAACTAATAAAGGCCGGCAGCTGACAGCACCACATTAGTGAACTAAATTAAAAGAGTGGTGAGTTTGATGTTTGCTGTCTTTAATTCCAGATTCCGGATCAAGTGACTGTGGACGTCTGGAAGATTATAATGCAGAACAAAGAGATTTGATTCTTGTAAGTTTACTGGTCCTGAATTGTTAAATCAGCTGTTGCTGACTATTGCTTATAAGCAACACTGTAGTCCAATTTCCATATCGTCCGTGCTGCTGGATTGCTGGATGCTCCAAAGCTCAAGGGAATGATTTTAAGACACTCCCTCCAGACATAAATACTTAACGCTGTTGACTTATTTTGGTCTTTGAAGTGTTGCGTTGACCACCTTTTCTATTAGAAGAACATTTATACAATATATAATAAATGTACGAGAACATGAAAGTACTTTTCAAGAAAAATCTACACATAATTTTTATGTTTCTGACTAAATATTTTCAAAACTATTAATGATCAACTTTTCAAAAGTATTTGTGAAGGGGGTGTATTATTCTATTTCCCACGATGTATAACAAGAAATTTATAGGTTTCTTTTTTCAGTGAGGAGGAAATGCTTGATTGCTGGGTTTCTAGGGTATCACCACACCGAACGTTTATCCATGCAATGAACAATGAACCATATGTAAATAATTTAGCACTATTCTGGCCTTTCTATCTTGCGTAGAGTGCTTATGCAATCATGTAGCACTACCTCAAGTGAAGTTGACGTTCGAGCAAAACTAGCATGTTGGAGTACTCGCTTTTGTTGTCTGAAACGTCAATGTTTGCTGACTGAAAGGAGTATGGTTGGGCCCTTCCTTTAGTACTGTCTCCACCCAAAAAGAATGTAATTCTAGATTAGTCTAAGCCAAACTGTACCGATACTTAATATTTATGATTCCAAATAGGTGTACTATGAAAATATATTTTATGAGTAATCAAATTATACATATTATGATATCACAAATATTAGTGTTTTTTATATAAATTTGGTCCAACTGAAGATGACTTGATTATATAGCTAGGATTGCATTCCTTTCAGGACCTGGGTAGTATACACATGGTTTCAACGGCTATTTTTTTAGATAAAGGAATTTTATTCCGGCCTCTGCAAGAGCTTTGCACTCAACCATTCATTATTACATCGTTTCGCCACCAGCTGATGTAGAAAAGCTCACAAAAAGCTTCAATAAAAGGTAGTGGGAAAATGAACTGCGGTGTTTTGATAGAACTGCATAATAATTGGCAAAATAAAAGAAAAGAATGAAACATCTAGCATTCTATTTCTGATCAATGATGATGCCTACATATAATTTCTGTCACAAAAAGAAGCACCGTCGAGTTTTAGGTCTTAGAAAATTCGAAGAGAAGATGAAGTTAAGTGATTCTTCTTCACAAAAACCCTGAGAAGTCATTCCGGGACATCTTGTTTTGGGATACAATTTACCCTGTGAGAAGTCATTCCGGGACATCTTGTTTTGGGATACAATTTCGTAGAGCAGGGCCAATTTACGTGGTATGGATCGAACGGCCATGCTTTGCTGGCATCGTGAGAACTTTTCGATTCCGAGCTGGATAGGCAGATCATAGTTGGGCCGGCCCAACAAAACGAAGAAGGGTCGGCCAACGACTGGGCAGGGCTGCTTCCCTCTTCCTTTTCCCTCTTCTCTATATGTTTTCGTTTTTTTTTTTAATTTTGGAGCCAAATTCTTGCCATTTTTGCAGAAAACTGAACAGACCACCACTTCATCAAATGGTAAGGCACGACAAGGGAAAAAAAATTATGTGCTTGTGGGCCCCACAGCAGAGGCTGGCGGTGTGTTGAGCGAACATATCGCCCTCTAGGCAAGGGGCCTTTGTAAATCTCGCCCTCACAGGGGATGATCCATCCTGTGAGTCCCATGTCAAGAGGGAAGTTGAACATATTAACTTGGATTGGGAGGTGGATACTTTTGTGGGGGGTTTACAAAAAATGGTTCGTTTACAGTAAAATCAACATATTTGCACCTTGTGAACACTGGTGCCAGAGTTATGCAAGAAATTTGGCATACGAAACTGCCTCTTAAGATTAAGTTTTTTATATAGGTATTTAAAGAAGGCCATCCTAACAGAGGACAATTTAGCTAGAAAGAAGATTGGAATGGCTGGAGAACTTGCTAGTTCTGTAGTAAGGCCATGTTTGGTTATCAGGGAATGAGTGGCTGGAAAAAATCCAGCTGGAACTCAAATTTGTATAAGGACTTAAACATGGAATAATTTGGAATGGCTTAACCGAACAGGCTCGGTTATCAGGGAATGAGTGGCTGGAAAAAATCTAATTGGAACTCAAGCTTAATTTGTATAAGGAATTAAACCTGGAATAGTTTGGAATGGCTTAACCGAACGGGCCCTAAATTAGAAACCATGCAACACAATCTTTGTTATGCAAAATTCTTGAGGCGTGCTGCTCTTAATGGAAATAAGTTATTTAATTGTTGGCAAAGATTGGGCCGGAAGCGCAAAAGCGTAACTTATCAGAATGATACTGTTTTTGATAAAAATGATACTGTTTTTGATAAATAAATGCAAACCACTGTTTTTTTCTCTTTTTTTTTTAGGTTTACTCCGGATTTGTGCACCCTTGCAGCTCAAGGATGACGACAAAGACCATCTAGTTCAATTGTTCAAAGGATGCCAGTCTCTGGAGTCCAAAGCCATATAGTTTTTTCATCTCATGGATGGCCTTTAATTTCTGGTATTGAACTTTAGGAGTAGACTTGAAACTTTAGTTGAGCTATTAATGATTGCGGATTGACGCCTTTTCTGTGGAAATGAGCAAAGCCACCGATTCATCTCAGACTGCCTGCCGTTGACGCGGCTATTGCCGGAATTGTCGAGCGTGGTGTGAGGCAACGAGCCTCGCGTCGAGAAGCAGCAGGGATCCCTAAGATAGTTACCAAAAATCCAATTGGTAAATCAATAAGTTTTGCAAGTGACTAAAGAAAAGTTGGGAGCATATTTGTTGGATTCCTCCAACAATTTTTAATTCTCGTTCTTAAAATATAGTAGACAATTTTGTATCACGAATCTCAATCTATTTCTAATTCATCATAACCATTTTTATACTTTCTTTGTCCCTTGTATATTTTCATCAGTTGTCCTACTCCTTAGGTCCTGTTTGACACGACTCCACTTCACCAGTAAAACCGTTATTTTTGGCTTTAGCTCTATGAATAGCTCCATCGATGGAGCTGGAGCTGTTTTGGTAAGGTCTGTTTGGGAGAGCCCCATCAGTGAAAAAATGAATCTAGATCTGGGAGTCACCTGGATCCGAGATTCACTGAAGTATTTGGTACAACTCCACCTCCCTCTCTGTCTCACAACCAACCTAGGCCCACACGTCGGGAGACAAGAAAAGGCGAAAAAGACACAGACTCTTTCTTCTTCCTCCTGGCGCGTGCACAAGAGGAGGTCGCGGCCACGGCCTGTGGCACCGGCAGGCGTGTCCTCGGCCGGGCACGGGCATGGCTGGCTGCGGAGCAAGCGTGGCTAGTGTCATCAACGCGCGCGGATCGTGGTGGCTACCATGCTACCGCGCAGGAACGACAAAGCTGGGGATGGGGCGGCCACGGTGCACCGGCCATGGCATGGCTAGGGAGCCTGATGGGAAGAAGAACGAGAAAGAAGAAATAGAATCATTATCTTTGTATAAAGAGTGTCATGGTGGGTAATTTTCTCAAACTCCACCAAACTTGAATTTGGTAGAGCACCCCTTGAGGTGCTCCACCAATTTGGTAAATCTGGAGTCAGATCCACCCTTTTGGTGGATCAGATCCACGATGGAGCTGTGGAGCTAGAAGCGTTTGGCTACAAAAAGTGGATCTAACTTTGGTGAATCTTGGGCTGGTGGAGCTCTCTCAAACTGGCCCTAAACCGTTTGGCAAAACAGCTCTACAATAAGAGCTCCTTAAAATATGCTCTCATAGAACCCCGTGCTAGGCCTACCAGGGCGAGGTAAAGCTAGATGAAGCCACTATTTTTTGCTCCACCCTCCACGTACCCTCTCTGAGAGTACGAATTAAGAGGCTCCTTGAGTGAAGTCGTTTGGTTTTTACCCCGTTTGCACAAAACGACTCCAAACGGCTTTAGGAGCCGGTGTAGAAGCCGTGCCAAGTGTGGCCTTATTCTTTCTCACGTCCTTTCACCTTAAGATTGGCCGTTGGATGCACGCGTGTATATATCCACGCAATTGGTTCCATTTCCCATGCGCGGACATATTGGGAGTTTAGATAGGGAGTTGTTGGATAGCAGTTTTTTCAATCTTGGCCAAAAAATGTAGATTAGGAGTGGATTTTGTAAACTCTTGGAGATGATCTAATAAAAAACTATGTGAGCGGCGCTGTAGTTTCCCAAAGCACACTGAGCCTATTATTCAATTTGAGCCCACTCTCTGCATTGGAATGCCAATAGAGTGGAGGGGAGCAAAGTGGTTGGGACTCTCATCACCAATAATGATCGGTGTCCCTCGGTGACAATTAGTTACCGCCAATCACATCATCTCGGTGTGCCGCTTTGCTCGTGGTTTTTGGACCAAGATTGGATGGGATCCGGAGAACATCACCAAAGTTCATCTGCTTTGGGAAACTACGACGCCGCTGAGGGAGTTTTTTTTGGAAATAATACTATTTTAATAAGTAATTGCAAATCTAGATGATGTTATAGAAAATTTGCAAGAATTAGTGCCTATCGGCACTTGGAAAGCCGACTGGACACTTATCGGTTATTGGTTGGCTAATATGCGCATATCGCCACCTTGAATGCCAAAGGGGCCTTTGGTTGGGCTTCATAACCTGCATTGGCTTCTTAAAAAGCCAAAAGCAACCAAAGGGACAAACTTCCTTCTAGGTTCTACAAAGAAAACAACCTTTTGGTAGTACAAATTTTGCAGCACCTAGAGACCTGCTTCCACTGGCTGTGGAATCGAAGTATTCACGAAAATTACCCACCTTCACTGGTTATATAATGCATGTTGGTTCGTTCTTTCTATGGATTCCCCTACCCCCATCCCACAAGAAGAGCCGAGCATGCTCTGGGACAAGCCCGCGCCTCTCCCTCTCTGAGCCCTTCTTCAGCGAAGCCAAGGTGACCTCCGGCCGATGG